ATATATATATATATATATATATATATATATATATATATATATATATATATATATATATATATATATATATATATATATATATATATATATATATATATATATATATATATATATATATATATATATATACGGCCCTACCGCGATGCGGCGTAATAGTGGCCGAATTAATGCGCCGTGAAAATTTAGGCGTTTCCGCCGCACTTGGTGGGGACAAAGAGTTTTGTGTTTTTATGTGATTACCTACCTCTTGTAACTTATAATTTACCACAACACGGCACGGCACGGCACGGCACGATTTTATTATAACGATATTTATTTTTGTTTAATTATTAGGAGATTTTCAATTCTCACCCGACGTCTGTGTTTTCAGACCACTTTAACATTGTGTCTTTCAATGTTATACACTTTAGCTGAACATAAGCCTCCCCTTTGGGAGATTTCGCCAGTAGTTGCTCCGTTTGGCAAACGGATTGGCAACCGCAGTTACACTTTGGAAAAGCTTTAAGTGGGACGCCCAACCCTCGTCCATCCCTCGCCCTCCCTTAGTCGCTTCTTAAGACATCCACTGGATAGATAGGGGTAACCTGTTCTATGCCGGAACAACACGGCGAACATAATACTTAATTATTATTATAATAAAAGTATTAATGAAGTAAACCTGAGTCCTCAGGAATGGCAACGCATGGGAGGTATCATGGGCGAAACTGTATACTCTGTTATGTCCATGGTACTGCTCGTGTTTATAGGCGACGGTTACCACTTTCCATTAGGTGGGCCGTCAGCTTGTTTGCCATTCTAAGTTGTATTAAAAAAAAAAATTAATGAATGTCGATTTCTAAAATAAGAATAAAAAAATACGTTAGTATATAGAATATACTCGTAAAAGAAATCCGTGAAATGCTTTTTTAATTATCCTGCTACAATATTTTTGCAAAAAAATAAAATCAATCAAACTCCATTCAATTAAATTATACATTTTTCCGTCGTGGTGGTTAAATCGTGAATTATTAAATTGCTTATATTTAAGTACAAAATAGTACATTATAACAAAATTGTTATAACATTGATTTGGTTTTTAGTGTTATATTATTATAATTATATCAGTCAATAAATAAATAAAATGAATTATTTAATTATTGATTGAATGATTTTTATTTTTATTTTATCTTTATTTGGTCTCCTAGCAATTGTTACACTGATAAGATTTAATATTAAAATTACTGTCTGTTTATACTTAGTGTACAAACATTTTAAAGGAAACACAGCGTGCTAATTAGCAAATAAACAATAATATGGTATAACAATCTCTTGAGGTATTTGACATTGGTATATAGGATTTAAGTTAAAATTAAAATGTTGCTGTCATACGATTTATCTTACCAATGTAACAAATTTGTAAATAGACTATGTCTGTAAAGTAAATATAGAAGATATTTAAGAAAAATTAATGTAAGCTATATTCTTAATAAAAAAAGCAATAGAACACAAAACAATAAATTTTAGTTTTTTTTTTTAGAATAAAATAATTCCAAATAAAAGTAAATATGGCTATAAAAGCTGCCAGTACGCCGTCATCAGTTTTCTTTTTATCGTGCTGTCATCAAAGCTTACTCCGCATTTTTGATAATTAATTTTTATATATTTTTCTATTCAGAATAAATTACCAATCTCGAATTAATTTCAACCTAAATTCTTCTTATTAAAAAAAAATATTTTTATTTAATAGGAGCAACTTTTAATCTTCTGGTTTAATTGCCTGATGTCTTTTATCTTGTTTTTTTTTTTTTTTTATTGAATTAAAGATTATGTCGCACAAAAAAAACGTTATCAGTTATTTTAATTTAAAAACTAAACCTAAACCGACTTTGATAAAATTTCTATGGGACAAACCTGTAAGTATATTCTTCTAGTTAAAAAAAGAATTGTCCAAATCGGTTTAGAACTGACGGAGTTATGAGGTAACAAATGTAAAAAAAAAAATACAACCTAATTGGAAACCTTCTTTTTAAAATCTGTTGAAAATATGTGAAATATGTTGTATGATATGCAAAATTTTTAAAATATTTGAATGTTTAAATATTATTTCGTCTCACATTTGTAAATCAACAGATTTGAATAAAATTTTGCACACAGATTAACTTAACACATAATTTTTTTATTTAATCCAACGCAACTTAACTCCACATAGCAGCTAGTAAACAACAAAATAAACCAAACAACCAATATAAATGTTGTAGACCGCAAACTAACCGCAGTTCATTTGAACAAGTGTTACTGCGATGGGTGACAAAGGCAGACGCGCTCACATTGACCCACAAACGATAGATGGAGGAAATTAAATGTCACGCACTGTCACGTGTAACGCTGGTATTGAATATTCACCTGGATTGGCTCATCGTTTATTTATTATTTATTGACCACTTTATTACAAAAAAATTTATGATACAACAGGCGGTTGTTATTTTTTCATCTACGTATAGGTCGTACATATATACATATAGATATATATCATATTTTTTTTACAGACTACAAAGTTTTTTAATGGATGGTAAAAAAACCTTACCTATTACCGCCTGCACTATTGATAAACACTAGCGAGGTACTAGGCAGAGATGATAAGTGAAAATGAAGTTAAATGAACTATCGTGACCAATTCATCAGGATTTACCTACAATGGTATCCAAGGGAAACACGTGAAGGTTGACTTGACAGAGTATATTGCTAGAAATGGGGCCGCTAGTCCCATAACTGAAAATCGGCGCAATCCGCGTTTGCTGTTTTCGAAGGCGTCACAGTATATTCTATGACATCCCAGTGCTATTAATGTATAAAGATTATCACTTTATGATGGCCCAGAAATAAATTTTATTTGAAATCGTGAAAATGGTGATGACAGTAAATTATTACGAATATGGCGACAAGCTTCGTCTCCTTTATTTTTGTCTCGTATCCTCCCGTTTCTTATAACTCAAGGTATGAGTGAGTTAGGGGAAGATAATTCTTACAACCAATTGAATTTACGCCGCCTAGTCTATCAGTAAAGTGGCTTTCTAGCTTAGGGTTGGCACAGATTTATTGCATTTAATTTCTACTTAAATGAAAACAAAAAAATATATAATTTCGGTTGTTGAAAGTTGAAACCTTTTGCTATTGTAACTAAATTAATATGAGAAACCACCATGTTAGTAAATACTACTGAATGTGAAAAAAGTAATCGAATTTAATTCGAGATTTTTTATTATAGTGTTTTTCAATGTAATGTTACACAGAAAAACACTCGATTCTCTGAAGTCGATTGATATTACTCTGACGTCTATTCTACGTATAAATTAAAAGTGTTCATGTAACCACAGAATAAATTAACGAAGGGTATCGTTTCCCGCCATTTCCGAGGACGGCTACCTGACACCGCGTGTCACGCTTCATAGACATCATGTATATATTTACTTTATAATTTATAATTATTTAATGCGTATGTTACTTTATAAGGCGTACAGGGTGAAATTTTTAGATTTTCGCGGTGAAAAGCCGCAATAATCGCCATAAGAAATCTAACGTAAAAGATGATGTTAAAATGCCATGTAGCATTCTCTACCAGCTAAACATTAAGTTAAAACGGAAAACGTTTGAAGGGTAGTGGTAGTGATTTGTGACGTAATTATTGTAACATACTTTTTTGTTTTATGTGTTTCCAATATAACTAAATATTTTTCTTATATAACATGAATCCGAAAAGGACAAAAATCACGCCGTATCCCCCTATCGGATTAGAACATAAGGTTAAATTTTTTTTTTTATATTTTTCGACAATTTGTTTCTTTGGGAAACATGTTTTAGTTTAATTTCACCTGTATATAAGCCAATATTGTTAGCAATATATTTAATTGTGTAAAAACAAATAAAAAATAAAGATTGCACAAGATGCAACCCTACAGCCGTGAGATAACCGAGTCGGTGTCTTGATGAATGGCGCTCGAAGCCGTCTCGTCTAGTCCTCGTCACGTGTTCCACTCTCCCCGCAGCACGGTAATGACACGTGCGACCTATGTACTCACGCACGGTTTATATATACACATAGGGGCATAGGGATGAATAGTTTTACATAATAGAACGTGCCCATAATAAGTGTACGAGGTTTTTATGTCATTATAAATTTATACTAGGTCTCTCACAGGACAGGCAGTGGGGTCATATTAAAATGGGTTTTTTTTTTTCAAATATATCATCTGCTTCTTCTTAATTTTTTTTCATATTTATAGAAATATTACATATAAAAATCCTGTGTTACGGATTTGAATGGAATTTTGTTTATTCTATCTCGCGAGATAAGATAGTTTTTAGCCTGATAAGTGACTTAAATATAGAGTTAACGAGTCATCAACTAATTGTTATTTATAAAAATCTTCCTAAAATAAAAAGACATTAAAATGATATTAGATTTTCTGAAATAATCAATAACCGCTTACTGCGCCATCTTTATATTATTAAATCTATGTAACTCGTTAAATAACGTCATCCTAAAACTATTAAATTGTAGTCGGTAATATAATGTGAATATATATTATAATTATAATAGATTACCCAAATTAAATTATTTTCTCTCTAACTACACTGGGTTGGCTGGAAGAGATCTCTTTCGAAGATAAATCCTCCCTTGCTGACAAGTTGTTAAACTAATCGCTACATGTCTTGTTCAAGTGCAATAAAGAATATATATATAATAATAATATAAAAAAAGTCCTGTCTGCTCCTTTCCTAACCTTTCCATTATAACCCATACTATTATGTATTTCAACAAACACTATTATATTTTGTATTTATTTACTCACATAAAATATCTAATAATCTAGTAAATCTACTATTTGTACTCTGTTAGTTTTTAGTCTTAATTTTAGCATTATTTCAGCTGTCTTCCACTATCGCACAGATTTGGATGCGTCTATTTTTTACAATGTGTTTAATTCTACCACTTTCTTTTTTGTTTCTGGCACGTGCGACAGAGGGCGGCGTCGGTAAGCGTACGTGTTGTTTGCACTTGTCACTTTACTGTCTTTGTAATACGTCAATGTACGCTACGCTTTAGGCTAGCATGCACTCTCGGTCCAAATTCTACGATAAATACTTCAATAGAGTATAATTTCTATAATAAATATATTTTATTAATTATAATAAATAATAATTTATTTACTTAAAATGTGATCTGTTCAAATGGTCTTAATAATAGTGCTGCACATTTCGCCTTATCTAATAATAGCATGCAAATTATGGCGCAGTACATGTTAGTAATTTTTTATGGCTTACATTTTTAGAATATAAATTTATTCATTATATAAGTCTAAGTAGTTATTTTAAATGCATTAATACATAATTATTATTACATTTAATTTGTCAATTGTGTCAACATTTAAATATACTATGTATATGGCGTGAATTTACTGGGTACAGAGGAATAACACCTCAGTCCTCAGGAATGGCAACGCATGGAGGGTATTATGGGCGAAACAGTATACTCTGTTATGTCCATGGTACTGCTCATGTCTATAGGCGACGGTTACCACTTTCCATCAGGTGGGCCGTCAGCTTGTTTGCCATTCTAAGTTGTATAAAAAAAAGACAGTTATTTTGATTTAAAAATTAAACTATTAAACCATTTTTGATAAAATTTCTATGAGGTCAATCTTTAAGTATATCGTTTCAGATAAAAAAAAAATTTAAATCGGTTTAGAACTGATTGGACCAAACATAAAAAAGACAACATATCAGAAAACCTCCTTTTTGAAATCGGTTTAAAATAAAAAAAAATGAATGCAACTGGTTTCAATTTACTCTATATAAAATCTGTGAACGTATTCTAACATCACGCTATTGAAGTGTTTGCAAACATTTGGACCTTGTTAACCGCACGGTATTGCATGTATTCGTACACACCACCCTTTGTGGTTTGACCTCCGTTTGACCCCACGTCTTATGGTTTTTTTTTTTTTTTATCACTACAACATAAATTTTTTTGCACTACTTTTGATTCGTTTGTTTTTAGAAGTAATGCTAATATAATCTGATGATTTACAAAAGGGAAAATTTTATTTAATTTATTTGAATATTTTGTCTTCTTCTGAAAAAATAATTGGACATAAATATTACCGTTGTCGCCACTAATAGACAATTTCTATTAGATGTTCAACGGTTGATTGGAAGAAATCCCTTTTATGGGATAAGTCCACCATTGTACTCATTATAACATTACAATAAAGTGTTACAAACAAATAATATAAAAAATAAAATATTTAACTCGTGTTGTCTAAAAATTGTTATTTTGATTTAAAACTGAACTGCTGAACCGATTTTCTTAAAATTTCTATAACCACATCTGTAAATATGTTTTCTGATAAAAAAAAAAGAATTTTCCAAATCGGTTTATAACTGATAGAGATATGAAATAACAAACAAAAAATACAACTGAATTGAAAATCTCCTTTTTTAAGTTGGTTGAAAATAACACGAAACTACTATTTTGAGATTGCAAATAATGATTTGAAATACAATCATTAGTTTTTATATGATATATGTAGTATAATTATGAAGTATTCCAAATCGGTCTGAATTTAATAAAGACGGTGTGGTTATGCTATATTATATTGAAATACATATGTATACATATGTATACATATGTTAGGTTATGCAGGTTTAAAGAAAATGTATTTTAATTAAACCGATATATGTGGTTTAATTCTGGGATAAAATAGTCTCTGTGAATTGCTTTAGTCTTGTTTCACATTATATGTGTGGTAAATCTGAGTTGCTAGGGTATGCATGTAGTTGTTTTTTGTTGTCGTGTGTTTATCTTTATATATATATATATTTTTTAATTTTGATTCCTGTAATTTTAAGGTAATTACTTTATTATTAATTACAATTTTATTATGTTAAATTTCTGTTTATAGCAAATAATTATATGTTTTATTACATAAATGTGAAAGTGACTTTGGTTATTTTTGGCGCAGTGAGGATATACGTATGCTTGTGAGGGAAAAGGGCAAATATAAAATATATATTTTCTAATTTGGATTAAAAAACAAGATAAAGCCATCTAATGAAAAGTGGTAGGCAACCCTTTACTATGAACATCACAGAGTTTTTTTTTAATGGGTGAGAATGAAATAGTAACACCGCCTGAGCTATCGAGATACGTTGGCGGGGCACCAGTGAGAGGTGATAGGTGATGATGAAAGCAAATCAGTTAGCACATCGTGACCAATTTCACAAGAATTAACCACGATGGTTACGAAGAGGAGCCGCGTGGAGGTCATCCTGTTAGAGTATTCTCTATATTGCTAGCAATAGGGTCGTTAGACGCCATCACTAACAATCTCTTTCCCGGCGACACCACAGAGTATACTGTGACAAAATTATATACTAAAAATAAATCTATTAGATGCAATATAAAATTTCAGTGAGCCATAATAAACTAGCGTAACGTCGGCGTGGCGTCCGCAAATTGCCGCGTCCGCCGGCGTCGCGCCGCATCCCTCCCGCTAATTGGATAAACTCGACGGCCACACAATATATCTAGGGGTTAAAATATCCGCTCTATCGCTCGGTGGTTTTCATACTACGATTCACCTCGTACATATACCAAGCACGTTCCGTTAACACGACACTAGTCAAAAAGTGTGTAAATATCTGCTCGACATTATGTGTTTTTATTTGTATAGATTTTTGTTAAATCAACATGAGAGTGATTTCACTTATAGTCTATAGTTATTTCAATACAGAGAGATAAGATACAAATACCTTGTTCGTTGAGTATGGGGACATAAAAAGTTAAATATAACGGTAGTACGTATACTAGAACGTAATCTATTTTTTTTAACATAATAATGAATATTAGAAAAATTCTGGCCTGTAGTACAAATGTACCTAATTTTATATATAAATACGGTTTCTTTTTGTATACTTACATAATAAAAAGGAAATAAGTTCGAATACAAAATCCTTCGTACCGTGATTGCGAAAATTTTTGACATTATGTGTTTTATTTTGTACCTAACGTAGTGGGTAAATACAACAAAAATATACAAATTACTCCCTGAAGTCAGCGAAAGAATATAACTGTCAGAACGCTCGGTAAATAATGATCCTAGTTGTCAAGACAAATGGGCTGTCTTCAACAAGTTCTTAGTCGAAACTCATGTACCTAGTGTCACTTATAAAAATAAACTTGTAGCTGTCTTAAGACAAAAAATAGCTAAAACTTTAAATAACTAAGCTAGCTTAATTATTATATTATTTATTCTATAATATTCACATGTCCGCTCTTAGGAAAGATTGCAAATTAAGTCTAGGCAAAAATACAGTAAACCGGAGTTCAGGGTCCCATGGAGAAATATCGAAGCACTACGTAACAAATTATTAATAACTATGTTAAAAGTAATATGATGATTAGCATTTCTATGAAAATTTCCTATGTCTAATTGAGTTACATTTTGAGAAAATCAATCGTTTTCAAAATTATTTTTGCGATCAGTCCTAATGAAATTAACATTTTATATATAATAAAATATTATTATAATAAAGAGAAAGTACAAATAAAATCTGGAGGTGACGCTAAATTAGCGCCCCTATAACATTAGCATACCTGCATTTCCATGCAAATGATAAAAGCGGTCTTATTTATTTTATTACTTAATGTAGTGAAATGTATAAATTAAATACCCTATGTGGTCTGTCGCTCTCTTAGGAATATTTTTTTTTAATTTTCATTTGTTTTCTGGGCCTATAATGTATCTGCGAATACCAAATACAGGCTGTCTTATTTATTTTATTACTTAATGTAGTGAAATGTATAAATTAAATACCCTATGTACCGCTGTCTTAGGATTTTTTTTTTTATTATAATTTGCATTTGATTTCTGGGCGTATAACGTGTCTGCGAATGACAAACACTAGCTGTCTTATTTATTTTAATATTTAATTTAGTAAAATGTATAAGTTAAATATCCTGCGTGGTCTGTTGCTGTCTTAGGATTTTTTTTTTATTTTCGTTTGTTTTCTGGGCGTATAATGTATCTTGTTTATGTCTAAATTTACCTTTATTAAGCAATGCAAATCAGTGGGCTAGCTTTAAATCAGCTTAGTTCGGCTTTGAAAGAGTTTTTAGCTATGCAAATTGACTATAACGAGAAATATTGCGTTTTAAACGAGAATATCCTTTTTCCAGGTGAAGAAAATGGCGGAACGAGTCGCGAAATGCCGTGAGGAAGTCTCGAAAAATAGGGAGAAATACCAAGCGGCGCTGGCTGAGATTACCGCGTACAACCCTCGCTACATCGAGGACATGAACGGTGTCTTCGAGCGCTGCCAACAGATGGAGGCACAACGCCTGACCTTCTTCAAAGACGTACTCTTCAGCTTCCACAAGTGCCTCAACATCAGCCAGGAACCATCGTAAGTCTTTATAAATAGCTGCAATCACTTGCCGTATGTTGGTTTTGATAATGGATGAAGATTGAATGATACAGACGTTTATGCTGATGGTATACTATGGTGGAGCACCAGTGATGAATGAAACGATAAACATGAAGTCAGAGGGCCTCATCATCTTCATCATATCAGCCTTTAACTATCCCCTGCTGAACAAAAGCCTCCCCCTTGGGGGATTTTAGTAGTTGTTGTTGCCACGCTTGGCATACGGATTAGCAACTGTGGTCAGACTTTAGAGATGTTTTAAGTGGAACGCTGCTGCTTATCCTAAAGGCTTACCATGAAATGAACACCTGAGTCCTCAGGAATGGCAACGCATGGGGGTTATCATGGGCGAAACAGTATACTCTGTTATGTCCATGGTACTGCTCATGTTTATAGGCGACGGTTACCACTTTCCATCAGGTGAGCCGTCAGCTTGTTTGCCATTCTAAGTTGTATAAAAAAAATCTAAATAACACTCTGGTGATAACAAAACTTGACAAGATCAAACGATGCAATTTGCAATGGCAAACATGAAGTAATCAGCAAATACCTCAAACTATAAGCTCTATTACAAATACCAGTCTTTAAACTCAATATTTACTCCTCAATAGTATAATATAATGAAAGAAATGTCAATATGTAAAGACAGAGGCCTTAAGCACTCGGTTCTCTCTACCTAGCCCGCTAGAGTCTTGGCGTGAATATAGATAGTTGTGAGTAGAATAATAGATAGATAGATAGGTAGATACTCTTTATTGTTTCCTCCAAAAGATTACAATAGTAAACTTATTATAAATATAAATAATTACAAGAAATAATCACAATGAGAAAACAATGGGCGACCTTATCGCTAAGAGCGATCTCTTCCAGGCAACCTTTGGATGGAGAGGAGTAATTATAAACAATTTGGTGGGAGGCACCATGAAAAATTTTGTTAGTTCTAAATATGGGAGATGTAATACATATATATAATTATATTCTTCACAATTCACAATAATGTGAATTGTGAAAAATTAAAAAGAAACTAACATATCAATGGGAAACATTACAGGTTACCACAAATATACGAAGAGTTCCACCACACCATCAACAACGCGGACCACCAGAAGGACCTCAAGTGGTGGGCGAACAACCACGGCATCAATATGGCGATGGCGTGGCCCCAGTTCGAGGTACAACCACGCCTGGACCAACCGCGTCCACACAGGGTCGGCGCACACTAACGCGGGCTACAGTCGAGACATACTTGTTAAGATTTGAAAGTCGATAGCGTACCGCTAAAATCGGTTTATCCACAGTTATGGATGGTATAGACTCAATTTGACTCGCTGATATTGATTTTTTATACTTGAAATTATTTGTCACAAGCGCTTACTGTACATGTCAATTTTTGTACTCTGAAAAAGGGTCAATTCGACTCCAACTAAAAATTCATTTAGAGTTTTTATATAGAATTTATATCAATAAAAGAGATGTGATAAAACCGCATTATATATGATACTTTCGAATAGAGTGAAAAAGGGGAGGCAGTGGCTTGTCGCTCCTGACAAATATATTTTTTGTTGTCAGTCTCCTTAAATTTTTCTTATTCGAAAGTTAATTAAGATATTAGCGTTATCTATTTGTATTCATATCTGTGGATATAACAAAAATGGTTGCCTTCGACAGTGCTTCAGAAAACACAAGGATTCGTGAAAGCACGAGATACTCAAGCGTCGGTCAGTGTGTCTTTCGATCAATCCATTGTTCTTTGCTGGCCCGCCAGTGTGCGCTGACCCTTACCATCCAGCCCACCAAGCAATGCATACAGCAGTTCTCTTATATACCGTTATCTATGCATCCATAACTCTCGCTTAATAAATCTACCCGTTAATCAACATCAGTAGGAGTATAATGAGATGGAGCATGTCTACTATCCTTTTCTTTTATTAAAACCTTTCAGTTCGGTACCGTAGTACGTAGACGCTTGGTAGAACACGTAGGTAAATACCTAGGAGCAAGGCTGACTAATGTTTGCTGAGCTGTATTTACAATGATTTACGCAAACGTACACCTTATAATAACCTCGGCATACCGAATAATGTTTGTTTAGATATACTGTTAAATGTTACTGATAAACGTATGTATGTATACTCGCATTTATATACATTTTAAGATCAAATATTTCTCCACAATCTCAACATATGATAGCAGTATTTTATTTCATTGTAATGATTAATATACTAAATATTTTAAATAATCGCTATTTGGATAAAGTTTTAAGTCAAAATTCGGTAAATAAATTTAAAAAACTGTTCATAGCCGTTTCCGTCCATTAGATGTAGTTACTTACATTTGCAAAAATGTGTAGACAGATACACAGAAGCGTGAATCTATTTATGTACCACGCCATATTGTTCAGAAAATATTGAAATAAATACAAAGTTTGATAGTGAAATACTGTAAAAACTAAATAATAAAATTTGTGATACTTACATAACCACAATACACAACGTGGTAACAGCCAAAATTATTTTGTCAAACAAAGCATGAATTTAAAGGACGAACCGGCGGCCACGCCCGACCCGGTCCGATACAAATATCTGCCAACGGTCGCGTCTGCTTTCCTCGCTCGTTTGACGGGAACGCAGTCCGAGCCGCTGCCAGAACCGTGGTCGCCGGGACCACGGCCTCGGTCACCCGGACCGCAACTGTGGTCGCGTGTGACCCGTCGCCTCAGGCTCTCGCTACCGGCCTTCTGCTTCGGGGATGAGAGGAGTTCGAGAGTGGCGCCCTCCAGTAGCCAATACGGGAGTAGCAGATTCTATAGTAACCCGTTAACGGTACGCTGTCACGGTGTAGGGTTTGGGATCACGTTTTTTTTTTGCATTTAGATTTATCAGCGAATAAGACCACCGTTAGTTTGGTCACCTGAACATAGCCTATTGAAAATTTTATAAAGATACTCCTGACTTATCTTCAGACTCTCAGTTCGATTAAATTAGAGACAATAAATTCAAACTTTTACCTATTATTTAACGATAAACGCTAGTTCAATATTACCTACTCGAATTTAACAAGCGGTCTTCACACTTATTAACCATCTGATTCTCTCCAATATTCATAATAAAAGCAAACATAATTTCTACAATTATTTCGAATGAAAAGAAAAAGAAATTGTATTTCAAGTTAAATAAACCTATCAAAAAATCTTTGCACATGAAGTGAATACACCCCGTGAAACGATTGCATAGCACAAAGGTTCTGGTGACACTCAAAACCACACCGTGATGGTTTGGAATAGAGTGTATTTTCGCACATGCAACAATTTTAGAAAGCACCTCATACGTGGTGCACCTCACGATCACTCTCATCCTCACAGATGGTATACGATAGATGCTTCTAAAACACGGTTCAAATTAAACGCTACGTAGAGCTAATTAGGCTAAAGTAATTGTGAAGTTATTTGGCTAATGTATTATTCCTACCAGATCTTTTACGCGGCAAGCAGAGAGGCATATAAAATAATTTTGAATATGATATAGAAATTGACAAAATCTAACGAATAGTTCTTAATAGGCAAAAAGAAATTCGCAATTACAATGTTTTTCCTTTCAAGTGTCGATGACACTTTAAAGCAAAAAAAAAAAAAATTACGTATATGCCACAACAAACTAGCAGTTCCCTTGTTTTTCTTTTCTAGTGTCTAATCGCATGGTTTTCGATGTACCTTGTTTCCTGCATAGAGCCACTGTGCTTCACTAATGTCCACTAGCTTTGAATGGACGTGAAACAATGTTTATATAATTTTAATTCTTTTTAATTTGTTTTCTTTATTTTGAGTTCGCATACGTGCGTGCACTGAGACGTTGGGACGTTATACATTTCAGCAATACTAAATCTGGCACTTTCAATTCCAGTTAACTTAATTATGACTTTGCTGTTTATTGTTTGGACTTATGTAATGTTTCCTTCGTCGTTAATTAAAGCAACAGTTTAAATTTTATTTAAAAAAAGAACTGTTCCTAATCTATTTTTGTTGTTGTTCGTAATTCAATTTCAATTTATTATAAAGTTTTAATTGCATTTAAATTTCGATCAAATTCAAAATAAGAAAACCTAATAAAAATACTTTATTCGATATTGAATTTTAACGCGACTCTAATAAGAGCTAGTCCCAACGTGTCGTGTAAACACGAGCGCTTCACCGCGTGTGTCGGTTCAGGAGTACACGGAGGAGTTCCGGGACATCGCGAAGGGCAAGTCCAAGGAGAGCCTCCCCACTGGGCCCATCACGTTGCTCAACCAGCGGCCAGTCAGCGAAGACGTACGTTCACCATCGTAGATGCGCGCTCTTATGACCGCTTTGACATTTCAATATTTTTTTTTAATCGGTGATGAGAAAGATAAAAGAGTTCAATCTATACAGCCTCTCTAATAGACTTTTGCCACAGATATAGTAAAATAAATGTTAAAATACGATTGGTGACAGTTGTAAGATTTTACTATACAATAGTTAGTAAAGAAAAATAGATATTAAATTTTAATAATGGATGTGTTAAATACACAATACTGTCTCATTAGAAATAAATTTACTACTAATATCTCTCATGGCTAATAGCCATGACACCTATGAAATTACGCACCGGCAATTTCAATACCTACTTCCTTCCTTTGTTAAACCCCATTCTAAGAGTCGAATTTTCCATAATACCTAATGTAAACAGCAGAATGCAGTACTAAAACATATATGTATTTGTAATATAAAATATTCAGTTTTTGAAAAAAAAAAACCACAAGACATATAAGACTGACATAGAACAAATTTAAAACAAATACATGTTCTATAAAACTTCAGTGTCAACAGCCAGTGTTAAGAATCCGACACAGGATTACCTATTTTACTTCTATAAGAAACTCCTACGAGAAATTCGTCCTCTAAACCTACTCTGGTTTATATTGTATTTTGTCATTCAGTTACTATTATATAAATCGATTAGTTTAACTGACTTCATAGTATGAAGCTTTCTTTTTTTTTACATCTTCACCAATTCTAAGTAAATTTTGTAAATTTTTAGTAAGAATTTTCTCACTATTTGTTCTATACAAATTATGTCCAAGATGAATCTAATAGTTTTTTTTTTTTTTTATTGGCAAAATTATTATAAATTATAAAATGGCATGGCGGTCATAATAACGTGCACATATAGAATTTATACAGGTATTCGGCGTGCAATACCTATTTTTGTATACAAATTAAAATATCAAGTCTCTGTGATTCGAAAAATATATTAGAAAAATAATGAAACTGAAATTATTTATCTTGTTTTTATGATGACATTTCAGTCGAAACGGAAATACAAATTAGATGTTAAAATACCCACATTGTAAACTAGAAGCACGACACGATGGCGTGAATAGAAATTTAAAAAGATAAAAGTCCTCGATCTCATTGATAGGTATTCTCCTGTATGTCATGCGATATCTTCTCAAATTCTCCATGGATTTTGTATAAATCAGTTACTACATCAAACCACAAGTCAAGTGGTAAATATTACAATAATATTCTACCCTAATGAGACATCAGTCCCCACTAGTGTGATGTCAATGCCTTCATACCAAGGTTTTTCCACTTGGATCATTATTAATATTACACATTCAAATATCATGTTGATTATACAGATTCTCTTAAAACAGGACAGAAAAACAAAATGGCAGACGTAAAAACGTCATCGTAGTGCCGCTAGTTTAAACATATAGAGATAAAATTATTATTTTGTTAAAATTTATAAAATGTTTACATAACCATTTTATATAACTATTTGGAGGTTCAAATTCGTGATATTGCATGCCGATTACCGGGAAAGTATATTTATAATACGTCGTCGTTTCTACTTATTTAAATTAGGGAATAATTTCATATTTAAACTGTATATTTTTAATATAGTTCAATTAAATGTAAGATAATAAACGACGCTGTATATGATCAGCAATAGTCAACTTTAATTCAATTACAATTCAATTCTGCCCCCCCCCCCCCCACTGTCAAACAAAGATGTTCATTTTTAATAATTCTATGGCTGAATTTCTTATGTAATTATAAAACAATTGTTATTAAAGTTGACTTTTGTGTGTTTATTATTGATCTATCATCAATATTGCTAAAGAAATGAGATGGGTCTAATCACATCACATACATACCCCGCATTGCAATATAAACCAGTGTGACATGATCTTGAAAGTGTAACTTTGTGTATTGTGCTCAGACCCTTCTCGGATTCAAATGAGAATGCAATAAATTAGCTCTCTTCAGTACCAGCATGACGTAATCCTGGAAACAGTAGATCTCTGGGCCACTGGACATTCTCATTTCGATCTTATTTATATTAGCTATAAGTGTGCTTTATTATATTTATTTTATAATATCTCGATGTTGCACGATGGATGTTTGCTTTTTATTATTGAATGCATATTCGCATGCAAATATATTAATATTTAACATATAGACAATTTAGATTATACCAACATATATAAGTAATCATTATAATTCAATTATGAATATATATAAATATCTATTTTAAATAAATAATCCCCAATAATCAGTATAAATAATATTCCATATATTGAATTCCTTTGCCTCGTTGAATGTGGAAATAAAATGCTGGTTGTCTATGGTGTAGGAGCTGCCACCTATCAACGCGAATAATAAGTCGAGCGGCAAGGCTGCCAACCACACGGAGCCGCCGGCCGCCAACAACACTGTTGTGAACAATACGAATAGTACGACTGCTAATAATACCATAGACAAGAAGACCATCAGTGCACCAATTGCTGTCACGTAAGTCATTAACAAAATCTATTTATGGTCTAGTGTTTCCTTCGTGTATGACAAAGGCGGTTTAGAAACTTGTATGTACGGTGAAGCTGTAAATACGGTGTGCGACTAACAGCAGTAGAGTAGTTCGAAAAAAAACCTAGAATTTCTTAACACCAGAGAGCGACACCAAGTGACAAGTGACAATTGTAGTATTAATGATATTACTCATCATGTAGTTTGTTAAGTCTCTCTATTATTAATTTAATTTGGGTTTATGAAAACATGTAAGAAGATGTATAAATTTGCTGACGCTACCTATCCGCGTTTGCAAGCTCGTATAACATAAAAAAGTATTACCCTAAATTCTGTCGCAGTCGGATAATAAAAATAAAAATTTTATCCAACTTAGAATGGCAATATCCCGTGATATATTATTATATAAATATAATAGACCTAAATACATATATATTTAATTATCACACACAGTGCTTCTAATAAAATGCGCTCAAACTTTATGTGCGTTAAAATAATAATGTGAAATACAAAGGGAAAACCCTTAGTTGCAGACATAATTGAATTTCGCTTCCTCCTTAATCCACCGCCAAATCTTAAAATTTCCTACTCCAACCCAATCCTAATCTTTCTCTAATCCTAGTATAGAACACCTGGAAATATTCACGTGTACGCGCACACTGCGTGAAGGTACAGTCGACAGCAACAGACACGTAGTGCGACTGTCGATGCGGTCGCCCTTCGACTGTACGCAATACCAAGTAGCCGATGTGACTGAAGTCGAAGAGTTAGTGAATTATATAGGAAACTAGATTCAATTATTTTGTAGAAAATTTTTGTGTAAGTAATGTAAGAAAGACTCTGTTTTCCGCACTTAGCCTCTCATTTGGGCCGTTGTGCGTGTGAAAAAAAAAATTTTGTGTAATAATTATAGTGACAATTCAGTAACACGTCATAGTGAGAACTCAGTGTTACCCTGTAGTGAGAACTCAGTGTCACCCTGTAGTGAAAACTCAGTGTCACCTGTAGTGAGAACTCAGTGTCATGCTGAAGTAACACCTCAGTTACACTCTGTAATGGCGACAAAGCGGCGCCAAAGTGTAGTGACAACTTAGTATCACAATAAAATAAAAAAAAAAAAAAACATTTTTTTTGTAATTAATATTTAATTTTCCTTTATATTTCTTGTCTTATAAAACAGAACAGTAAGGAGTCTAGACAAGATACAAACGCTTTGTTCAGTTTTCAGACGAGAAAGAACAAGACAGCGCATATCGCCATTTCATTCTATCTCATATATTTGCTAGTAATCTGTCAATAGATTCGTTTATACTTGGTCTACAGTGGCTTATTTTATCTCATTATGTGATATCATCCACTTTGGATTATGAACAAAATTTCAGGATATTACTTTGAACAGTGTGACCCTAAGTTGTTAATTAGTAAAAAAATATAATAAACTAATTTTCACTCGTGACTTCGACCGTATGACCGGGTATTCACTGACCGGAATAAAAGTAGCCTATGTCCTTCTTCATCCCATATAGTACGTATATGTATACCAAATTTCTTAGTAATTGGTTAAGTCGTTGATACACTAAGAGGTAATAAACAAATAAACATGTAGTTTCACATTTATAATATTAATTGAAATAAATCCCCAGAAACGGCACCGCGTCAGCGCCGAAGTCGAATAAGACGTCGCCGGCGAAGGAGTCGGCCAAGGGCGCGGAGAACCCGTTCGAGGAGGACGAGTGGGACGAGGAGTCGGGCGGCGCGCTCACGGACACGGGCGAGCCCGGCGTGCCCGTGCGCGCGCTCTACGACTACACCGGCGCCGAGAGCGACGAGCTCAGCTTCCGCCAAGGTGCACTCTCACGTTATGTACATATATACATAGTGTCCCCATAAACAGTCTTCGAGAAAAACGGGATAACTTTTTGAACTATATGAGTGATTCTCTTACACTGATAAAAAAACGAGTCAGCTAATTTGACAATTAGCTGACAAAAAGTTGACCCGTTTTTCGATGCTCATTACTCTATTTATATAATCTAAGTGTACAGTATATCCTGGATCATTATTACAATGCTCTTTAACAGGGGTAGCCAAGCGGTCGATCGTGGGAAACCAAAAAATATAAATTACTCTGCACTGCGACATATTTCTAAAAGCTAGGTCATCCTCAGATCTAGATTTCTAGGCATTGGTTCCTAACGAGAAATATAGAAATTTGAAGAAATGTGTTGAACAACTGCATTTGTGTTTTGGTTCAACATATTTATGTGAGTCAGCATTTAAAGAAATACATGGAATTTTTTAAAGTTGACAATTTCCAACTACAAACCTGATTTTGCTAATCTACGATCTCGGACTAAGAATAATTTTCAGTTTTATGTTTTCTCTCTTAATAAAATAAAGAATACTACAATACTACGTAATTTTGTACTGAACTATGTCGTTTCATTTGAGATTTTAAGAACTATATAATTAATAGATATCTCCGAGTTCGTCAGTAAACAGCAGATCTTCGATCAGCTTGATCGTTCAGATCAAGTCAGCCACCTCGGCTCTATGAGATATCCCGACGGTGTAGGACATTATCGACCGAGAGAGCAAATGTAATGACAGTGAAGTGAGTTCATTAATATTGCATTTCAGGTGATTTATTTGAGAAATTGGAGGACGAAGACGAGCAAGGCTGGTGCAAGGGCCGCAAAGACGGACGAGTCGGTCTCTACCCGGCCAACTACGTGGAAACGGTCGGACACTAGCGCCCCGCCTCGTCGCCTCGTCGCCTCGCCGTCGTCTCGCACTCGCCACGCCGTCGCCACACACTCGCTAAGATATTGCGGTTACTTTATACCCGAACACCTTCACGAATTATGTGGTTATATTTCGCAGGGCTCATTAATTGCATATTTTTTTTGTTAATATCTGTCGATATTTGAACTAGATCCCAGGGCCGTAGCTAGAAACAAGTTTAAAGTAGGGTAAAAGAAATTTTTGGTAGGGCAGAAGCCATAATTAAGTGACTTCGAAGAAGCGAATCTATCTAATTTTCTTGGGGCCTTTCATTTTAAGGTAGGGGGTTTGCCCCTCAATGCTAACTTTTAAATAACTGCTCAATATTAACTTTTCTTAAACATTTTCCATGTACATATATCATGTAATAAATTACCAAATGCATATAATGCTGCGCTGTACTTTATGTTATAAAATTCCCGTATTGGTTATTTATAATATAAATCAGTTATATGAATAGCCTTCACAGACCTATTAATTTGTGGAAATTTAATATATAAAAAAAAAACTATATGCAAATTAATTGTATTGAATTAATTTCAAGCTCCCAGCGACGCGTCGTGGCATTGCGAGATGTCGTGTATGTATGACTGGATTCCCTGTAAAATTAGTTATGTTTTATAAGCGCGAGTCATGCTGTAGTCATTGTATTATAACTGTAACGGACGGTGTGTTTAAGTACATTACAATTACTTAGTTAATGTGATCACTGTGAAATCACCTCACATCGGTTGTGTCGATCGCGACATTGAAATATTCTTATGAAGTTATGATATTTTCGATGCCAACCGAAGCATAAACATCGAACTTGTATCCCTTTTTGATTTTACTCGGAGAATTTTGGACCCAAATTTTGTACATTTTTAAAGTAACATATATACCCTGATGTGTGGAGGTGCATATACATTGGTCCTCAGTGCAATTGATGGATATTTTTGGATACAATTGTTCGTAGGTACAACGTGGAAACCAAAAATGTTTATTTGTATCTTTTAGTGGCATTTTTAATATTGATTTTACATATACTTTGTAACCATGTATTTGTTCGATTGCGCGCGAAGTTTGGCCGTAGAAGAAATGTTTTGAATTGTACATTTAATTGTAGTTTTAAATATATTCAGAAAAGAAATAAATTTCAATAAGTAAAAAATAAATGATAAAATAGCAATAATGATTGAGAAGTACAATAAACCTGTCCTAAAAATTTTGTGTCAGATGTAACAAATTCTATACTTTTTCTGCGCTCGATTTTCTTGTACGCCGGCCGATCGTACGCAATCGAATGAATACGTATCTATAGTTAGTAGCGCCAGACACTGTCCTAATTTCAAGAAACTCGGTACCAACCGGCGAGGAGTCTAGCCAAGCCAAAAAATGAAGGCCAATAAATAATGTAGGTACACCAAACAGTAAGTGGCAATGGGATATTTTGTGATATACGTGGCTGGTTGTCGCCGCACTTGCTTTGGTGTGGTTATGTACATATACATGATTATGTTATCGTGCATATAGAATATTTATTTCCCATTGTATATAATGTATAATTATGCGAGTGTAACGGGGCGGCCGCTCAGTGTGCCGCTAGTGGACTGAATACGGGCCTAATGTTTTTACGCCCATGTTTGTATTCCCGCGCTGAACGCGTGCCGTTAAGCGCCCGCTCGACTAGCGCCACCTCGTTTAGGTTAGATAATATTAATAATTAATATATTATGAGAATGTTTACCTTTTCTTTTCCTTTTATACCTCGTTTTAAACATTGTTGTATATGTAATTAAAATGCGGGAAGTCATTAGTGGAGGCTGCGTTTTATCACTTGACTCGTGGATATTGTGTCGGTCGTGTAGTTCCCTTAGTCGTAGCCCCTTTGTTTTCTTTGTTATGGGTTCAGAAACCTCTTGCAAATTAAATGTATTATATTATTATCAGAGAGAGGGTGGTTTTGGACCACATATGTTAATATATTATTAATATTGGTAAAATAAATTGTTACATATGATATTCTTTTGTTTCATTTCTTTATATTTAAAGTCATCGTTCAATACTAATAAATAATAATGTATAAACTGAAGGAGTAATAAAAAGATTATAGATCGATGTTGGAATATGAAATTATTTTTATTTCCTACTAAATCGTTCACGACCACGTAGTGTGATCAAAATTATTATAATATTTCAAGAGTATTTATGGGAACCTGCATAGACACTAGTCTATAGATCATATAAAATCAATGGACTACTTTAGTGTTCACTAAAGACTTACAGCGTACTCGTTTGCATTTATGTAATGGTATTTTTAAAGGATAAAAAGTACGCCAAGACTTGTCCTTTGTTTATACAGGCCTTCACACACATCACACATAAATAAAACCAGGAAAGTATTATAAATCTCATTTATTGGTACGCAACGCACTTGTTACATTGATGCTAGTCTACCGCTGTACAGAAAACCGTGTGAGGGCGAGCTGTCGCCGCGCCTATTTGAATATATATAAAAAAAAAAAAAAAAACAGCAACCGGCGTCGAATTCATCGAGGAGACGGTCTAACCGAATCTAAGATGTACGTGAATTACTTTGAAGTATTAGAACAGTAAAATGTACTCGGAACCTATTGGATCGTTGAAAACATTTTTTTTTCTAATATGATGTCAATATAGCCGCTATATCTAGATTCAGTGTAAAGAAAGTTTATTTCAAAAGCCCTTTTTTCTGTAGAGTATTTCAATACGTTCATACTGACGACCTCCATAGCGCAGTGGTGGGCATGTTTTGTATAAATGAAGTCCCGGATTTAATTGCCGGTTGGGTCAATCTACGAAATGAACTTTTCTAAATTGGCTCGAAATTTGCTTGAGAACCTGATTGGTGTGATAATGTAACACTAATACTGAAAGATCAACAGTCAGTTTTGTCAAATTAATATGGGTAGTTAAAAAATGATTCGGTTCTGAATGTCTAAGAGTCTATGATTCGTTGTATGATTTCCATAGTAAAGATTCCAAGTGTACTCTGTTTTAAAAATCTTAGCTATTGTTAAAGTTTTGCCTCTTTAACATTGTTAATTTTAAATATGTCAATTTCCATATAATTTTATTTAAACATTGTGTACCTATATTATAACACATTATACATGTAATAATACTTCATAGTACACTGGTAATTTGGGATTCGAAGCACCTATTATGCAAGTACATATAAGGCAACTTATTGCTCGACATCTTATACATATGGCATAATTTAAGCGGTGCTGCAATGTCGAACAACTGACTTGTGGAGAACGTACACTGTGCATTTATTTGGCACGAATAATCTCTGCACGCTTGTCATTATAGTAATTTAAAGCTAGCGACCGCCATATAATAAGACTGCCTTTATATCTGCCAGTTTTACTCATGTGAGTACCCTTCATAATGAAATACCTTACAATAAAAATATTTTTATTTCCGAGCCCAGTCATTGTACAGTATCACAAAAATTTATAATTTTTTTTTAAGTATTACATGAAAAATACGAGTAGATTAAAATTTATATATAGAATAATTTTTTTTACATAGAAATGTTTACTATTACGTTTTCCAAGCAAATATTAAAAATTTAAATATCTAAAACTTTTAATTTCAATAGACTACATACGGTACGAATAAAACTTCGAAAAGAACATTATACAATCAGGAAATCTATCGAAAATTACTGATTGTAAAAAAATAACTTGACAGTTATTTAGTGTTTTTTAGTTATTTATTAAATTTTTTTAATCCAATTAAAATTTGTACAAATGGCGACCTCTATGCCCTATGGCATTCTCTACCATCTAGCCATGAGGTAAAAACAGCGTGTAAGGGCAGTGATTATAAACATACATTATATAAAAAAAAATCTAATTTAGCTATTAATATAAATTGACATAATAATAATACCATAACGGAGAACAATGAATGGTAAGAAAATATCTGTTAAATTCCAATATGACTTCTCATTACTGTACGATCACTTTTGTAAAGGTAAACATTTTTGTATATAACATGAATCGATCCGTCAGTCAATTAACTTGAACTTTAACATGAGTAAAACTAGCAAATGTAAATATTGCAACTAGATCTTTGAACGTACAGATGGCGGCGTCAGTTTTTAACAGACTAGACTCGTTGTATAGAGACTCACTATATATATATGCTTGATCTGTTACATTAGGTTCGAACAAACACGTCAGTCGTCAGTTTTAGGATAATTACGCGCGAGCAGTAACGTGTTTAAGACTGCGACTCTATTAAGTCTACTAACTTATATATTATAAGGTACTATCATAAAATGATATTGTAATAGAGTCGCTCCGTCATTATATATACCTTAATAATAACATATAACCCACTCAGTCGATACAGTCGTAAATGCAAACAGACAGACGAGAAATATTTTTATATACAAAACAAAGAGATAGTAGCTACACCGCGCCGGCACATTTCTATAATACGTGAACTAAAATACCGAATATTTATTTACATAAAAATACAAAATGACCAAGTAACAATGAAGGCTGCTCAGTGGAACGAGATTTTTGGATAAAAAATAATATCTCTTTAAAATAATATTGTATATTTAGCACTATACGTTTATACTAAAGGCCTTGCTATTAATATGTAAAAGTTTGTACAAATACAATAACAACCCATCAATGTCGAAAGTAAATGACAAAGTGCAATCTCCATTAATTCAACATAACGTGCCTCTAATGCGGCCTACGCACGCTTCGATCAATCGTTGCGATTTATCGGGGCGTGTGTGGCCGTGGTAAGGAAATATACATACGCAATATCGTACGCAATACGCTAGTGACGTTATAGAATCACCTCATCGCGTGATCTATGATTTGTAATAATAATATAAAATTATAAAAACACGTTGTTAAGAACGAAAATATTCATAATGGAACAAAATTCTTTACACAACAATAATTAAGATAAAATATTTACATATAACCAACGTAACAATATTTTTTATTATATTTATAGACATTAATCTATACTAGTGTATAAATATGAGCATTGATCTTGCGTACCATGCAATGCAGACGTCGCACGGCGTAGCTCGACAACACGACGCGCAGCACTCCACAGCGAATACGCGGGTCGTGCGAGCGCCAAGGGAAATTGTCCGCGTGTGTATGTGTGTGTGTGGATAGGACAGCGGGGAAGCGAAGCCCATGTTTATATTCTGTATATAGTAAAGTACGTCTGTAAGGCGGGGGTGCGGCACATTGTGTTGTCGAGCTATAAATATTGGCACGACATTAATTCTCAATTCTTAGGCTTAGTTTTCGGATACTGTTCATCAGGAACAAACCGTTTGTAAATTTCGAAATAGTCCTATGTTAGTATTTCAGTATTCCACGAAAGGTAAATGAATGTAACCACCAAACCAATAAAAATATCGAGATATTCTCTCTGCCTACCATATAGGGAACTGGCGTGAAGATAGAAATACATTGACTAAGAATTCTCCATATTATATTTTGAACGCTCACGTATTTTTGCGATTTTGTAAATATTTTTGTTTTTATGTTGTGTTTTATACGTTTCGTAATTGCAAGAAATAATTATCTGAAACAATTTTGTCTAACTTGTTTTGTCATAATTGTTATTATGAAGTGATACGTTCAGACATATTTACCTCATTTTTAGATACATTCATTTGCAACATAACTCAATGCGGTCGATACTGAGGCGCCATCTGTCTAAATCTATTTCTAAATCTAAAATTTCAATTTGATATCACAGAGAGAGAACAAAGATATTGTAAAGACTAATATGAACAAATTTTCTAATAGTAATTTCGAGAAAGTATCAAATTAAAATTATTAAGAAATGAAAAATTACTAAAAGGTTAAGAAAAATTAAGTTTAGCGAAATGGCACCTCAGAATCGGCTCCAATATTGAGTTCATGATATAGGTACTAGACATGGGTAATGTGGATACCGATCCGATATCTATATATTGGGTTCCTGTGGACGTTGATGGCGGGATAAAGGTCATCACCCATTTAAATATCGCTCATATCGGTCGGATATCTATTTCCGAATATGTTAAAAGTCTGTTATCTATTTTTTTTTTTGGATAACACACTTAAAATATATTACAACAGTATATGGTTACTGTAACTAAAATAGATAGATACTGCTATATAGTACCCACCCCTAGTAAGTACCTATTATTGTTTACATTAAATTTTTGCAAATTTAAACTTAATATTTTAATAGAACACGCTAAAAAAATTTATGTTTAGTTAAAATCTAAATCACAGGCGTTTAAAAATCCGAGCGAAATTGAGTTAATAATTTTGTGACATGTCGAATCAGTCCATTGATCAATATCAAGGGAGTTATGACACCATCAGTAACATTATATAGGATGTGTCAATTAAAAATTAATTTCAAAATTACATCACTAAAAATGACCATGTAATGACTCCTTAAGTTATTTGATAAGAAACAATCTTCAATCTGATGACTTGTTGAAGGTATAAATTTTAATGTACACTCAAACATTTTCTATGAAACCGTTATTATCTTAGTAACAAATAAAAATATATAGGTTTGCATAAAAAATTTCAGATGAAAGTCAGTACAAATTGAAGTCGAGTGCATCAGCTTGTTTCCCAGGGTAAATAAATTTTGAGATATTTACCCATTTAGAAATTAAAATACCCACTGTCTAATAACTAAGTCTCAGTCCCAATTCACGATAAAAAAAATCCTAAATTACTGACATGGCTTTAAAGCAAAATAATATAAAAAAATAAAATAGTTTTTTTTTTTTTATATTATCGACTAAGTATGAGTATATTTTGTACCAATTAGCGGACGATTGTCGGTATCGGTTCGTGCGTTACATTTTTTCTTATAACGACGGTGTCAATTAAGCATACGACCCGCCTGATGGTAAGCGGTTACAGTAGTCTACCAAACGCGCGTTGATTGTAACCCGTGTCGACGTGAGCCGTGGCGTCTCGCGTCCGATGCATTCCGGCGGCGTGTTCACTGCAAACACGCTTGCAATTTCTCGATCCACTCCTGCGCAGCGTTCGCATCGCTCGCGCAGAAATTGTAAGTCCGCCGACTTGTCCGCAACTACATGAACAATAATTTATTTATTTATACTTATACAAATATATAAAATATAAATATATATATCGTATACAAAAAATTACAAATATATAATAAAGAAAGATGTACAACAGGCGAGCCTAACTCTGTAAGAGTTCTCTTCCAGCAAACCTATGGATTGACCACGAGGTCGTTGACCTGATTACGTATATTTTTTGGTCATTTTACAACCCACGTTTCTTTAATAGAAAAATGTTCAATCTGACATCACCTAATCATCATCAATATCATTGGTAAACAGAGAAAATCAACAGTAGGCTTAAAATAATATTTTTTTAAATGACTCGGCCAAATACCTTTTAGAGATAAATTTAGATGAAAGAAGAGAATTTATGTATAGAGGTTTAACATTAACACTTTGTTTACCCTGTCTACCATCAACAGACTTGGCGTGAAAACAAAATGCTTAATAGGTCTAATAACATGTTCAGAATAAAACTTACGTCAAAGAATGATCTGTCGTCACACTTCTTGGGCGGGCCGGGCGCGGGCGGCGCCTGCGTCACTGTGATCACCTCACCCAGGTCTGTAACCAAATGAGTATATATATATATATATATAGATTATTTCTAAAAGTGAAAAAAGTGTTGTCCTACTCTCTCCTACTTGCTGTGCCCAACAGGGTCCATAATTGAAATGTTATAAACTAAGTATATTATGGAATGCAATAAGAAATAAATATATATATATATATATATATATATATATATATATATATATATATATATATATATATATATATATATATATATATATAATAACACCATACTGTAAGTTTATTATAATTTAAAAAGAAAAAATAAATCAATAACTGGATTTTTAAAGTAACATATGGAGTCAAGCTTACTCGGGTACTACTAATATGTCATGTTCGAGCAAATATATTATTTTTTATGCATATTAATATTATAAATGTGAAAGTGAGTCTGTATGTTTATTTGTCACCCCTTAGCACTATAACCGCAACGCAACAACCAACCAACCAACTAACTAATGCAATGGTTACCCATTTAACCCTGCTACCAGTACGGTCAGAAGACCCATCGTCATCGACATGTTCTATTTTGGTGTGGAAAAATATATAGGTTTCTTTTATCCCCGTTGATTAACTTAATATTTTTTTAGTAATTAATAATCTAAATTAATTAATATACTCCGGTCACGCAGAAAAAATCGCGGGTAAAAACTAGTCACTACTGTAAAAACACAGGCAGGTCACATTCGACTTAAATTCCAATCCATAGTTTAAATACGTATCGTCACATCTCACCAATATATCCTTTACAGTGCGAGTCCTCCATGGCGTCGTAGTATCTAAGCTGGTGCTTTATGGAATCCAGCACGAACCATCTGCAATACGTTCAATGTTGAACAATTTATAATTTTAGCCATATTAGCTATTAACTGCCCACTACTGAGATTCCTTTATAAAGGAGTGTTTTGCCAGTAGTTGCCACACTTGGCAGGCGTATAAGCAACCGCTGTTAGACTTTAATGATGTTTAAGAGAGACGTCGCTGCTTATTCCTCTACTACAAATTTCTTTTAGTCACCTTATACGACACCCTGCTGTTACCCATCCCTCAAGCATTAAGTTCCCTTAGTCGCCTCTTACAACATCCACGGGAAAGGAAGAGGTGACCCATTCTATGCGTGGACTACACGGCTAAAATAATTTTAGCAAAACTACTGATATAGTTTTATAATTAACATTTTTATGGTAATTCTATTCTTGAACAGGGCAATGGGTTATTGTGACCAAAATAACAGCATTAAAACCATAAAATTACACAAGATATTGATTAATGTTATTTCCCTATGAGACTCTGTGATAAATGAAATGTTTTCCAGACCTCTCCCTGGCTTCCTTTCTGTTCCACATAATGAATAATTAATGCCCTTGAAAAATAATATGATTTTATTCTTGCAATAAAGAATTTAAAATTACATTACACTAAAAAAATAGATATTAAATAGTACATTACTGCAGCGGCCAGCAACTGAGGCATTGATGGACGAACGTGCAAATGTGGACCGAGGCTTAGCCGAGGCACACATACGTGAGTCCATCAATGCCTAGTTGTGGCCAAGGCTTGTATAGTACTTTTCTCAAATAATGCGCGAAAATCAAAAACATAATTTTACTTTTTAAGTTCAATGACGAATAACAAACAATAATAATATTTCACGCGCCATAATATTCCTTTATTTTTTTTTTCAATAAACAGTTTTCTATTTGCAAGCCAGTTCGAAATTTAAATAAAATCTTGTATTAGTTACCTCCTTGGTAGCCATGTTTCAAAGTAAAAGGCCATTCCATTTTTAAATTACAGGCCAGATATGAGTTTACATAGTAATTTATCTGGCCGCAAAACACGACAGATATGGATTTTCATACAACTTTTGCCGGCCGCTGCCCGCATGTATGTGATCAGTACGGCAATTTTGATTTATCTCGAAGAAGATTGTTAAAGGTAAAGAAGTTAAGGGGCCGCCTGAAAATCAGCGCTATATAGGTACATCTCGCTGGAGCTGTACATATATAGCAATAGCTGAGGCGGCTCCTATTACCAGCAACATTAATTGTTTTTTTTTTCCTTTTTGTTGTTTTAATTTCTTAGTAATGGTAATAAATGTCATCTATCTATCTATCTATCTATCTATCAAAATAATGCTCACATTTCCAAGCGTGTTTGAGAAAAAAATATTAAATTTACCTTTGCTTCCATCCTTTGAGTAGTGCGCCTCGTTTGTATAAGTGTCCCTCGTGGGTTCGATTCTCGGCGACGTTCGATGAGAACTGTTCGTAGTATTGCTGTGACGACGACTGTAGGGTTGCCACACCTGTAATATTCCAATAAAAAATTCTACAAGGCTATTGGTGTTCAAACTAGAACATACTGTACTATGTTTTGAATAGTGTGTGGTGGAGGGGATGAATGCAAGCGACTGACTGTTGGCAGCGGAGGGGCGGTCGCGGTCGCGGTCGCGGTCGGCGGTGGGCGGCGCCTTGTACTTGGTGCAGGGCAGCGCGAATGCGTCTGCGCAGCGCTCGTGGCAGCTCGCGCCGCAGTCTATGCACCGTACACCCGTCTGCGGAGTATTTTAATATTTATTTATTTAATACTTTATTGTACACACCAATTATACATAAAAATATAACAGTGGTAATTAAATGTACAAAGGCGAGCTTAACTCTAAAAGAGTTCTCTTCCAGTAAACACGAAGTGGAAAGAAGCATCAATGTCAGCAGGTAGAGCGGTGTACAAAATTGTAAAAATTTAACATCTGCAAACTCTCTAATTCGTTCAAAAATTTTTTAGTTGCATCAAGGTAGGATATGTCAGCGTAATCAAGAAGAGGTAAAGTAGGGCTTCAGCCAAAGTAAGCTTTGTTTGAAATGGTAAGAATTTTTGTAGTCGATGCAGTTTATATTTAGAACATTGTCACCGTGAAGCAGTTGTGTTTGCATTGCTGTGTTTCGGTTTGAAGGGTGGGATATGGCGTTGGCGTTATTGGCGTATGAAGTTGTATAAAAAAACCTCTAGAACGTAAATGGTCACGCAGAGTGCAGTTTCAGAGTTGCCTGCAATGGATGTATACAGCGGTGCGCGGGGTGCGCGGGGTGCAGCGTAGCACGTCCAGCGTGGTTTGTGTAGTGCAGGTGGTGTGCAGTGTGCAGGGTGCAGTGTGCAGGGTGCAGTGTGCGGCGGTACCTTGAGCGGCCCCCAGAGCAGGTCCTGGCAGTGGTCGCAGCGCGCGGGCGCGGCGGCGGCGGCGGGCGCCCAGCGGTGCGCGGGGTGCGCGGGGTGCGCGGGCGCGGGCGCGGGCGCGGCGGCCAGGCGGCCGCGCACCAGCACGTCCAGCGTGCCGCGCCGCTGCAGCGCGCGCGCCGCGCGCCGCGCCGCGTCCGGCGGCACCGACCACGCGCGCTGCCGCACAACGCACTTGTTACATATTTATTTTAAATTATATTCATTTTCTTAAACATTTTGTATTAAAATATGTACCTACAATTATTAATAAAAATCAGACTACTTTAAAATTGTTATTATACCAAATTTGGTAATAACATATTCTTGATATATATTAATGACCGCAAAGCTGGACGTCGCAAGATATATGAACGCCCAGAATTCCTAGACTCAACTTTTTATCAAGGGAAGTGCCCTGAAAGTGAGGAGATACGACAAACGGCGTCTTTTTTGCGGTAAACGCGCAGACTTGTGTCTTTTTAGAGTTAAATTGGACAAGATTTTGTTCACCTCAGATCGAAACTTAATGGAGTGAAGTTTTGATTTCAGACACAAGTCTATTCCGGCACTCATCGGTATGTGCTCGCGAGAGCTTTGCATGACCGGTAAATAATGTATCTCCTGTACTGTCGTCTGCATAACAATGAATATTACTGATTTGTATCATTAATATGCAGAAGAAACAGAGTCGGAGATAGTACACAGCCTTGTGGGACACCAGCATTCAAAGGTTTTAAATCAGAGCATGCTCCGTCGACTACGACCTTAATGCTACATTCCTTGAGAAAACTGGCGACCCAAATGCACAGTCTCGCAGGCAACCCAAATGAAGGTAGCTTTGAAAGCAGCGCTCTATGCCACACCCGATCAAAGGCTTTCGCAATATCCAGACTAACAGCTAAGGCCTCTCCCTTACTCTCGATTGCCACTGCCCATCGGTGTGTTAAGTAAGCTAAAAGATCACCGGCCGAACGTCCCTGTCGAAAGCCGTACTGGCGATCACAGATCAGCTGGTGCTCTTCTAGGTACCGGAGCAGTTGACGGTTAATAATGGATTCCATAACCTTCGAAAATAAGGAAGTGATAGCTATGGGCCTATAGTTAGCCGGATCTGAGCGATCTCCCTTTTAAGGGATCGGATGCACCAGAGCAGTCTTCCAAAATTTTGGGACTATGCCCGATGAGTAGCTAAGCCGAAAAAGACGCGTAAGAACCGGAGTCAACTCTGGTGCGCACGTCCTAAGCACAATTGGAGGAATACCATCGGGCCCACTCAACTTATGGATTTCGAGGGAGAAAAGTGCTCTACGCACTGAGCTATGCGTGAATTTAATGTCAGGCATAGAGCTCCTACAACACGGGATGGTCGGTGGTGGTTTCTCCCCATCATCCAATGTCGAGTTTGACGCAAAGATGGATCCAAGAAGATCGGCCTTTTCTTTAGCGTTCAGGGCCAACGAGTCATCCTCCCTGCGCAATGGTGGAAAAGATGACTTACAGAAATTCCCTTGTGCAGTTTTGGCAAGAGACCAGAAAGCTCGAATTCCAGAGGGCAAACTAGCCAATCTCTTGCCAATTCTACTAATATGCTCTGACTTCGCTGTGGCTATAACTCTTTTGAAAGACCTAGAGACAGAGTTATACTTCTTTTTAAGGGCACTGGTGTTAGGATCTCGCGACGCCACACCTTTAGCCCAGGTTAGGAAGCACTCCTGTTTCAATCGAGATGCTGTTCTACAAGAGGCTCCATACCAGGGCTGGGATTTCCCACCGACGGGTACCACAGAGTTAGGAATAAATAATTCCATTCCCTGAAGCACCACATCAGCAATGGAATCGGCAATGGCGTCGGGATCATCCAGTGTAAAGCAAACCTGCCTCCATGGGTAAGATGCGAAAAAAATCCGCATCTCATCCCCATCTGCCGACCTGTACCCCAAATGCGACGTCTACCCGTAAAAGGAGGTGGAGTCGGACTCGTAAGAAGCACCTCGCTCCGCACTAAACAGTGATCCGACGATACAAGCGGGGCTTCGACGGAGATCACATAGTTGTCTGGGTGGGTGGTCAGCAGAAGGTCTAGCAGTGAAGGTGAATGGTCCAACACATCAGGGATTCGCGTAGGCGAGGAAACAAGCTGTTTTAGACCATAAGCCAAAGCAAAGTCATGAACAGATCTTCCCGCATAGTCGGTTGTACGCGAACCAAGCCATTCGGCATGGTGGGCATTAAAGTCTCCAAGAATCACGACTTCAGCGGAAGGAATCTGTTCGAGAAGGAAATCTGTAGCCATTTGGACGTGCTCAATAAGTTGGTCGGTTGCAGTGTTACCTGCAACCGATCGGTCGCTGTGGGACCTGTATAGGCACGCATAGATGCGGGGATGGTCATTGCAATCTACGCGCAGCCATAGAATGGACAGGTCCGTACCTTCAAGAGTCCCAAGGCGTCGACAGCAGATATCCTCTCTTACATACGCACATACACCGGCACGCGAAACAAAACAATGTTCAAGCTTATAGTCCGGGTAGGTCAGGTATGATGTTTCGTTAGGAGGGGATATCTGTGTCTCCGTGAGGAAGAGAAATGCCGGCCGCGCCGTTTCTAGGTGGTGGTGGACAGCGTTCAGGTTTAAATGAATTCCCCTAATATTGCAGAGGCTCACATTAAGTAAAGGGGATGCCGCAGAAGTCTTGCTCTGTTTGCCCTTGGTCCCATAAAGCGGAATTTTGCCCCCCCCATAAAACGCAGGGCAGCCCGAGCGTGGTTGCTCGAGGGAGGATTCTCCAGCATGTTTGTCTATCCACAAATCTATACGCTTTATTTCGGTTTCATTGGATAACTTATAGATTAGTTACTAGATATTTCTTTTAACGAAGTAACAATGGAAAATCTAATTTAAGATTTAACAAAAGCTTCTGATAAGGCGCTCCATACGTTGCTTTCGTATTTTATAAGCGCTTTCTGATATCTAGCTTTTTAATTGGCACGGTTTAAGATTTGTTCACAAGAAAAAGAGCCTTTTACAAAATAAACTTGATAAACATCACAAGATACAACATACTGGCGTGCCACAAGGATCTCATTTAAGCCCTCTCAGATTCAATATTGTATAATTAAAGATATCCATTACAAAAAAAAAAATGTAATATCTGTAATTCATTATTTAATAAAATCATAATCTTTGCAAAAAAAAAAAAAATATAAAAAAAAAGTAAAAAATATCGATATTTCATTTTTATTATTTCTGATATTTATAAACAATCTTTCTCTGTCTGTGATCACAACGTACTCTCTTACAAAAATTACAAAATCCATTTATAATAATAATAATTTTTATTTCGGACTTTTTTGATCCATTCAATATTTATTAGTAACAATATTCTTAAAACTAATGTTAGTAAATTTACATACACAATACACACAGAGATACACACACACACACACTCACACACACATAATATATTAAATAGTATACAGATAATCACCGCTGCACAATTCCATTGGAAATAGCGCAGCAGTGATTAACGTACACACAGTGCAGCCTGCTTGCCATCATACTTAGGATGTTGTCGGCACTGGCACGTACTCTGCGCACCAGGGATGCGCACCTTTTTCGCATCGTGACATAAAGACAATCTACACCATGCTCTGCGAACATCTCTGACGCGCTACACAATCGTGGTAGCCTCATCAACACCCTGAACGCGTTATTATATTGGATACGGAGGTCGCTGTAGGATTTTTGAGTATATACAGCCCACAGGTTGCATGCATAGAAAGATGTGCAATATGACGTATTAAGACAAGTGTTACAATGCTATGCAACTGACCTGCAACTCGAGCGTATTAGGCAGCTCAAGCTGTTCCCAGCGCACGCGCCACTTCTGCGGCAGGTGGCCGAGCTCCAGCTCCAGCTGACGGATACGCTCCAGCAGGCCGGTGAACGCGTCCGGCATACTGCGCGCTATGCTGTCGTACCTGGTACACACAGATAATCATACTAATATTATAAATGTGAAAAAATATGAAGAGATGTATAGATGTTCGTAGCTCAATTATACTTCCCAGTTTTAAACGAAAAAAAAATATTTCTGAATTGCATGAAATTGACGCAATATGTTCGCAATAGTAAGGTCGATAAGACCTTTATTAGTTTTTCATCTATATATATTTATGCATTGTGTCCTTAGATTACATAGATAGAGGCGCTAATCTCAAAAATGGGTCAACTTTTCGTCAGCTAATTGTCAAATTAGCTGACGTGTTGTTTTATCAGTGTTCTATATATTTACATACCAAATGTAACTTGACGTATTATTTAATAAATAAAAATAAGTGTTTACGCATACAAAAACAGAAAATGTAGAAATTATAAGACAAAATATACATAGAAGTTATAAAGGAATCACTCATAACTATTTACCACGTGAAATTGTATGAAAAAGTTGACTCGCTTTTCTCAAAGCATTTGTGTGGAGACACACTATCTATATAATCTAAAATTGTGTTATTTAGCATACAATGCTCGTAATTGTAAACTTACTAAACATGATGTGGACGACTTTATACAAAAGTCGTTTAACTTAGGTACCTCTGTCCCATTCGTGTTTCAACCGTGAAGCAGTTGTGTTTGCATTGCTGTGTTTCGGTTTGAAGGGTGGGATATGGCATGAATTTACAGGGTACAGAGAAATAACACCTGAGTCCTCAGAATAGGCAACGCATGGGGAGTATCATGGGCGAAACAGTCTGTTATGTCCATGGTACTGCTCATGTCTATAGGCGACAATTACCACTTTCCATCAGGTGGGCCGTCAGCTTGTTTGCCATTCTAAGAAGTATAAAAAAAATATTTCAGAGATTTTGTCACAACTATTGGCTGTTGTTTAGTGTTTGTTATTTCAATAGAACAAATCAATATGCGAGCAGCGCATACCCAGCAGTGATGACGCGCCGCTGCGGCGTGGCAGACGCGCAGGCGGAGGTGGTAGCGGAGGCGGAGGCGGAGGCGGGCGCGGGCGAAGGAGCGGGCTGCGGGTCGGGCGGCGGCGACAGCACCTCCAGGTCGTACGGCGCGCCGTGGCACAGCTCCTCGCTCACGTAGTACTGCCACACCTCCAGGCAGTTGATCGCCGACACCGGGCGGAGCACCTGCGGCACTCACGCTCTTATCATACTTGGAATAATAAAAAAAAACTTATACACTTTATGAACAGCGCAAGAGATCACATAATCTCACCTGTTGTACATCTTTATTTTAAATAAATAATAACAATGTAATTTCTGTGTACAATAAATTGTAAATAAATAATGTATCTATGGTATAATAAGTGAGATTGAGAACTCAATTGCTCATTCAGCAAAAGAGTTCTCATAATATCTCACTAAATCATATCACAATAGAGGAAGAGTGTTGGCGAGTGGAAATAAAAAATATATCCGACGATAATCTACAAGGAATATAGGTCACATTTAACAACGGACTATCCGTTGAATAATGACAATATATGTATAGAGTACTAGCAATCTCACATATTATTTTAATGTAATAACTATCAATTTAATTTACAGTGCAGTCACAACCGCTCATGATTAAGGATCACGAATTAATCCCGAAACTAGTTGAACTTTCTCGGTCTAATTACACGTAAGTTAAATCGATAGTTATTACATTAAAATATAATATGTATTTACAAAACTTAACAGTAAAATCTTATACTTAATTTATACAACAAACAGTAATATATGTATATTTGTTTATGTATTAATAGTTGTAGCACTTCAGCTGCCCGCTGACGAAATGCTTTCTCACTGTATTGGGTTGACTGGAAGAGATCTCTGTCAGAGATAAGTCCACCCTTGCTCACAACATTTATAAATACATTATTTTATATGTAACTTACAAGTGCAATAAATAATATAATAAATAGTTGTAAATTTATAATTGGAAGTAGTCTATGAAGAAAAAAAACTCACAGGGTTGTCAAGATCCGGCGTGTAGAGGAAATTGTAGAATATCGGCGATTTCTGATGCTGCCTGTCGATGTAGTCGAATAACGACTGTCCATGGTTCGAGCGCGGGGAGGAGTAGCCGCCGCCATACGGCCCTCCCGACTCCTCCTCCGAGCCCGCGCCCGTCTCTACGCCCTAGGGTACAGTGCTCATTATTGGTACAAAATCATGTTCCAAACTGGTACGTTATGTAATTTTTTTTTTTATACAACTTAGAATGGCAAACAAGCTGACGGTCCACCTGATGGAAAGTGGTAATCGTCGCCTATAGACATGAGCAGTACCATGGACATAACAGAGTATACTGTTTCGCCCATGATATCCCCCATGCGTTGCCATTCCTGAGGACTCAGGTGTTATTCCTCTGTACCCAGTAAATTCACGCCATATCCCACCCTTTAAACCGAAACACAGCCATGCAAACACAGCTGCTTCACAGTTGAAACACGAATAGGACAGAGGTACCCAAGCAATCAACTTTTGTACAAAGTCTCCCTCTGGTAAAACGACCTTCACGTGGTTCCCCCTGGAAACCATCGTTGTGTAATTCTAGGGCAATTCGTCACAATGGGCTAACTGACCTGCTTTCATCGTCACCTATCATCCCACACTGGTGCCCCGCCAGCGTATACCATCAACACAAGCAAGGTTATACATTATCACTAATTAATTATCAACCATCATTAAAAAAACAGGTGTTACAAGTAGGCCGTGTACGGACCAGGCGGCTGGTGTCGGCGCGCTTGTCGTCGGCGGCGGTGATGCCGAGCTCGGCGCGCTGCGCCTCGCTATCCAGCAGGAAGGTGCGGAAGCGGCACGACACGCTGTGGTACGCCACGAACCGCAGGTAGTACTCGTTGAACTCGAACGCCAGCGGGAACTGCTTCTGCAGCTGTCGTGTGGAAGTCGCCAATGTTTTAGTGACTACATTCAACGTAAAGCTTAAATATATGACTCAATTAATGTAATTTGTAATTTGTAAAATGATTGTAATTTGTAACCTGTATAATTTATTATTAATACGTAAATATATTGACATTTATATAATATGACGATTTAAGTAAAATAGTATTAGCATAATATAGTGGCACAGTTAAATAACTATAAAAAATATAAAATTTTGTATGCCAGATTCTGGTGAAAAATGTGAACAATATTTAAATATTATATACCATCTTTTATACCATTTTTCAAACAAAATAAAGCTATTTGTATTTGTATAAAACAACTATTCTAAATGTATTTAAACACTAGAAGATCTAGCCTTCTAGACAAGTGACATCGCTAACGAGTTCCTGAATTAGAATGAGACATCCGACGTTGTTATCTCATTCCATTTCACAGACTCGCCAGCGATGTCGATTCCGTTGATGAATTCACTTGCCACTTTCTAGAGGGGCGGGGCTATTAATTTTCTGTATGCTGCAAAGTGTGTTTTAGTAAATGTTTTATACTTAAAATAATAATGGACACTTTATTACTAGGCGCATTCCACAATTGTTCGCTACATTAAGACTGGTAAATCCGTTTCCTTAGATTATATAGAGATAGATTATATATATACATAAAATTGGCTCGTTTTTGAGACTGAATGTCTCAAAAACTTTTTGTTAGCTAATTAGCTGACTTGTTTTTTATCAGTGTTTCATATACTTACGCACATAATGTATTTTGATGTATCTACACTGAATTATTTAATAAATTAAATGAATTTATACGCATTAAAAAGATACAAAAATTATAAAACAAAATAAATATAAAAGAATCAGTCATAACTCTATTTACCACGTAAAATTGTATGAAAAAGTTGAACCGCTTTTCTCGAAGCATTTGTATGGGGACACTCTATCTATATAATTTTAGTCTATTTCCTACCAATATATTTAGATATTAATAATTTTACGAACAACAGTTCCGCATGAATTAGAGTACAATGTTTATCAAATTTGTAATTTTAACACAAATTATTTTTAACATTTATACACAATAGGAGCCACAGACAACCCTCTATGTGGAGGCTGTTTCGACGCCGAATAAACGGCTGCTCACGTAATCCTGGAATGTGAGGCTGTGGCCCATCAACGTTTAGAAATCCTCGGAACAGTAAGGTCGCTTCGTGAGGCCTATGAAGATCCCAGGAAGCTTCTGTGCTTCTGGGCGGAGCTAGGTTGGCTGTACTAGCCACGACTCAAATGCACAACGGCCCAAATGAGAAGCTAAGCGCGGAAAATAGAGTCCTATTCACATTATACATTACACAAATTATTTTAAAAATACTTGACACTAGAGGGCGACACTAGTAATACTAGTAATATGAACAGATCTCTCGGAAGCTCACCTGGTGCACAGCATCGAGGAACATAAGGAACGTGGGTGTAAAACCCTGCTGTGGGGTGGGCGCAATGTTGGACCGCTGCTGAAACTTGTGGCCCAAGGCCAGCCACTCCTTCTCCACGATGATGCGGAATCCTTCCAAGGTCCGGTAGTAAGGCTCTAGACAGATCTGCGCCAGCGATGATATCTAGAAGAGAACGAATTATACATATCAGACATGTCCTGTTAAATAAAATTTTAATTAATATATGAAAATACCGTGTCACGGTATTCGTCCACGCTAATCTCCAAAACCGATCAGTGTGTTGGATGGGCCATACGTAGTTCAGAATTGTTTGGTGGGCAGAATCCATCCGGTTCAATATGTGATAGCTAATCGCTTCAATTAACTGATACCTTTATTCCTGACCCTGAGGTGGGAGGGGGAAGAGAGTGTTTTTTTTTTGTTCTATGTACTGGATTTGGATTCCCAAGCACTTGCGGTTGCGTTTTTGGTGTACGCTCGCATATGCGTTGTCATTCCTGAGGACTCAGGTGTTATTCCTCCGTACCCAGTAAATTCACGCCATATCCCACTCTACAAACCGAAACACAGCCATGCAAACACAACTGCTTTACGATTGAAACACGAATAGGACAGAAGTACCCAAGCAATCGACTTCTGTACAAAGTCTCAGCTATAAGCAAAGAAATGTTTAAAAGTACATTGGCCCCATTTTTATGGAGCTAAGATCTCCTAATAAATATTTTTTAAGGACGACAAATTACTAATACTGAAAACTCACCTGTGCAGTCACGTCCCAGCCGTCCTCGAGCGAGAGCAGCACGGACGACCCCTGCAAGTCCAGGAGGTCCACCACCGCGCCTGACAACTGGAACAGCTGTCTGAGCTGCCATAACCATCCCGATTCTTCTATTAACCTGGTATATTAGATGACAGTTTTTTTATTTATAGCTCTCTCTCTCTCTGTCTGTCTCTCTAGCGTTTAGGAACAATTATTTGCAGTTTTTTAACGTCAGTTGCAAACATCTAAGGAATTTGTCTTTATGTTTTCAATAGACTTAAAAAAGGAGGACGTTTTCAATTCGACTATATGTTTTGTTGGTTATTATCTCATAAATTCGTCATTTATACATAGGTTTGATTTTTTTTTATATTGGATTTCAATAGACATGAGCCATGAGACATGGACATAACAGAGTATACTGTTTCGCCCATGATACCCCCCATGCGTTGCCATTCCTGAGGACTCGGGTATTATTCCTCTGTACCCTGTGAATTCACGCCATATCCCACCCTTCAAACCGAAACACAGCCATGCAAACACAATTGCTTCACGGTAGAATCACGAATGGGACAGAGGTACCTAAGCAATCGACTTTTGTACAAAGTCTCCCTCTGGTAAAATGTCGATCAATGGAGGAGCCCTATAATCAGAAGTGGACAGATAACGACTGATATGATAATGATGTTGATGCTACTTCATGAAACAACGAGGACCACACGTTTGCAGCAGTCCAGTACATCTGGGTGGTGATATAGAAGGCACCTCAGAATCGGCTCCAATGTTGAAATATACTCAATACCTCAATAACCCCAATTCTCCATCGTACCTCCGCTCCCGGTTTAAATTATTACCACCACCAGTCCGTCCTAAACGTTCCTGTCAAGTTCAGTCCAGGATGCTCGGACTTCCTGTGTGTAGGACACATTTTATGGGCAACTCTTTCTAATTCTAGTTGAATTCGTCAGGATGGGCTAACTGACCTGCTTTCATCCTCATCAGCCATCTATCACTGGTGCCCCACCATTGTATACCGATAGCGCAGACGGGGTTACCATACCATTATCACCCATAAAAAAAAACACATAAACCTATATGTTGTGGTGATATTTGAAGGAATACGTATGTAGTCGTATGTAGTAACGTGGTGTAAGGACCGCAGGAAGCCGGGGTCGTTGCGCGCGGCGGGCGCGGCGGCCCGCAGCAGCTTCTTGAAGGCGTGCTTGGCGTGGCGGCCGTCCGGGTACTCCACGGGCACGTGCTCGCAGCCCGCGCCGCCGCCGCCCGCGCCCTTCTCGCCCACCACGTACAGCGCCGCCCGCCGCCCGCCGCCGCCGCCGCCGCCGCCTTCCCCGGACACTGCAATATCGTCAACAATGGATCCTCGCCTATCATCCGTCACTGGTGCCCCGATGGCGTATACCGATAGCGTGGGTGGGGTTACCATTCCGTTATCAATAATTACAAAAAAATACACCACTGCTATTGCATGCCGTTGACGAATATCTCCCGGCCAGCACATTCCTCAAGACCATCAATATATATGAATGAAACATCACAAAACTCGCAAATATACCAAACAGTGACTTCTTCCCAGACTTCTTCCCAAACTTCCCCAGATCCTAATATTAATAACATAATGTTACCTATATCACCTTCTTCCATTTATATCTTCCATTACATATAAAACATTTCATAATTTACCCCTCATTTTAGGGGGAAAGGGACTGTCAGTAATGGAGACTAAGAATCCTATTGCTAGCAATATACCCAACCAGGTTGACCTCCACGCGGTTCCCCCTGGAAACTATCATGGTTAATTCCTGATGGATTCATCATGATGGGCTAACTGGCCTGTTTTCATTCTCATCGATCACCCTTCACTGGTGCCCCGCCAGCGTATTCCGCTAGTGCAGGCGGGGTTACCATACCATTTTCCCACATCAAAAAAAAAGATCCCTCATTTTAAATTACATGGAAAAAAATAGATTTACGCAGAAATAAACGAGAACTCCCAAAAAAAAGCTCTTTAAATTATAAAAAAAAAAAAAAAAAAAAAACTTTGAAACGAACTTAATTCAAAGTCAAAGGTGATAATCATTTACAAAACTAAAACATGAATTGGTAACCCCATAAAAATAAATGCTAAGCAATAGAACATAAAACCTTCTTTCATACCTAAAACCTAGAATACTAAATTTATTACCATTTTCAAAACCAATGTTTTCTAATATTTCCCTCGTTTACTGATCAATTAAAAAAATATCTAACTGTTCACATAACTATTAATAGTACATTACTGCAGCGGCCAGCAACTGAGGCATTGATGGACGAACGTGCAATTGTGGGCCGAGGCGTAGCCGAGGCACACATACGTGAGTCCATCAATGCCTAGTTGTGGCCAAGGCTTGTATAGTACTTTTCTCAAACAATGCACAGAAATCAAAAACACAATTGTACTTTTTAAGTTCAAAGACGAATAACGAACAATAATAATTTTTCACGCGCCATAATGTTCCTTTGTTTTTTTTTCAATAAACAGCTTTCTATTTGCAAGCCAGTTCGAAATTTAAATAAAACCTTGTATTAGTTACCTCCTTGGTAGCCATGTTTTAAAGTAAAAGATCATTCCATTTTTAAATTACACAGATATGAGTTTACATAGTAATTTATCTGGCCGCAAAACACGACAGATATGAATTTTTATACAACTTTTGCCGGCCGCTGCCGCATGTATCTGGCCAGTACGGCAATTTTGAATTACCTTGAAGAAGTTTGTCAAAATAATGCTCACATTTCCAAGCATATTTGAGAAAGAAAAATTATCACAAAAAAAATTAAAAGATGACACACTAAGTATCTATACTCGCGTAACAATCATGAAAAACTACAATAATGAAATTTGTGGCCACAAAACCAGCGGATAAAAACCAACCTGAATCGACGTCCGCAGTGGACAGCCTCTGCCTGGGCGCGTACAGTTCAAGGTGCGACGGCTGCCGGCGGTCCTTGAGCGAGCCCCAGCGGCCGAAGTGCTTCATGCCGGCCGTGCTCACACCGCCCTTCCCCCCACTGTTGCGGCCCAACACGCTGTCGACGATTATATATAAGAACATAATGATATATCCCGACGTGGCGGGTCAATGAGTACTTTTGAAACCATTGCGCTCACTATAAAGTTCTGACTGGTGGCAGGGCGATAGGCTGGGTTGTTGAGTTCCTTAAACTATGGTTGACCGCAATGGTGGCTAACTAATCCGTCATACTCGTGAACGGGTGCAACTTTTGGGGACTAGTCTACTCATGTTTTCTTGTTTACTTTCCATTTAATAATGTAATTAATAGAACCCATGCAAATGTAAAATTATCATGTACATAATAATTTAAAAAGAGTAATTGTCGAGTTTCTTGCGGGTTCTGAGCAGATATAAATATCCCGAACCCAGCAGAACAATCATAAAAAATTGACAATTTAAAAGAGCTTATAATCAAGTCTGTTTGAATAAAAATGATTTTTAGTTTATTCTATTACAATTATTATGAAAAGTGCATTTAAATAAGAAACTGCCATCAAATGATAATAATCTGTACTTTACTATGGAATATAATTATAATAAAAAAAAAAAAATAAAAAAATTACAATATAATTAAAGCCCATTCGAAATTTAAATTGTTCGTTCCACTCTTCACTCATATTTCCCCTTCTCTTTCTCATACCGTACGTTCCATTCTCTGCAAACAGCGAATCAAGGCTAAGTCTAGATTCATAACAACTGGAGAATTTAGTGGGTAATAGTGGGGACAGGAGCTAGTCACCTGAGAGTGCCGGCCGCCTTACTGAGCAGCGGCGTATGCGTGGGCGGCTGGCCGCCGTCGTCGCAGCACAGCAACAGCGAGTCCAGGCTTAGGCTGGAGTCCTCCAGGTCGCCGCGGGACGCGGGCGTGCACGCCACTAGCGTCGCCAGGTATCTCTCCTGCGAACCAACATGACCTTTATAATCACTGAACTGAACCTGGCTATAGGCCTGTAAGTTAATAGTCTGTTAACTTATATTTCACGAGTTAAATCGCCTTATATTTAAAGAAAACAGTTCACAAAACAATGGTAATTATATATACATACATATACATATATATCGGTCACGTCTGTCTCTCATTATGGAAGATAGAAACAATGGAACGCCTTCGATTACTTCGTTTCAATTATGCTCCAATAAAACAAACCTCTTTCGCTTCCTCCACACTCATCAATCTTTTCATACACGCTCGCTAATTACGGATAATTTTAATTTGGCCCTTCTTCAGCACGTCGCCTATTTGATCGACATATGTCCGTCTAGGGGACCCCTATCGAGATCTCCATTCATTCTTACTCGATATTCATTTTTTCGAGGAAAATATGATCAACTCACTTGTTCTAAACTGGACGTGGTTTCAGTGCCGCTCTGCGTGGTACCCGGCGTCTGGTGGCTGGCCTTCAACATGCCCATCACGCCCTTGTGATGGGGTGCTGCCGATCTGGAGCATACGATTATCAATTTTAATACATCTACATTTAAGTAACATTTTTATTGTTCTGAACAGAACACGATAGTCGATACATCTGGTAAGTAGAGCTATGGGACGCTGCTACCTATCCCACGCCCTCCTTTAGTCGCCTATTACGATATCCACGGGAACGGAAGAGGTGGCCTATGCCAACGCCATCTATGCCAGGACCACACGACCATCCTACATTTACTACCTATTAACAGTCCATCTTAATTTCCGCTGGCGGAGTACTAGTGAAAGATGGTTAGTTGAGCAACCATAAAGAATTTACTAGGAACTAACTATAACTTCGCGTTGTTCCCAAGGAGACAACGTGAAGGTCGACCTGAAAGGGTTATTTCAAGTCCCTACTTGAAATAACCCTTGGTATAGATAGTAAAATTTAGTAAAGCGGAAGAGTTTGTTTGAACACGCTAATCTTTGAAAGTATTTAATAACACCTGAGTCCTCAGGAATGGTAACGCAGGGGGGGGGGGGGTATCATGGGCGAAACAGTATACTCTGTCATGTCCATTGTACTGCTCATGTCTATAGGCGACGGTTACCATTTTCCATCAGGTAGGCCGTCTGCTTGTTTGCTATTCTAATTTGTATAAAAAAAACATATCTGAAAATATTAAGCATATATGGAAGTATCATTACACGTTCCTGGCCAGTACCGACCGCACTGGTGCAGTAACGCGGTAACGTACCTGGCGAGCAGCGCATGCGTGCGAGGATGCCGCCAGGTGATGACGGGCAGCCGGCCCTGCCGGTAGCAGCGCGCGATACGCCGCAGCGACTCGTCGCCGATGCTCTCCGGCACCGGGATCAACGCCGGGTAACTGCGGACACATAGTACGCCCATAAGTATATACAAACAACATACAGTACACATCCTGTGATACGATATCCAATCGCATAGTCGCGCGAGGCCGATGCGCGCCCAGTCGCGTGCGTACGCCCGCTGCAGCGTGCGTGCGTGCGTGCGTGCGTGCGGTACTGTAGGTGTGCGGGGCGGCAGCGTACCTCCTGCAGAGCGTGTACACGGCGTTGGCGTGCGTGAGGCGGAAGGGAGGGAGCGCGCGCGAGGCCGATGCGCGCCCAGTCGCGTGCGTACGCTCGCTGCAGCGTGCGTGCGTGCGTGCGTGCGTGCGGTACTGTAGGTGTGCGGGGCGGCAGCGTACCTCCTGCAGAGCGTGTACACGGCGTTGGCGTGCGTGAGGCGGAAGGGAGCGCGCGCGAGGCCGATGCGCGCCCAGTCGCGTGCGTACGCTCGCTGCAGCGTGCGTGCGTGCGTGCGTGCGTGCGGTACTGTAGGTGTGCGGGGCGGCAGCGTACCTCCTGCAGAGCGTGTACACGGCGTTGGCGTGCGTGAGGCGGAAGGGAGCGCGCGCGAGGCCGATGCGCGCCCAGTCGCGCCCAGTCGCAGGGGCGGCAGCGTACCTCCTGCAGAGCGTGTACACGGCGTTGGCGTGCGTGAGGCGGAAGGGAGCGCGCGCGAGGCCGATGCGCGCCCAGTCGCGTGCGTACGCTCGCTGCAGCGTGCGTGCGTGCGTGCGTGCGTGCGGTACTGTAGGTGTGCGTGCGTGCGTGCGTGCGGTACTGTAGGTGTGCGGGGCGGCAGCGTACCTCCTGCAGAGCGTGTACACGGCGTTGGCGTGCGTGAGGCGGAAGGGAGCGCGCGCGAGGCCGATGCGCGCCCAGTCGCGTGCGTACGCCCGCTCACGCACGCGTTCCAGTGTGCGTGCGGCACGTTCCGCCGTCTCAGCGCCCGTGCATCCGCCATTCACGTCCAACTCCTCCACTGCCCGCAAATACGAGTAATTTAAATTAGGTACTAAATTAATAAATTCAATATTAGGTCAAATATTTTTTTTATTGGATGATAATTAAATGGCAACCCTCCCGCGCTGTCGGTATTAGGCTTGGATGATATTACGTTTTTGCAATTATGACTTGACACGGTCAGGAAATTATAATACTCGTTACTAATATTATAAATTTGATATTGAATTTATTAGTTTTATTTTTTATACCTTTAAGGTAAGGTCATGTTTGTTATCTTATAGCACTTTGATGACCTAACCGATCACTATTAAATTTGGTATAAATGTACTATATAGTATGGAGAAGGCTAGTTTTTATTTCGGTTAGTAAACATACTCCAATCCTGCGAACGAAGTTACAGGTAAAAGTTAGTAATATGTAAAAAACACGGCCGTATCGTCTCGGCATAGAATAGGCCACTCCTTCCTATCCCGTGGGTGTCGTAAGAGCTGACTAAGGAAGGGCTAGAGATGGGCAACAGTATCTCTCTTAAAACATCTCTAAAGCTTGACTGCGGTTACCAATCCACCTGCCTAGTATGACAACTACTGGCAAATCCTCCAAGGGGGAGGCTTCTGTTCAGCAGTGAAGAGTTAAGGGTTGACATGATGATGATGATGATGATGATGATGATGATATAAAGAATAGGAGATATTTACGCGAGAGCGTGTCTGCGGAGAGCGAACTCATGAGGGGGGGTGAGGTGAGCGAGCGCGCGTCGGCGGCCGGCAGCACGTACTTCTGCCGCTTGGACGGCTTCGGCTTCAGCCCCGCCTTGCGCGCCGTCTTCAGCAGCGTCTTCTTTGCGAAGCCCCTGAACACGATCGTAGGAGACATTTATCCACTATATACTACTGCTATGGGACAGAGGTACCCAAGCAATCGACTTTTGTACAAAGTCTCCCTCTGGTAACGTATTCATAGGTACCGCGACATCATAATTACACGTGAACCTAGCCATCCCTCGTAGACAACAGTACACCTATCCCCCGATTTACACCGTAGATACGTTCCTGAGAAAAACGTGTAAATCGAAAATTAAAAATTTTCAAGTCAAAACCGTGTAAATCGAAAAGCTTGCAGAAAATGCATAATTTTGCTATTTAACAGTTGTGATTTTTTTCAATATTTTTAGGTGTGCACAGAAATAAAAATAAAATGCATTGACAGGTTAAAATATGTAATATATTACGGAAACACTGTTTTTTTATTTAATGACAATACATTAAACTAAAAAATTAAATTTTTCTGACACTGTGAAACTTTCACTCAAATACAACTTTCCGTAGATAAAACTTTAATTTTATATATCGAAGAAATACAGACAGTGTGCATGTGCAGCAAGTCAGCACATAAGCTCGGGATTCCCGTGAGATGTGTACACAGCGCACGTGTTCAAACACAGTAGCATTTAATAGAGTGCGATAAAAACAAAAAAAAACTTATTTGGAAAACCGTGTAAAAGCGAAAACGTGTAAAACAAGTACCGTGTAAATCGGGGGATAGGTATATACTAAGACTAGAAATTGAATTTTGTTTTCGGCATTGTACTAACATCACTGTGCATGCAATGATATTATTTCAAGAAAGATTTAGTATTCGCATAAGTTGAACTTCATGCGTACCATGATAAATGATTATATATTTATTTATATAACTTTATTGACCTATGTTCCGTTCGTGTTTCAACTGTAAAGCAGTTGTGTTTGCATGGCTGTGTTTCGGTTTGAAGGGTGGAATATGGTGTGAATTTACAGGGTACAGAGGAATAATACCCGAGTCCTCAGGAATGGCAACGCATGGGAAGTATTATGGGCGAAAGAGTATACTCTGTTATGTCCATGGTACTGCTCATGTCTATAGGTGACGGTTACCACTCTCCATCAGGTGGGCCGTCAGCTTGTTTGTTATTCTAAGTTGTATAAAAAAAAATATAGTACAAAATAATACAAGATTGAAGCATCACGTGTCGAATTTTGTGCCTAAAACCAACCAATGGTGTGCATCTCACACCATAGGGGCAATCATAAAAATCATGATAAGGGTATCCAATGACCCCTAACTCCACTGGACTTTTTATTCAATCACGTGAAAGGCTTAGTTTATGGCGAAATCGGACACGATATTTCAAATATGGATCAATAAATCACACATACGTTTAACAGAATGAAGAGTACAATGTGAGAGGGGATATGAGGGTGAGGGTGGTGGTGGGCGGAGGAGGGTGGTGGTGGGAGGGGGTGGCGGCGGTGGCGGCGGTGTAACGGCCTCACTTGAGCGTGTGGTGCTTGGCGTGCACGTGCGGCGCGGGCGGCGCGGCGCGCGGCGCGAGCGCGAAGTGCAGGTGCGGCGCGGGCGGGTGCCGCAGCCGCGCCAGCTGCTTGCGGAACGCCTCCGTCTGCTCGCCGCTCACCTCCTCGTCCAGCGCCACCTGCACCACCACCGCGCCGCGCTACGTCACTGCCCGACCACTCCAGCACGTGCACCACGTGCGGGCCAACTACAACTCCTACCTCTCGCGTACAATCAGCGATACATTCAGCTCTTCACTCGCATCTCACACTGCTCTTCTCGGTCACACTGCGCGGAATATCTGGCACTATGTCATCCTACAACTGATGAATCTGCTAGTCGCGCAAGCCATCTGTCCGGTTATCACCGCGTGGATCTGTGGAATCTATCTTCGGTCTATGGAAACCATAGGCTACGGTAACCGCTTACCATCAGGTGAGCCTTCATAGCGTTTCCCCGCCTACTTTCTCACACAATTATCCTCAACGTTCCCTCACATTCTTCTCAAACTTCTACACATCTTTGCATACATAGTAATCACATATCAGCAAGTACAATAACGGGCATTATGAAAACCCAAACACACTAGTAGAAAAGGGATTGTTAGTAATGGGGTCTAACTGATCCATTGGCCGCAACACACCCTATCAGGTCAACCTCCACGTGGTTCCTCCTGAAAACCATCGTGGTTAATTCTTGTAGATTTCGTCACAATGGGTTAACTGACTTGCTTTAATCGTCACCTATCATCCCTCACTGGTGCCCCGTCAGCGTATACCGATAGCGCAGGCGGGGTTACTACTCCATTATTACCCACTAAAAAAATCCACAAACATACTGATATACTTTCAAACACATTGCCCACTCTGTCGCGTACTGACCTTGATGAGCTGGAAGGTGGCGGAGCGCAACTGCAGCCCCTCCTGCAGCGGCTGCTCGAGGTGGGGCAAGTGGTGCGTCCGCACGGGTTTCTCGCGCGTCAGCGAGCACAGTGGAAACGACCGCACTACCGTCTGTTCACACGCTGTGCATTGAAACAGATGAGAGACAGTTATTTATTTTTTTACGCAAGTTACAAAAGCAAACAAACTGTCAGAAAGTGGTAACTGTTACCTATTATTTTACCATGGACATAATAGAGCATACTGTGTCACCTGTGATACCTCATGAATTACCATTCTTGAGAAGTTGTTGTTATCAGAGGGAGACTTTGCACAAAAGTCGATTGCTTGGGTACCACTGTCCCATTCGTGTTTCAACCGTGAAGCAGTTGTGTTTGCATGGCTGTGTTTCGGTTTGAAGGGTGGGAAATGGCGTGAATTTACTGGATACAGAGGAATAACACCTGAGTCCTCAGGAATGGCAACACATGGGGGGTATCATGGGCGAAACAGTATACTCTGTTATGTCCATGGTACTGCTCGTGTCTATAGGCGACGGTTACCACTTTCCATCAGATGGGCCGTCAGCTTGTTTGCCATTCTAAGTCGAATAAAAAAAATAAAAAAAAAACCTCTGTATCCTGTAATTTCATTGCCATGTGGAAACACAACACATACAGTTCTTTATTTACTTTAATATTTAACAATTTTATTATCGAAATGAACATATGGTACAAAAGGCGGATTTAATGCTAGTAGCACTCATTGCGAGTCAACCTTTGGGATAAACAGTGAATCACGTACGCAGTACTTCATTATTGGGATAGATAATGACAATAAGTAAATAATAATAACAATTAGAATTTATTTATGAAGAGTGGAGGTTTTGTTGTACACGTAGTGCGGAGCTTCGAGTAATTTATGTGTTTATATTAAAATGGTGATTAAGTAGTGCCTCAGACGTAGCCGAATGACTTATAAGTAACGTATACGAAAAAGTCCTGTATAATGTTGTATGGGTTTCTATTATTCTGTACAATTATTAGTCGATACTAAAATGTACGGTGGCAAGTATAAAGTATAACGCTTCGAGATTACACTAATGCGGCTGGTTTCCCAAGATCTTTGGGAGGGGGGGGGGGGGGTTAAGGAACACTGAAGGATAGCGGTGGAGTTGTCATTTGTGTTCTCGCTCATATTATATTCTTTTAATATGATAAATTCTTGTAATATTTATCAGTCTGCCGAAATGAACCTGAATTCCTAAAATTCTTACGAATTCAGTTGAGCTTGTTTACCACACGCACAAAGTTACAGGTTTTAAAATGATTATCAAAACTATCAAGGAAACAATATATCACAATACAACAATGTAGCGAGTGAATACGGATGATGCGGGGCGCGGTTACCGAAGGGGTCGAGGGGCGTGCCCTTGAAGATGACGCGGTAGTTGGTGAGGAAGAGCGCGCCGTCGGCCGGCAGCAGCGCCGCGCCGCGGCCGTCCGCCACCAGCAGCGCGCGCAGCGCCGCCGCCGCCAGCGCCTCGCCGCCCACCAGCGCCGGCGGCACGATGCGCGCCTGCCACACACCCGCGTTACACGCGCTCACACGCTCACACGCTCACACGCTCACACGCTCACACGCTCACACGCACACACACACAGGCCTCGCGGACCGACCACACCGGTCCCACAACTAATATGTTTTTCTCAAACATGCTTGGAAATGTAACCATTATTTTGACAATCTTCTTAGAGATAAATCAAAATTGCCGTACTGGCCAGATACATGCGTATGAAAAGTTGTATGAAAATCCATATCTGTCGTGTTTTGCGGCTAGATAAATTACTATGTAAACTCATATCTGTCCTGTAGTTTAAAAATAGAATGACCTTATACTTCGAAACATGGCTACCAAGGAGGTAACTAGTAAAACTTTTTATTTAAATTTCGAACTGGCTTCCAAATAGAAAGCTGTTTATTGAAAAAAAAAAAAAAACAAAGGAACATTATGGCGCGTGAAAAATTATTATTGTTCATTATTCGTCATTGAGCTTAAAAAGTAAAATTATGTTTTTGATTTCCGCGCATTGTTTGAGAAAAGTACTATACAAGCCTTGGCCACAACTAGGCATTGATGGACTCACGTATGTGTGCCTCGGCTACGTCTCGGCCCACATTTGCACCTTCGTCCATCAATGCCTCAGTTGCATTCAGTCATTTTACATTTCAGTTTTTATTTGTTAAAATGTTAAAAACTATCTCTATTTATTTATTTCTGTGGTACAGCAACAGATAACATAAACAAAACTTTTACCAATAGAGTACAACAATAGTATTATAAGTTTGCAATCCAATTATAGTTGTACTCGACATTCACAGGGATGAAACGGAATAGGTGGAATTTTAATATAAAAAAGAATTAACGATAAAAACTACATACAAAATAAGGATCAAAAACAGAACTACCAAACTATGCTTAAAAACTATTAGGTTATCAATTATACATTACTTATGTGTATCGACACGACATTTGTCTCTGTACAATTAATAAGATATCCCAACAGATGGCGTATCAAAAACTATTTCAGGCGTTCCACAAGGACGTTACTTGGGACCCGTTAATTTATTTTAACCTCGTATACCTTTTGCACTGGGGGTAGCCGTCGGCTTTCTCGCGCGACAGCATCCAACGTTTCTAAATGCATATGTACAACGCCGGGGATCATCTGATGTAAGCAGCGCACGTGTTCCGCTGTGACACCGCCCTCGGTACACACCTAACGATTACAATAAACTAGTTAATAAAAAATTTGTTAATACATTAACAAATATGATTTTAATGAAATACATTAAGACGATTACCTTATCAACGAATCTAGAAACCATTTTGATAACGTTATTGCCAGCTTCACCAGGATCCGCTTCCTCAAACCCTGATTCAGCATCTGCACTATCGGACTCTGCTACACTGTAAACAATATTAAAACATTATATACATCAATACTTTTCTATTTTACGATGTATATTATTTTGTCTTTGATATGTTTCTTTTTTTAATTTTACCATATTCAGGTATATCACAGCTCTTTCGTACCTGAACTGACTTCTTAGATAAAGTTTTATTTACCAATAGGATTACAAATTGGTGATACTGAAAATTTACCTACCAGATATTTCCGTCAATGAAATTCTGTATATCTTTTATATAAACACTGAACATATCTAACAATAACAATGATTACAAAAACGTTATACAAAAAAAAAAAATGTTTGCCACAAAAGACAGACTTAATGCAATTAATATAGTATTATCTTCCTGTCCCTTTGGGATAACAGAAATGTAAAAAATATTGAAAATTGTTGTGAGAAAAGAAATTATCTGTTTCAATCAGATTTATAGAAGGTATTGAAACTAAATATATATTTACCTATTAGTTATGCTATTACTAGCTCTATCGGCGTCATCTCCCCTCGCGTCAGCTCTTCTACCCGCGCCCTCTAGTGGCAGTAGAAGGTACACCATCCTATTTGCATAATGTATTGCTTGACTATATAACGTAGACTCTTCACTAGCTATTAACTCCCGTTGCTTTTCTGCAAACCATTGGATTAATTGAATCTTCAATAAAACAAAAAAAAAAAACAAAAAAAAAACAACAAAATCCATTTAATATTATAGAAGAACAGCTTGTACAATGACAATGGCTAGAATAACTTTAAGTGTCAAATTATATGTCAAGTTTTAACCACATCTATTTAATTAATTCTATTCCGATTCTGTTAAGTTTAATGTTTAATTAAAAGCCTCTACAATTTTTTATATGGTAATTATATATATGGCAATATTAATAAAAGACAATAATATGGACTATAAAGAAAAAAAATTAATAGTAAAATTAAGTTTTTTTTTTTTTCAAGAGTACTTTTGTCTATTATGTAACAAAATTATTACAAATATAAGAATAGAAAATGTTACAAGTAAATATTATCTACCTATACTTATAATAAATCTGTAGAGAGGTCAATTCTATACATGAAATATATTTCCAAAATAACTATCAGGGGGTGATTAGTGATCGATACTGATGCCAAAAATGCAATCAGTAAAATTTTTGTCTGTCCGTCTGTCTGTATGTTCGTTATAGAAACAAAAACTACTCGATGGATTTTAACGAAACTTGGTACAATTATTCTTCATACTCCTGGGCAGGTTATAGTATACTTTTTATCACGCTACGATCAATAGGAACAGAGCAGTGAAGGGAAATGTTGGAAAAACGGAAGTTACTCCATTTTTAAGATTCCGTCGCGTGTGCAGCCTTAATGGCCACTTTTTAAAATGTTAAAATGTCCACCCGTACGACACCGGGACGAGCCGCTAGTAAGAAAAATATATATATATTTTATTGCCGACCATCCGACCGACATCTCCATTCATTCTTGCTCGATAAATCTCTTTCGTAATTCTTCTTTCATCCATCCTCTCCAAATGACCAAACCAACGCAACATTCCTTTTTCGATTTTTGTCACTACATCGTCTTTCAGTCTTTTAATCCCAGAAATAAATACAAATCACTAGTATAAAAAATTTATAGACGTGAAGTAGTTTAAATAGCATAATGTTTGTATAACGTCACATTAGTCCATACCTGGAGGTAGACTGGGCCATAATCTCATCTGTTCGGCGGCTATCTCCAACGCGCTCGGCTCTTGCGCCTTCAGTAATGATATGTATTCTTCATCGTCTCTGCTGAACAATCCAAAACAAATATATATATATATATATATATATATATATATATATATATATATATATATATATATATATATATATATATATATATATATATATATATATATATACAAAAATTCTTTATAAGAGAGTCGAGTCTGCGCATTGCGTATAGAGGCCATGATCGCCGTTCTGGTTCATATCTGGCTCAAAGGATATCTCTGGCAATCCAACGCAGAAATGCCGCAAGTGTCATGGGGACCTTTGGGTCGAGTACCAATCATGAATGGGACTGATCATTAATTTATATATATATATATATATATATATATATATATATATATATATATATATATATATATATATATAACAGATGTAAGTAAATAAGTTCATAAATAAATAATTAAATTGAAGAAGACATATTCAGCTGATCAATATATGTAAAATTAAAAATAAATAAATACTTAATAATTTACGTGGCGTTTTCATTAGGACTACCACATTTTGAGAGCTTTTAATAAATAAATGAAAAGCCATGCTTGTCCTCTCAAAGATACAGATTTGGTACAGATAAATACATGATTTATCCGAGAGATTTTAATTCATTAAATTCATTTAAATTTATCTGACATAATTAACGGTCAATATGTTGCCAGTTAGAGTAAGAATTGCCAGTAAAGGGCTAAGGGAGCTTAATGGTCGAAAGACAGACAGCTGCGTCCCTCTTTGAACATCACCAAAGTTTAACTGCGGTTACCAACCCGCCTGCCAAACGTGGCAACTACTGGCAAAGTCTCCCAATAGGTGGAAGCCTATGTTCAGCACTGGACAGTTACCAGCTGATATGATGATGATGATACGGTTGTCAGTATACGGAACCTCGAAGTTCAACGCTGAAGCTTTAAAGTTACTATATTGTTTTTTTTTATACTACTTAGAATGGCAAACAAGCTGACGGCCCACCTGATGGAAAGTGGTAACCGTCGCCTATAGACATGAGCAGTACCATGGACATAACAGAGTATACTGTTTCGCCCATGATACCCCCCATGCGTTGCCATTCCTGAGGACTCAGGTTTTATTCCTCTGTACCCAGTAAATTCACGCCATATCCCACCCTTCAAACTGAAACGCAGCCATGTAAACACAACTGCTTCATGGTAGAAACACGAATGGGACAGAGGTGCCCAAGCAAACGACTTTTGTACAAAGTCTCCCTCTTGGTTTATGTTGATGACCATAATTTACGTTGACTACTAAATTACTACATATTACTTGTTCATCTGAATTTAATAAGATTAGAAGAAAAGATAGATGGGCTGTGTGAAAGATAATATGGCTAGAAAGAAAGAGAAAGCTAACATGCAAATAGAAATAAGCAATTGTTAAGAAAAACATTTTACGGCGTCCCTAAATGATTGAGATAAGGGCAGGAAGATGATGATGATGATTCGAAGATAAAGAACCGTCACCGACCTCGGACTGGGCACCCTCTGATGATGCGTAGGACTTGGAAGGTACAGGGCCTTGATGTCCCTCTGGACGTCTTGATAGAACGCCGCCTCCCAGAACTGCTGACTGGTCCACACCGCATGCTCCTGTAATATTATTATTATCATCATGTGATCATCACACAACCTATTATATGCTATATATCTTGATATATATATATTGCATGTGTAAATTTTTGGCAAAGGGGGTAACAGTACAAGTTAATCTCTGGGTAAGCGGGTTAATTTTTTTTTATTATTTGAAAATGGAACGGTATCCCCGCCAGTGCTACAGACTTACACTGGCGGGGCACTAGTAAGAGATAACAAGTGAAAAAGAAAACAAGTTAGTTATCCTATCAGGATGAATTAACCACGATGTTTTCCAGAGGGAACGACACGGAGGTCGACCTAATAAGGGTATATTAATAGCAATGGGGCTCTTAAATCCCATTACTAACAATTCCCCAAGAGGAGAGCTCCCCGCACGTTTCATTTTAAATCTTAGTATCTCTACTTACTAAACGCCAACCCATCGTAGAAAAATAAAAAAAATACACAAAATCTGGTCATCATCATCATATCAGCCTTTAACTGTCTACTGCTGAACATAAGCCTCCCCCTTGAGGGGTTTTTCCAATAGTTGCCACGCTTGGTGAACGCAGTTAGACTTTGAAGATGTTTTAAGAGAGACGCCGCTGCCCATCCCTCGCTCTCTCTTCATGCCTCTTACGACACACGGAAAAGGAAGGGGTGGCCTATTCTATTTGTTTGCGCCTTTCCTTTTTTGTGTGTATAAATTTATGGGTGCAGGAACTCTTCAATAACTCGTTTATTGTTATTTTTGTGAAATATGAGTTTATTATACGAAATATTATTAGGATCAATCATTGCTAATTACAGAGAGCGAGCGAGTCAAGTTCATGTCTATCACCGCAGTAGCAGACCGTTGAAGTCTCACTTCACTCCGTTGACGTTTTATCTATTTTACTCAATAGATGGCACCAACATGGCCCCGCCTTTGAAAGCTGCATGTATACAGATTTCAACATAGACAGGATCGTCTTTCTCCTCCTTTCATTCTGCATCTGATGGCTGAGGTGGAAGCGGACATATTTTGGAAGTGGCACGTTGTATGATACCAGTTGCAGTGCGAATCTCTGCCACTCGGGATACTCCATCCTTGCCTGGAAAAGTGCGCAGAATTCGACCCATCCGCCATTTTAGTGGTGGTAGGTTATCTTCTTTGATGAGAACTAATGTGTCTTGGCCGATATCTGGTTGCTGTACCTTCCACTTCGTTCTGGTTTGAAGCTCCGATACGTACTCCTTAGACCAGCGTTGCCAGAAATGTTGCCTCATTTGCTCTATACGGTCATATCGCATCAGGCGATGAGTTGCAGTAGACGTCAGGTCTTTGCAAGGAAGCGCGGTCAGAGGCCGCCCGATAAGAAAATGTGAAGGAGTAAGGGGAAGGAAATCATTAGGATCTGAGGACAATGGGTACATAGGACGAGAATTTAGGATAGCTTCTATCTGTGTTAGGACAGTCGTAAATTCTTCAAAGGTTAAATTACTATTGCCAACAACTCGTCTAATATGGTGCTTACAAAAGCGGACCCCTATCTCCCATAAACCACCGAAATGAGGACCATACGGCGGAATGAATCGCAATTTAATACCATTGTTTGTAGTGAAATCTTCGATTTGAGTAGCATTTTCATTTAGAAATAATGACAATTCTTTCTGTGAACCCACAAAAACTTTTCCATTGTCACTAAATATTTCTATCGGCTTACCGCGACGAGAAATAAAACGTTTTAAAGCGAGTAAATAATCATTTGTAGAAAGACTAGATACTAATTCCAAATGTATAGCACGAGTGGTAAAACACACAAATATACAGATATAACCTTTCATAAGTGCAGCACCTCGTCCTCTGCGATTCAGTATCATCACCGGTCCGGCATAGTCGACGCCACAACGCATGAAAGGGTAACCTGGTTCTAAACGTTCAGACGGTAAGTCGCCCATTATTGGCGTTAAGGTTTTCCCTCTCATGCGTACACATGTAACGCATTGCCGTACAACTTTCCTAGCTAGGTTTCGACCCGCGAGTGGCCACCAATTTTCTCGAATTGTAGATAAAAGTAATTGGGGTCCCGCATGTAGTAACCTTTTATGTTCATCTCTAAATAAAAGTGTACTAAAATAATTTTTACTTGAAATTAATATTGGGTGTTTTTTATTATAATCGAAGTGACGTGAGTTACGCAATCTGCCACCAACTCTAATTAGGCCACTTTGATCTAGAAATATGTTGAGACCGGACACTTTATTCGATTTGGTTTGATTTAATGGTAATTGTTTTAGTAAGCTGTCGTATTCATCCGGAAATGATTGTATTTGCTCAAGTCGAGCTAGCATTGTTATTGATGCGCTTAACTCATCCACCGACAACGAACCAGTTGTACGCAGGTGCTTGGGCGACCGTATGTTGGTTATGAATCGCAACACATAAGCACCAGTACGTTTTAAACGTTCGAACGAAGAGAATCGTGAAAAGTTGATAAAACTATCTTTTATGTTTGAAGCAGCACATACAATTTCATTTTTTACTTCTGGTAGCTCTATAGAAGTATAAGTACTATGGTCAACTTTACAATTAAATTATGAGTAGGACCGTCCCACCACAATGTACAGTCAACAAGTATATCGAGATAGGCACCCCTAGACGCGAGATCGGCCGGATTATTTTTGCCATTAACATGCAACCAAATTGCATCACCCGTTAACTCATTTATTTCAGTTACACGATGTTGTACGAACGTTTTCAACAAATGTGGTGACATACGAACCCATCCCATAACTATAGTCGAATCTGTCCAAAAATAGACCTTATCGAATTTAAGTCTAAGTGAGGATACGATTTTTTTGTATAATCTGGCACCTAACAATGCGCCGCATAGCTCCAGTCTCGGGATGGTGACAGGTTTAATAGGTGATACTTTACTTTTGGCGCATAATAATTTAATTGTTACTGGGGAATCTATGTTCTTATTATAAGTACGAATATATGCGCATGCACCGTATGCATTCTGAGATGCATCCGTGAATATATGTAATTCCTTTATTTCGTTATTATCACTCATTATATAACGCGGAATTCTTAATTCGTGTAACGATTTTAATGAATTAATGAATTTTTCCCAATTTAATTTTATATTTTCTGGAACCGTGTCATCCCAATGAATTTTACACAACCATAGGTGTTGTAATAATATTTTTGCAATAATAATGACCGGTGTCAAAAGACCAAGTGGATCATAGATCTGCGATAAAATAGATAAAATAGTTCGCTTTGTGACTACGTGTGACTCAGTGATTGCGGTAGTGAAATGTAACTCGTCGCTAGTGTTGTACCAACCTATACCGAGAGTTTTATTCTGACAATGATCGCCCGTACATAACTCTTTAGAACTACTCGTTTTTACATCGTGACTAAATGTCCATTTTCTTAGTGTAAAACAACCTGATGATAACACTTGCGATACTTTATTGCATATCTCCAGTAAAATCTGCTTATCATCGTGACCGGTAATTAGGTCATCGACATAGAAATCTTCGTTTATTATCTTAGCAATCATATCATCACCGCACTCAATAGCCAATTGTTTCAGACAACGCATGCTTAAGTACGGCGCTGACGCAGTTCCATATGTAACCGTATTTAACCGGTAAATGGACAGGGGATCTGAAGGATTCTCTCTCCACACAATTAGTTGTAAATTTCTTTGATCCGTTTGTATTAAGATTTGCCGAAACATCTTTTCAACATCGGCGGAGGCTACAAATTTGTACTGTCTAAATCGCAATAGTATTGAAAAGATATCGTTTTGAAGAGGCGGACCGACATACTGAATATCGTTAAGCGATTTGTTCGACGTGGTCACAGCACTAGCATCAAAAACAACACGCAATTTTGTTGTCGTACTGTGCTCACGTAAAACACCATGGTGTGGAAGGAAGTAATACGGTTTATTATATTCATCTACCTTCGTCATATGCCCTAATTCAACATATTCATGTATAAAATCATAATATAATTTTTTATAGAACGGTAATCGTTCCAACTTACGTTCTAGCGATAAGAAACGGGATTTAGCGAGTGCATATGAGTCACCGAGATGATCAGCTGACTGTTGTAAGGGAATTCGCACTAAAAATCTACCATCAGCGTTACGTTTAGTAGTCGTATCAAATAAATGTTCGCATATATGTTCGTCTTCCGTAAGTAACTTATTTGTGATAGTTACTTCTTCTAATTCCCAAAATCGTTTTAACTGTGTATCTATCGCTTGCGACAAGTTGCACTGAATAGGATTACCGTGACATGAGCTGTCGGAATGAATGGAACCTGATATTAACCATCCCAATTTAGAATTCTGTAGGAATGGTCCACTCGGCAACCGAATTCTATTTTCGTATAATATATCCCAAAACAAATCCGCACCTATTAATAAGTCAATTGCAGATGGTTCATTAAAAGTGGGATCGGCAAGTTGAATGTTGTCCGGAATACGTAACGATTTATAATCCATTGGTTTTGACGGTATGGTCGACGTAATGCACGGCAAAACCATACATTGAACTCGCATTTTATAATCGTTTACCTTCGATCGTATATTAACTTCGCATATTTTATTCGACTGAGTGAGTGATTGTCCCACACCTGTAATTCGTATAGTGGACTGTATAGATGATATGTTTAATTGTTGAAATAATTGATTTGAAATGAAAGAATGTTGACTTCCATTATCTAGAAGTGCACGTATTGTAAAACATCTTTTATTGCCGTCGAATATATCAACAAGTGCAGTGCATAACAGAACTTGTTGCATAGGAAATAAAGTCGTATTTAAATCACCCGTATTATTCGTTTGAGAGTGAAGTGCGGTCGATGACCTTCGCGCGTTATCAGCTGGTAGTGAATAATGCGCACGATCAGCTGATGCGCTCGCGACCACCTCGCCGTCCGTATGAATTAAACTATTATGTTTCTTATTGCAACGCTTACAAGCACCAAAAATGCATTCGTTTACGGTGTGCCCAGAACGTAAACAATTTTGACATAATTTTTTGTCATCTATCAATTTAATTCTATCCTTTACAGATAAATTTAAAAAGGATATACAAGTATAAAGTGCGTGGTTTTCACTACACATAATACAGTTCCGTATGCGTTTATTATTCAGTTTACTATTATTTGTTCGCGTTGTAACGTAACTATGTGTAAACTGTGAATGATTCGAATATCTTTTAGAATCGTGTACTGGTTTACGTTCGAGAATAGGTTTATTCGCTTGTACCTTATGATTTACGAGAGTAACCTCTAACATGTCGGCCTTGTTTCTCAAAAAGTTTAACAAATCGTCTAATTTTAATTTATTATTAGGGTCACTGGAAATCGAACCTTTATGATTTTCCCATTCTCGTTCCGTATTTGCGTCTAATTTAGTTAAAACTAAATAAATAACTAAGGTATCCCACGAATCAGTCGGTTCACCTAAAGTTTGAAGGGCACGTAAATTTCGTAAAATCGTATCAATTAGTTTTCTTATTTGCAACGGTGACTCCTTTGTAACAGATGAAGCTGAAAACAGTGATCTCACATGATTATAAACTAGTAAGCGGTTATTATGAAATCTGTTTTCAAGTAGTTCCCAAGCATGATTGTAGTTAGACGCTGTGAACTCTAACGCACTAATTACTTGTAATGCACAACCGCTAAGAGAGGATTTTAAATAATGTAATTTCTGAATGGCATCAAGGTCTGTACGTTCATGAATCATAGTTATATAAGAATTTCTGAATTCTAACCACAAATCGTACGATCCGTCGAAGCACGTTAACTTGATTTCAGGTAGCTTTACAGCTACAGGTTTTGAAATTATGGACTGTGAACAATTGGAATTAGTATTTTTGTCCACCTCTATCAAACATTTTGCAGCGGCGATATTACTATAGTACTGTTCTTCTATTAATTCTCTATATTCTAACTGGTTTTCTAATTCCTTTTTGTCAACGAGTACGTCTATTTGATTTTGAATATCACAATAGTTATTAAAACATTGTGTAATTGTATCGATTCGTAAACTAATTTCTGTGATTTGCATTTTCGTTAACGTTAATGATTTATATTTACTAATATATTTTTCGAACAATGTTAATCTACCCTTCACTGTACCCCGAAGCTTTTTGAGATCATTAAGTTTATGCAAATCAACGAGATTACTGTCTGAAAATTCATCGTCACTCATTTCGGAAGTTTCTATAAAAAAAAGATAGAAGTACCTACTTATAATTTAGTATACGTGACGTGGTTAACAAAATTTTTTTTTTTTTTTCACATCTGGAAATAGGAATCGCTTGATGAAATGCACTGTTGTAAATGTTAATGAAGTTTAAACACTGTTAACACAAATTTCGCTTAGGATAAAAGGATACAAAAGGAATGGTGGCTCTGACTGTTTTCCCACTGATTCTTCAGATATTCGGCTACGAAGACCACTTTGTTTGCGCCTTTCCTTTTTTGTGTGTATAAATTTATGGGTGCAGGAACTCTTCAATAACTCGTTTATTGTTATTTTTGTGAAATATGAGTTTATTATACGAAATATTATTAGGATCAATCATTGCTAATTACAGAGAGCGAGCGAGTCAAGTTCATGTCTATCACCGCAGTAGCAGACCGTTGAAGTCTCACTTCACTCCGTTGACGTTTTATCTATTTTACTCAATAGATGGCACCAACACTATTCTATATTCTATCCTGGTATTTTATATATATTCGTATATAACGACCATTCGCCGCAGAAAATAAGTTTTTCCAATAGTTGCCACGCTTGGCAGGTGGATTGGCAACCGGAGTCAGGCTTTAGAAGTGTTTACGAGGAACGCTGTTGCCCATCCCTCGCCCTCCCTTAGTCGCCTCTTACGAACACACACACACGGAAAAAGAAGGGTGTGGCTTATTCTATGCCGGGACCACACGGCCAAAAAGAAATCTGGTCCGTACTAATTAGATATAACACGACTCACCTGTATACACATGTAGGCGTACTGTATGACGCCGGTGCATAGCTTCCTGCAGTACGCGGTGGCCAGCGGCAGCATGGCTGCCGCAATCGAATGCTCGTCTAACGGCGTAGAGGACTGCAGCGCGCAGTTCATTAGCCTGCACAAATACGATTATCTTTATTTACTGGTTGTAACCCGCGGCATTACTAGGCTTTTTTTTTTTTGTTTAACGTGTGGAAAATCTTCGGAAAGACCGTCCCATCTGCCGGAGGGAGGGCAGCTGGGGTGTGTGGGATTCGTACTCACTAAAAACCACACGACGTATTGTGATGGTCCCCCCCTTAGCGCCCCTTATAATAACTACCCTCTAAACTAATCTACATATGGAAAACCTACAAAGCCTAAGAAAAGCCTACGAAGGCTTAACCTAATGAAACCCATGAAAATCTAATGAAAATCTACCCTAAAGAAAGGTCTAACACCATCAATATAACCCCATACCTATATTGCCTTATACACCCCAAACATCCTATGAATCATATAAACCCTTACAATAAACACTTAATATTGAACAGATCTTATAGTAGAACACTTGATCATCTGGCCAGATAAATAAATGTGTGATCGTCTAGTAATGTAGGACCCGTTGTGTGTGTAATAACCAAAAGGTTCTTTAATTGGTATATGATAGGAGTTAAATAATGAAGATGATTGATAAATCTTTAAGGATTAAGAATAATTAATGAATTATACTCATAATTCATGTAACTAGGAAGTTATGTTAATTTAATAGTAAATTACAGAATAACTGTAATAATAAAAAAATAGGGGAGCGGTCGGGCCCCTCACACGCCCGGACCAGTGGAAGACTTTCCAACTATCTATAACTCTTCCTCCTAAAAGGTAAGGAAGGGTATTACTATTTATTAATGCACTCTGATGGTAATAAGGGAATGAGTATTCTCAGTTCCAAACCAAACATAAGTACATTTACTTCAACATTACAGTGGCTCCACCAGCCCCACGATGCTTCCAGTATAAATTAGTGTTTGCCAGAGGCAAACGGATCGGAACTGAAATCCCAGGATCACTCCGACACGAGAGCTTACTCATGGGCGATGACCCTTTCAGTCCTATATGGCGACATAGAGATCACCCACTAACAGTACGAAACTGTTTCCCAGCGTCACCCTGTTACGAGCTTACTCAATGGGGGTTTCCCTTCGGCTCCACAAGAGATCAGACCAAGAAGCGAGATCACCCAGACACCAGAACTTACTTTGTTGGGACATAACCCTTCGGCCCTATAATGTGACATTAGAGATCACCTGTGAAAACAGTCCGATAGAGATGAAGATTTGTGTGATAGGAGATACCTTCCACACCCTGGAATTGGCCAAGCCATATAATGTTGATAATTGCTATATCATAACATAGCATTGTCAATTTAATATTATTTACTTAATACCAAGAATACTCAAGGTTCAAGTTAAATCTGTTGATTAGGCCGGAGCCTAAGAACGAGTAGTCCAACCCATAGGTCGAGAGCTACTAAAAGTAATGAGTGCTATTGAATGAACTATAAGTCCAGTCAATTATATATAATATTATTGTTGATTAACCACATTGTGAATTAACCAATTATTTATTCAGAGAGATATATCTAAAGGAACTATAAGTCCTTTAAAAGACACTGATTAAACACAAGTTAACAACGTCTCGTGAAATAACCAGTTGGGTTTTCTATAAGTTTGAGGACACTAAGTCCAACAAGCTATTATTGTGTTGAGAGTAATAGAGATCTTTTGTAATATTTGTAGAGGTTTGATTAATCACATTGTGAAATAATCAGATTAAATAATTATGTAGCTTTATAGAGAGGACTATAAGTCCTAATTGGTTGTTGTCATAAGTACTGATAAATTACACATTAAAGTGCCAGGTCAATTATTATATATAGGTATATAGGAAGGACAATAAGTCCTATTTGTGTATGTTGTAGTAGTAGAGGCAATATATTGCATAATTATAATGTGAAAGATATAGATTAAATATATATTTGAATAGAAAGGACAGTAAGTCCCATACAATTATTGTAGCTGTACTATAGTTATACTATATCTACTTCCATTTAGTGTCTTAGTAAACCTATTTACTAAGAGGATTTCTCAGATAAACAAGTGTTTTAGTGTTTAAATCATCATGATTAAATCCCTAAGAAATTAGGTCTTTAAATAATTATCATATCATTTAAGTGAAATTTCTCATATAAATAATTCCAATATTTCCCCTACAGTTATTATAAAATAACTGGAAATTATATAAATTTTCTATAGACTTAGATATAGAATCATAACGTGTATAATCTCCTTTTGTTTGACATCTGTCACATTAATGACGTATTGATGTATTGAATTGAATTTTGATTATCTATCACAACTGTCAACGTAACAAATACTAGCAAGTTTGTTTATTTGTATTTGTTTAATACAATTAAATATAAAATCATCATATATCAACCGTAATATACAACTAAATTATCAGTGACATAAATAATCATGGTTTACACCAGAAATAATTAATATTATCCAGTAATGCTGCAGTTTTATATTCATATCAGTAGCCAAGCTTACTTTCAAATTCAAGAATGAACAGAAGATTAGAAGTTTAACATTCTTATTGCAATTGTACTTGCAATAATATATACATACAGTACTAATTATCAAGAACATTCCTCAAATACATGTGTGGTGAAGATTTTCCCAATATGCTATCTATTTGATTTCTAAACTCTAATGTAAATTTATTAAAGAAGTAAATAATCAGTGTTAGTGTTTGCTTTATTAATATTTAAAGTAATTGTCCTAACTTGATAATAATAGGATAATATCCCCTTGGATACAGTCCGACATAAACATATAACTCAATAATTAAATTTACAAAATACTAATATTATATTTTACTACTTGTATATCTCCATACTATTCCCATAAAATATTCAAAACATGTATATTAAATATAAATCCAGTATATATTCACTAATATTAACCCTGTCCGAACTTGTCTAGTCAATATAACATGAACAAACAACATACATACAAACCCCATCGCCAGGACAACTTCCTTTCTAAATATGAGCAAAATACATAGCCTCACAAGTGTCATACAGTACCAATTCCATACCGAACCCCACACCTAGTCAAGAGCAACTATAGTCAGAGAATCTTTCAGTATTTTTATTACCATTAGGAAATAAATCCACACCTATAATATCAGCATAATTAAATATTATTAGTAATCAGTAATACACACAGAATTGTTATTATCAGCTTGCTTACTACAACAAAATCAATATTAAAGTTTATAATAAATCAAGACAAAATATCTATTTAAACAATACAGGCTTGTTTACCATAAACACCCCACAGTCACATGAATTTATTTAGTAACACAATTAATAATGTATTAAAAGTATTACATTCACATAATATCACTTGCAACAGTTAAGCTGTCTCTTTGTACATCTGGTGTAAAACAAATCCCCACATGTAGTCATGGATAATCAAATATAGACTAAGAATCATTAATCTGGTCGACCGAGTAATGGTATAAAAACACTTCACCATGAAGCGTTAAGTATGAACAGATATTCCAAACCAACACTGTAATAGTGTAATAAATACAAATATTTCATCATCATCATCGTCTCAACCATCACCAACCCACGACTGAACACAAGCAATTTCCACCGACTGACACAAGGAACGGCCCCACAATACACATAAAACAGTCACTCCAAACAATGGAGGTAGCCCACATCGCACTTGCATTTACAGGGTCGCCACTCAATAACCCCTCTCTCTCATCAAAATAACTAGATATGAAACTAGTTAGTATTGTAATAGTTCAATAGTTGATTCAATAAGTATTTTCCAAAACTGGACAATTAGAACATTGAATCAAATTGATGAAGTTCTATCAAACGTCCATATAATTGGATTTTTTTATATGAGTAGAATAACGTAAGTACGTAAATTATATTGATGTAAACTTTGTTCAAATGTGATTGCATTTAACGATATACGCATTACCTAAAGGTATATGGACTCGACTAAATACGTATTTTAATAGTTGTTGGGAAAAATATTAAGTATAGACTTTGCCTGCGATCACAGTCAAAAATCTAACTACGTAGTAATAAATGGAACAAGCTCACCGGATTCTCCAGTCTTCTATTGATTAATTTCACACACTTAATCCATAGTGATACACTAAGATCTCAAACCCTTCATCGAACCAGTCCCTCCTAAATCTATATCCTAGTTATTTTTTTATTTTATTGCGCCTTCCCTAAAACACGACTCCCGCGCCATTTGCCGTCCCTTTTTTTTTTTCTTTTTATTGCGCAATCCCTAAAAACCGACTCCCGCGCGCCCGCCGATCTGCCGTCTCTCTTTTCATTTTTTTTTTTTCTATTCTTTCTCTAATAACGTCATAGATTATGTCACCGAAGGGTAGCTATTTCAATAATCGGATTTAGCCTATTATTCGAACTGAACTTTTCTTTAAATTCAATTTAATTATATGTTAACGTATTTTGGTATTTTCTATTAAATTGATTATCGAATTTATAAAACTTTAAAGGCTCTCATAAACCTTATTAAACTGTGTTGTATGCATCCTTTTTACACCTGATGAGAAAAAGGTAAACTATAATTTGGTTAATATAAAATATAATATATTTTTGTTTAATTTATTTAATTTTCTTGTGACGTTCACTACACTTTGGAAACACATCAAAGGAGTTTCTCTTCTGTGTCAATATTTCATATATGGTAACGTCTTCTCTGTATACTATTGTGAACCTTGACTTTAAAGTTTGTTTATATTAAATAGCTCAGCTTTCGCAGCGGTCACCCATAGCAACCCCTGTTTCTTTTCTATGTACTTATGGTATTAAACCTATTGTACTATAGGCGAACCGTCACAGTATCTCGAGGCGCTTATGTTGGATCCCGGGTTCCCGTTTGTACGACTACCGAGTATCCAACGCGAGCGGCATTACTAGCCTTTTTTTTTTTTTTTTTTTTTTTTTTTTCGTGTGGAAAATCTTCGGAAAGACCGTCCCATCTGCCGAAGGGAGGGCAGCTGGGGTGTGTGGGATTCGTACCCACTAAAAACCACACGACGTACCTCGAGGCGCTTATGTTGGATCCCGGGTTCCCGTTTGTACGACTACCGAGTATCCAACGCGACGGCCCGCCCTGTAGGTGGTGTAGGGCAGGCCTCCTCTCTTAGTTAGGGTGGGGAATGTCCCTCCCACCCTACCATCACAGGAGGGCACGGATACGTGCGCGCACCTCCTAGGGTCATATGAAGGGTGTGCCTCCCTCAAGGCAACACCCCGACCCTAATGGGGGGGAAGGAAGAGGCAGAGTTGGGCGCGCCCCTTCTCCTTCGTCTGGCTCGGCGGCGGCGCATGACGGGAGCGGTGGGGGCACTCTCCCGCTCCCGCTCGGCCGCCTCCTTCTGCGACATTACCGCTTCACAGAAGGTGAGTATTACATTCCACGACCTCTCGCTACTGACCATCCTCCGAACTATATTCGGCAGCGAGAGGTCACCCCCCACTTCCGCAACCAGGACGCGGCGCTCTGCACTGAACGCTGGGCATTCTTCTAGAACATGTTGTGCCGTGTCCCGTTCGCAACCACACTCATGGCACTCAGTTGTCGGCTCTCTTCTCGCAATCTGACACAGGTACTGACCGAAACAACCGTGACCGGTCAGTATCTGTGTCAGCCGAAAGGTCAGTGGACCTTTGCGCCGCCCGCTCAACCAGTGTTTCAGCACTGGGCGGACAGCCTCGACGGTCCTCAGGCCGGCCCCTGGGTCGGCCAGCCTCTCATCCCACTTCTCCAGAAGGATCCGCCGAGCGCAGGACTTCCGTAAACTCATTTCCCTCTCGGTGGGGGCATTACTAGCCTAAACCCTTACTAATCCAACCAATAACCTCTACTGTGGTGGCAAACAAGCATACAGCTCGTCTGATGGTAAACGGAGTTACCGGAGTCTATGGACGCTTGTAACACCAGGGATCTCTCGTTGCCGACCCTTAAGAAACCTCAATACGACCTTTATAAAGGACCCTATACTGTAGTCTCCAGGGAAAGCCTCAGCAAGATCATTCCACAGAGTGTTTACGTGAGGAAGCTTCAGTGAATGCGCATTATGTGTGACCATTCTCATTCTAAATTGTGAATTATTCTCACTGTCGTTTAATCACCATACACGTAATGAAATCCGGCTTATCAGTTTGATCTAGTTAATGTATAGATAGTTTGATCAAAAATTTATTAATATTTTTTATTTTATTGCACTTGAAAAAAAAGATACAGCGATCAGTTTAACAACTTGTTTACAAGGCGGGCTTATCTCTAGACTTTCCTTATTAGCGGAAAGTCTAGTGCAAGAAAGTTACAAGAAAAAAAAGTACATAAATACCAGATAAATAGAATACAAATAAATACACACAAATTTTATCTAATATATAAAATTCTCGTGTCACGGTGTTTGTGACCAAACTCCTCCAAAACGGTTTTACCGATTTTTATGAAATTTTGTGTGCATATTGGATAGGTTTGAGAATCGGCCAACATCTATTTTTCATACACCTCAATGATAGGGGTGACCCACCCCTAGATTTGTTCTTTTATTTTTTTGACAATTTTTTTTTTTATTTTTATTTTATTATAATTTAGCATTGAAAAATACATACAAATTAAAATTTTCACGCTTTTACGGTCAACCCCTGTTATTTTTATATGCCGCAATAGGGTTGCAGGATGACAATCGAATATAATAATTGTAGTACGATATATTTTCATGTATAGTTATAGAAATAATGTATATGGTAAAACAACGTTTACCGAGTTAGCTAGTATATATATATATGAAAGAAAGGTAGGTTAGGTTTGGTGTGGTGAAAGATGATCTTGTTTTAGTAAAATTTAAGATTTGCCAACGTACGGGCTTTTACAGTAACACATATATACATTTGCAATACATATATAACAAGTGCATAGTATTAAGTAATGATCATGATTACAAAGATTTAATATTTACTTGTATTTACAAAAGTTTTATATTAAAATAAAAGTTACTATTGATATTACAAAATTAAATTAAAAATTAATTTATTTCAATTTCAATTTAGACAAAATTATTAGTGTTAAGTTTAAGTTGTTAAAATGGTACGCCACCACCAATTTATTTAAAAAATGAACCCTTTTTTTTTCAAAAAAAAAAAAGTATTACTATTAAAACAACGGTTGGCTGCAATTTATGGCATACTTAAAATAACTACACATGCGTACAATGGTTAGATATGTTGATACAAGCACAGATACGACGCAAACTGCCGTGTGACATGACACGACACTTATTTAACAGCAATCGCCACTACGATGTTACCCACTTGCGACTATTCATTATTGTGGACCAGTAGAGATGTTTTCTCTTTTATTGTTTTATTTTATTTGTGGTAACAATGCCTTTGGAATATCAGCGGATAAGATGATTGTAAGATTTATTTATTTATTTATTATTTTCTAGGGAAGCTTACGGTTATAATAACTTAATAATTAACTATATATGACAACAATAAGCTAATTAAATGCTATCACGTATAATTAACGGAAATTAAATTTGTGATGGTTTTTCTGATATAATTGTTACTACTATTATATATGTATATCTATTTCATTATCCCTACTGCGTACATCATTGAAAATATTGGAAGCTCGTATTATGAAGTAACTGCTTCGAACTGGGTGCGAGTCAGTTGGCAGTGAATTTACAGGGTACAGAGGAATAACACTTGAGTTCTCAGGAACGCCAACGCATTGGGAGTATCATGGGCGAAACAGTATACTCTGTTATGTACATGGTACTGCTCATGTCTTTAGGCGACGGTTACCACTTTCCATCAGGTGGGCCGGCAGCCATATCCCACTCTTCAAACCGAAAAACACAGTCATGCAAATAACTGCTTGACGGTAGAAACACGAATGGGACAGAGGCGCCCAAGCAAACGACTTTTATACAAAGTCTCCCTCTGATAAAGTCTGTTTCTTTACTTACTTTTTCAATGCACGGGGCGGATTTTGAGACGAGTTTAAATGTTCTTTAAATACTTCTTTACGGAAGACTTGTATTGTAATTAATTTTTTATATAAGTAACGAAGCCATTTATATTTTTAACGCGTCCCCGTTCTAAAGGCTAAAGGCAAGTGGTCAATACAAGCAATCGAGAAGTGTCCGGAACCCGAGCAGTATTATCTGCAGTATGAGGTGAGCAAGAGAAAGCTGACGCGCATGAAGGACGGCTTCGATGCCGACTTCCAGCTGGCTATTACAATGGATGAGACTTTCAGTGTAAGTATTTTTTTGGTTTTGACTAGAAATGGGTAACTCAAAGATTTTTCTTACATCAACTCGATAACTCAGGCGTATCTTACTGTGCTGGCTTATTCAGTTAATTCAAAATTGCTCCATGGTGCACAGTACTCTATGTTTTGCCATGTGCCACAAAATGGACGACGAAAAAAAACCCCTCCATTACTCTATATTTTACTGCATTTATATAGCGTCTACATAGTTTACATATATTACTCACAATTCCCCCCCCCCCCACTAATCCTTCTTCCCCCGTACAGTGTCCCTCTTAAAACATCACCAAAGCCTAACTGCGGTTGCCAATCTACCTGCCAAGCGTGTCAACTACTGGCAAATCTCCCTTATGGCGGACACGCCAATGTTTGTCAGTGGATAGGTAATAACTGATATGAACAAACCTATACGTTTATTTATTTTTCTCCAGTGACCTCTGAGTTTATTTCATGTTTTAAGATACAGTAAAATTATTGGACCCAATAGACAACAGTCATTAGTAGTTGATTTCTTACGAAATACGTAAGACTAATGAATGGAGATGTCGGTAGAGGTCGCTTTAGACGGACGTATGTCGACCAAATAGGCGACGTGCGGAAGAAGGGTCAAATTAAAAGTACCCGTAACCGGCGAGAGTGTATGAAAAGATTGATGAATGTGGAAGAAGCGAAAGAGGTTTGTTTGAATCGAAGCATTTGGCGTTCCAGTGTTTCTGCCTACCTTAATGAGAGACAGGCGTGACAGATATGTATGTATGTATATCCTTACGAAATACATGCATTTCCTGAAAAAGCATTTTGAAAATTACCACAGAAAATAACAGAGTACTACGCATATATAAGTTAGCCTATGCTAACTTTGTTATTAACTTGTTGTTATTACTATATGTTTTAGTGCAATAAAGTAAATATATAAAAGTATATTATAAGTGTCTCGTTCGGTACAGATGCATGCAGAGATGTGTCAATTCGTCGACGGCGGTTGCAAGCCATTCCAAGAGTTCGACGAGGATTGTTTCGTGTGCTTCATAAACAAGTACGCGGAGAGCAACGCAAAGAAACTCCTCAGCATGGCCGACATCGACCCGCCAGAGTTCCCTGTCGCACCGGTAACTCACCACTTACATTTTAGCAAATACGGCTCATTATGAATTTTTTTTGGAAAATTTTTATACCAATCTTATTTCCAAGATATCTAAATATAAATGTATAAACAAAAATATATCATAAATAGCTATCAGACTCAGCTTCGGACGAATAGACAGAATTTTCGAAAATCAATACTTATATTAAAAAAAAATTTCAGCCAATTCAGCTCTGATCGGTTATTTTTAGCATTTTATATGAGAGATTCTTTAGATTGAATTTTTTATATTTTTTAAGAACCGATTGAAATAAAACAACCACTAAATGTGTGGAACAACGTATTAGTGAAAACTGTGTTTAAATCGGTTAAGCCGTTTTTGAGATTAGCGTACACAAACGTACAAAAATCATTGTTTTGGGTTTTATTGCGTTCATAAAGCCCTTATAATAGCTTTTCTTATATATCTTCCGTGTACAGACAGCGACCGGTCACGATTTTATTATATGTATTGATTGATAAATGGGCGCTTTAACGGCTCAAGCAGTCGTTACCTAATTTGGCATACAAGTACTGTTTGCGATGAAGAACAACGTAGATCATTTGTTATGCTAGTCTAAGTTTTCATCCCTAATCATGCGGACGAAGTCGCGGTTAAAGATCATTACCTCTCACAATGCTGATGTACGTACTTATTATATTTGTGTATTATATATAATATATATCTATCTATTTATATAGATTTACTTATATATATTTTTATTTATACCTATCGGTCTTTTCAATTGTAAAGACATTTTATTTATTTATTTTTAACTATATCATTTAAGTCGATTAATACATATGTATGACTGTAACTACTAATGAACTGTCAGTTTTCTCATAATGGGTTTGCTGGAAAAAATCTCTATTGGAGATAAGCTCGCCTTTGTGCACTATTATGTTTGTTTTCACATTTCAATAACCTTTTGTGTACAATACAATAAAGTATCTGTAATTCCAGGGCGAGTACGCAGTAACCGGCTACGACTTCGACTACTGCGAGCTGCCACAAGACGGCGTGGTGGGCACGTTCGGCGTGACCGGCTACGTGATGAACGGCTCGGAAGCACTCTTCTGTTGTTACATGATAGCAGAGTTCGTTGAATTGGACGAAGACGAAAGCAACGAGTGTGTATAACTTAATGTCGATATTAAATGTGTTTCCAATTAATTGTTTATAATTTCAATCCCTATATCTGTGGTGTAGAATCAGCACAGAAGTAACAAGATAGAGACAGGCATACATACATAGAATACATAAAAAAAAATGAAAATAAAAATGAAACTGTGTTTTTATGTAACGTTTATTAATTATATATATATATATATATATATATATATATATATATATATATATATATATATATATATATATATATATATATATATATATAATTGGTAGATAACATTTTAACTTCAATTATGAACCCTGTTGGGCACAGCAAGTACGAGAGAGGAGGACAACACTTTTTTCACTTTAGAAATAGTTCAAGAGTTTGTTGCAATATTATTATTTAAGTATTGATGTATATCTATTCATATTGTAATTGTAATTAATATTATATAGTTATTTAAGATATTCTGTAGTTTATAATTATTCATACCTTTCTTAACTACCTAATATATAAATAGGAAAATACATAAAAAAAGTAACATAATTTTTCTTTTGTTATATGTACCACAGTAATGCAAAATGGTCACAACTCAGTTTATTGCATTGCCTTTAAAAAAGCAAAACACCGATTTACTGTTGTGGTCAAAAGCCAGTTGCGAAATTCCTAGCAAAATAATAATAATAAAAATAAATAACAAAAATTGTGTGGGTAGTCAGAGGCCACCCTCGATCACACTCGAGCATTCCAGCGATAAATATTTCCACTGCATACCTATCAGGTGTGCCTCGCGAAAAATACAAATACAAAACAAATAATAAATTAACATGGATAAGATAAAATCTATAATTATAAACAATTGTTATCTGAACACGAACAGTGGTTCAATAACAAAGACACAATAAACCACTTGCCATGCAACGTGTGCAGTGTCATAATGTCGAATGATAAAAATCTTTCATCTAATACTACTATTTACATCATCGTTTCTCAACCAACCAAAGACCTTTTTTTTATGGTTTGCGGTACAGTATTTAAGGCATCCCGTCCTCGCTATTGGAGACAAATAAGGGAATGCCTATACAAGAGGGTACATTGTGGGCGCAGTTTAGACGCAATATTTGAGGAGCATTAGGAAGGTACTACGGCCGGATACTGCAACAAAAAAGAGTATGTGGTCGACTCCCGAACTGGCGACCTTTGGTGTCTACCGGTACCCAATTCGAGGGACGACCGATCACCGGCCGACCGACCAAGGGTCTTTTTAATGGATGATAATGGAATGGTTACCCCGCCTGCGCTAACGGTATACACCGGCGGGGCACCAGTGACAGATGATAGGTGAGGACGAAGCTGGTCAGTTGACCTATCGTGACAAACAATAAATCAATCACAATAGTTTTTTTTTTTTTTTTTTTTATACAACTTAGAATGGCAAACAAGCTGATGAAAACATTATGGTTTGTTTTTAAATATAACAATTCATCTATTGCATATTATTATCTGACAAGTTAACCGATCTAACTATGAGTTTGAACTAGTGGTGGTACAGTAGGTGTTTGTTGTTTGCCCAGCAAGTGGCGCGTGGCTAGGTCCCGCATCGAGGAGGCAAGAAGACAAGAGCAAACTAACCTGACGATGAGCTCGAACTGGTGGTGATGCAGCAGGTGCTTGTTGCTGGGCAGGCGCGCGGCCAGGTCCCGCGCGAGGGCGGCGCGGGCGGCGGGGGCACGCAGGGCCCGCAGCACGGCAGGAAAGGATTTTCGGGCATCCGCGTACCGGCACTCAAATATTGCTGCCACGCACGCGCGAAGTACCTGCACCCACACATCTTACTTTACCACGACTGTGTCTGTAGTCACCAAATAAGAATAATATAATCAGACAGTGATCAGAAATAAGCAGAGTGACGTAAAGGCCACATTTTAAACAAGTATTTACATTATTTTTTACTTTGTTATTCATCTATTAAAAAACACACACACACGCATGCACACACACACACACATTCATAATACTTATTCATACATGTGTATTGGTGGTGAGATCTAAATGAAATAATTGCATTATACAAATTAATTACACAATTGTCAGTATTGTAAAAAGCCTATGTTTAATATCTGTATGCATGTATATGATAACACGAGTACTGCTTCCTACAGGACAGGCTCGGCCTAGTGTGGGAAGCAATGATAATTTCTGTGCTAATACAAACATACTTTGTTAAGTAAATCTTATCTATTTTTTTTTTATTCATTCTTTTTTTTGTTGCTTCATGTGTCTCTAATATATTTTGTTACTATTACTAAAAAAATATTCGTGCCTTAGTTTGTAATCTTAGACTATTTTTATTATCATCCCAGCCATTATCTATCCACTGCTAAATATAGGCTTTCCCTATAGATTGCTATAAGGAACAACCTTGAGCCACCTGTATCCACTAACTCTCTGCAATGCACCTGAGGTAGTCACTTTATCTGCTGCTAGACACTGCTACTACTCTACACTAGTGTAGCATGCTTTTAAATAAATAATCAAATAGTGGTTACAAATAAAGTGTGATATAATCAAACAGTGATAGAGCTTTGATTTAGCATGGGTGTGTGTGCTGGTTGTGTGTGTGCGTGCTTGCGTGCGTGTGTGCGTGCGTGCGTGTGCGTGTGCGTGTGTGCGAGTGCGTGTGCGTGTATGCGTGCGTGCGTGCGTGCGTGCGTGCGTGCGGCGCGCGCCGGTGGTGCACTGCGGCCGACCTCGAGCCTGCGCGCGGAGTTGGTGAGCAGCAGCTGGCAGTGGTCGGGCGCGCCGGCGGGCGGCGCCGCGGGCGGCACGATGCGCGGCTGCGGCGCGCGCACGCCGCTCAGCCTGCGCCGCGCATTACATCATAAACGAAACAAGGTTTCATTCATTTGCGTATTTTAACAAGTTTTTATTTCACTTGCAATGATAGATATTTGGTTTAAGTTAAATATTGCAATATTTAGCTGAAATTATGCATTAGTTTCGATAATAATAGTATTACTTATTGATATTAAAAATGCGAAAATATGTAATGATGGATGGATGTTTGTTACTCTTTACCACAAAAACTACTAAACAGATTTGAATGAAATTAGATTTTCGAGTAGGTTACATCCTAACGTCAGTACAGAAAGTACCCTATGTATTTGACGTACTGATACATGAAGCCACGATATATGGCGAGTTGCGTACTGTTTATACATATTCGCAAGGCTGTGTTTTGGTTTAATGCCAATGAAATTACAGGGTACGAAGACGTAGTTTTTAAAAATGGCAAATTTCATAAAGAGTACCATGGATATTATAGTATATTACGTGACATTCGTGGTGCTTTTCATTTTCTATAAGCGACGGTGACCATCTTCCATCAGGTAAGTTGTCAGCTTGTTCGCCATTCAAAGTATTTTAAAAGAATACTATATGAATATATAATATATATATATATATATATATATATATATATATATATATATATATATATATATATATATATAAATCTTGGAGGCAATCTTGCGTCTTATATGGGCGAATTTACCAATGATACTGCGTCCTACTGACTTATTGCGTCCGTATACCGGACGCAAGATTGATCTTTATGCCACAGACTCCTTATTGTTAGTATAACGTTTTACCAAAAAATTGGCATGGACGCTATTTGGTCACCTTATTGTAATTCGGCGTATTTTTTAGTTCCGCGGTTTGTCGCACAACATTTGGAGGGCGATACTGTGCGCCGTATATCGGCGCATCGTATATACAACTTTTTTTCCATACATTACTCCGCGAATGCCACTACCGTATATTATAGGCAATTTTCAAGTTTTTATCTGTCTAAATTCATTATTTAATTGCTTCCGTTAGTAAAGTGTATATGGGAACGTATGACAAGGAGTAGAGACGGAGGGGGAGGGGGTAGCTGTCTTAATTCGCGCGTTGTAATGTTTATTTATTTAAGAGCGGTGTGGCATATGGTCATTTAGCGTCCTTTATGAGAGGACGCTGCAAAGGTTATATACGTGAGTTTAGTGAATATCAGGAGTGAATATTGGAAACGAAAATGAAAAGGAGTATGAGAATTTTACAATTATTGAAAGGTAAGTACCTAATATTTATATTAGTAAGTATACTTTATGTTAGAAAATTAAAAGAAATTTTAAGGACATAATCTTACGTCCTTACCTACATACTAATACGTATAATTTAGTTATCTTAAACATACAATAAAATCAAGACAGTTGCAGTAGTCGATTCGTCGTTATAAATCGCACGACCTCATCATGGTCATTGTTATTGATGTAGATAGATTTTTTAATAGAAATGACTTCAAAAGTTATTACAAACACTGTCTACTGTGGCCGTGGTATTCCACTCATTTTGTTTTAAATAAGACATGTTGTGTTTGTGACACAAAAATTACAAAAGATCTTGATTCGATTCCAAATCATTTTGTTTTGTCTATGAATCGTGATGATATACTAAAGCTGTGTAATAGTTCTTTCTTTTGGTGTAATATTTGTCAATATGCAATTTACGATCACTACCCGGAAGACGAATGTTTTTGTACTTAAAAAGGTTACCTAACATATTTTATTTATAATCGCACAGAAATAATAGACATTCTTAGTATATTAAATATACTTTTGTGTTATTTAGTTATGTACTATTGCCTAATTTGATTTCGACGGTTACCACTTTCCATCTGCGTGGGATGGTGGGCTATCAGCTTGTTTGCCGTTCTAAGTTGTATAAAAAATTATCTTTTTTATTTTTAAAATAATGATTTCTATAAAAAAAATACCTTAATTTTAAAATTAAGATTAATTTTTTTAACAAAATCTTTTTATTTTAGCCAATTGTTTTACACAATGTTATAACAATAAAAATCATGCAAAGATATATTAATATTACCACCATTTATAAAAAAAGAGATTATAGTTACCTATAAATCTATTAGATAAGTGGATTATTTATTATTTTCAGATTCCTGTCAAAAAACTGAAACATCAGTGAATTTATCATCAGATTCAACAAATAATGAGGTAATTATCTTTTTTCCTTTATACTATAGTTACCTATAGTATGGTGGGGTTCTTTATGGAAATAATTCAGTAAATTATTGCCAACCATCATTAATTTTAAACTGGTTACCTATCTATTCACATACAGCAATAACAAAATTTAAAACGCAGCAGATAGGTTATTTTTTTATTAAACCACATCGTCTTTTTGTTATAGGAAATGTCTGACTCAAGTAATTACAATTCGGGAACAGATTCCAACTACACTCCGTCAGCACATGACGTAAGGAGACAATTTTTTTTTTATTTGAATTTTTAATACTTTCCATTTAGATTTTTCTATATTTTGTTATATCAGTCCTAATTCATTTAAGAAATATAATCTAAATATGAATTTAGATTATATTTCTTAATAAAAAATTTATTTTTTTAATTTTTTATACTAATTTTATTTATGTGAAAAACTCAACAAATGCTTTCTTATTTCGACTACATTTATAGAAGTATATTGTTCAATGTCATCAGTATTATCAGTACTGTACATTGTTCTATAAACCATGTATAATTATTTTATCATTTGTTCTTTTATAAAAGAAAAAATGTTCAATGTTAAATACTTTATTCTTATATTAAAAAATATCATTGAATTCTACTTTGTATTATGTTTCTCAAAAACATCATAATGATTAAATACATTAAATTTATGTATTAAAAATTAAAATGTATTTTTTGCAGACTAGCTCTGATGAATCATTCCTACAAGAGAACATGAACTGTCCCGTCATATTAGAAAGAAACATCCAAGAATCAACAAAAGATGTAGATAGTACTAGTCGTCATATTAGTAATAAAAATAATATTTCTTGCGGCGAAATAATTTCCATTGAGAGCTCTTCATGCAATAAAAATTATCCTTCGAAACAAGATGTAGTTATACACCTTAATAATAATGTTCTTGGAGACAGTAATAAAAATGAGATAGTAATACCTAATATGAAAATCCCTCAAAAAAAAGTAATCCGTAATAAAGACTTTTGTTTTTACTGCGAAACTTTAGTTCTAAATTTTGCGAGACATTTACTAAGAAACCATGCTCTTGAAACAGAAGTACAAAAAATATTATCAGTACCTAAAAAAAGTATAACAAGAAAAAAACTTATTACGGAACTAAGAAAAAAAGGAAATTTTATACAAAATTCTGTCGAAGTGACGAAGCCCATGAGAAAACATAAATATACTAATTATTTACCTTGCACTAATTGCTTAGGATTTTATTCAAGAAATCTTTTATGGAAACATAATAAGAAGTGCACTGGAAAAAATACTAAAAATGTGCAATCAGAAGCACAAAATTTGTTAATAAAACATTTGAAAATCGATGAAAAACTTAAAGAAACCGTATTCCCCAGAATGAGACCTGATAAGATATCGTTTGTTGCTAAATCAGATTTGCTCATTTGTGCATTTGGGTCACAATATATGAAAAATCATAGAGAAATGCATTTTGTGAATGTAATTTCTAGAAAAATGAGAGAACTAGCTAAATTGTTAATTGAAATAAGAAAAAAAGATCAATCGGTGAAAGATTTATTAGGTGCACTTAATCCGAAATATTATGATCTTATAGTGTCATCTACAAAGGTTGTAGGTAAATATGACTCGGAAAAAGATAGATTTGATTCGCCTACATTTGCAATGAATATTTCTACTAGCATAAAGCAGTGCTGCAATATAGCATTTATGCTTGCATTAAAAAAACAAGGGCCATATATGGAAGTAAACACTGCTGAAATAGAAGCGGGCCTCAAAACTTTGATACACCTTATAGATTCTAATTGGAAATATGATGTTTCAAGTCAGGCTGCGTCCGATCTAAACAAAAAAAAGTGGAATAAAGTTACCATAATACCTTTAGCAAATGATTTAAAAATTTTAAAAAAATTTCTTAACAAACACGCTGAAGAAGCTGCCAATAAAATTAAAGAAGGTTCTTATCACCTTGGGGTATACATACAATTATTAGAGACAATATATTGCAGAGTTTTGCTACTGAATCGGCGCAGACCTGGGGAACTTCAAAGAATTACGCTACATGATTACTTGGAAAATGACCTAAATACTTCTGAAAAATATGAAGAATTCGATCGAACGCTAAGTGCATCTGAGCGAGTTTTAGTAAAAACATTTAAACGAGTTGTTGTTAGAGGCAAACGAGGACGTGGGGTTCCCGTGTTATTTAGTAAAGAAGTTCAAGGTGATATAAAACTTCTGCTTACAATAAGGGACAAATTTGTTTCTACAACAAATAAATTACTGTTTGGGAACCCAGGATTTGAGAACTCGATATATGGGTATAAAGTTTTGGAAAGGTACTCGAGATTATCTGGAGCAAAAAATCCGAAAGCAATTTCTTCCACAAGACTGAGAAAACATTTAGCGACGCTATCACAAATATTTAGTATGTCTGAAAATGATCTGGAACAATTAGCTACGTTCATGGGGCATACTAATGAAGTTCATAAGAAATCGTATAGATTGCCAGATGATGTGTATCAAACTGCTAAAATTTCAAAACTTCTAATACTTATGGAAGATGGAAAAGCAGATGCTTATAGAGGGAAAGGTTTAGATGAAATAGATTTAGATCTAAATGAAGAATTGCAGGAAGAAGAAAAAATTGTAAATGATGATATTTTAGATTTTGATTTACCCACACCACAATTGTCAGTTGAAAATTCTTGTGTACAACCTGGAATTTGGATTGAAAATAAAATATCTGAACCTAATCACCAGGTGATGACAATAACAGATAAAAGAATTGAAAAAGGGAAAAAGAGAAACTTAGTACCCTGGTCTATGGAACAAAAGAAAGTTGTTACCAAATTTTTCAAGAGCCATATACAAAATAAAAAACCTCCCAGAAAATTAGAATGCGAAAATTTAAAAGGACAATACCCAGAACTGTTACAAAATAAAGACTGGCTCAAAATTAAAGTTTTTATTCAAAATATTTATTCTAAAAAATAGGATAATTATCATTACATTGGTTTATTTGAAGCAAACTTACTCCAAAAACATGCTTATCTTTTAATATGAATCTTTATTTAAAATATACATATATTAATATAATTAAGATGTGCGTGTTAGTGTTCAATCTAAGTAATATTATTTATATTAAGCTTACAGATTTATTAATGTTGCTGACGTTAGTTATTTTACTATAGATTTAACAATAATGTGATTTTTGTTAAAAAATTTGTTAGTTAATGTTATTATAAGAGGTCTTGTTTGTTTTTATACCATTTTTTTATAAGTTTACAGATTGTACTGATTTTCTTACAAAGATAAAACAAATATTTGATTGTAATTATAAATTCTTTTATATAATTAAAAGTGTTTATTTGCTTTGTTCTGAATAATTATTTTATTTCATAGGTTTAGAATTGTGCCGATTTTGTTAGGTAAATAAAATAATAAAGTGCTTCGATTTAAAAATGTTGATGCTTAATGTTACTGTAAGAAATTTTATTTGTATTCATTACATTCATTTAACAGAGTTTAGTACTGATTTTCTTAGACAATTTATAAAAGAATACGACTTAAATAAAGAAATACTTTTGTTTAATGTTATTATGAGAAATCTTATTTACTTTGTTATCAATAATTTTATTTAATAGATATCTGTACTAATTTTCTAAATAATACAAGAATATGTTTTTAGAAAAAAAGTCTTTTAATTAATGTACACCTTGCATGTATGTAAATATAAAAAGTATATGGAAGTACGTAAAATATCGTATGATTTCCATTATAAAGAGACGCATAAAGCTAGTTAAATAGAATACATAACATATGAAATATACGGTGCGCCATATAGTGTCTGTCTTAAAAGGACGCATTTAAATTTACACAAAATATTATAAGTATACGAATATACTGAGTGCTGCATGATCTGCGAGACGAATGGACGCATGAAGTTTGCATGACATACAAACTATATACGGAATATACAAATGTGCCATATGATTCCCGCTATGAACGGACTCCGGAACGTCGGCTAGAAATATTGAAAATTGAATATTGATATCTGTTATTTAAAAGAAATATAATTATGGGTACTGATTTTAGCACGAAATAAAGTAATAATATTCACTTTCAAAACAATTGTAATTTTACTGAAAGTGGGGGATGCAATAAGTATCGGAAGTGGAAAGACGCAAGAAGTCGTCTGCGATTTAAATATATATATATATATATATATATATATATATATATATATATATATATATATATATATATATATATATATATATTTTGTTTATCTTGATTACGCGAACAAAACTTTTTTTCTGCCATCAATGTCAAAAAGAACGCTATATATATATATATATATATATATATATATATATATATATATATATATATATATATATATATATATATATATATATATATATATATATATATATATATATATATATATATATATATATATATATCAATATCAATATTACACATGCCTAATAACTAATCTAATAGGCAAACAATCAAAACACATTCTCAAATACCTGTGGATTAGGGTTTTCATTGAGGTGCAGCTGCATCGCCAGGTCCTGTATGTGGACCAGTTCTAACTCAGGATTTAGTGACTCCAGTCGGAGCTGCTCTGGCAAATTTCTGAAAAAATAAAACAGCAACTACTAATGCAATGGAAATGGGACCAAACCAAAATCACATCGAATAGAAATAATAATAAAGTCGTTTGCTTGGGTACCCCTGTTCCATTCGTGTTTCATGCGTAAAACAGTTGTGTTTGCATGGCTGTGTTTCGGTTTGAAGGGTGGAATATGCCGTCAATTTACAGGGTACAGAGGAATAATACCCGAGTCCTCAAGAATAGCAACGTATGGGGACTATCATGGGCGAAACAGTATATGTCCATGGTAATGCTCATGTCTATAGGCGACGGTTACCACTTTTCATCAGGTGGAGTCGTCAGCTTGTTTGCCATTCTAAGTTGTATAAAAAAAATAGACGTAAAATGGACATTACCATATGTTTTTACCGGACGTTATGTGGATAAATGAATATTAGCAACAAAAAAAAACATGGTAAGTATATATATCATCATAATTATATCAACCGTTAACTGTTCACTGCTGAATATAGGCCTTCCCCCATAATGGGGGTTATGCCAGTAGCTGCCACGATTGGCAAGCGGATTGGTAACCGCAGTTTGGCTTTTGGTAATGATTTAAAAGGTACAATACTGCTCTTCCCTCCACAATAACTTCCCTTAGTCGCCTCCTATGACATCTACGGGAAAGGAAGGGGTGGCCTATTCTATGCCGGGACCTACATGGTTAAGAGGCTTATGTTATTGGCAATCCCTTTCTTTCCCATGGACGTCGTAACAGGCGACTAAGGGGACTTAATGATCGAGGTATAACCAGGAGAGTCCTCCTTAAAGCACCACCAAAAGCCTAACTGCGGTTGACTGGCAAGCGTAACCGTAAAGCAACTATTGGCAAACCCCTTATGGGGGGAGGAAACGGATTGTTAGTAATGGAGACTGAGAATATCATTGCTAGCAATACACTCAACCAAGTCGAGCTCCTCTCGGTTCCCCCTGGAAACTATCATGGTTAATTCCTGATGAATTCATCATGATGGGCTAACTGGCCTGTTTTCATTCTCATCAATCACCCTTCACTTGTGCTCCGCCAGCGTATCCTATTAGCGCAGGCGAGGATACTATTCCATTTTTACGCATCAAAAAAAAAAAAAAAACAAAAAAAAAACCCTTGTGGAGGAGACCCATGTTCAGCAGTGGAGAGTTAACGGCTGATATGATGAGGATGAAGTACTTTTATACGTACTGGACGAGGTCGTCCCATATGTCGGTGGGTCGCCAGGGCGGCCCGCGCTCCGCCACCAGCCCGTTGAAGAACATGGAGTCGAGGAGTCGCACCGCGAACGGACACTGCGACAACCCGCGCCCGCCCAGAAAGCCCATCTTGTGGAATGTCAGCACGGGGCTCGGGTGGATGCGGATTATTGTCAAGCAATGTCTGTAAATACAATTTTGTGTTACATACACACATAAATTCCTTATATACTTTTTTATACCACAAAGGTGGCAAAAAAGCATACAGCCCGTCTGATGGTACACTGTTAATATTATTGTTTGTTACCTATTAGAACTATTGAGGACAGAAGGGGAAAAATGTTGGAACACTTGATACGACATGACGAACTTATGAACATTATAATAGAAGGTAAGATAGAAGGAAGGAGGGGAAGAGGGAGACCGAGACATAGTTACATCAGGCAGATCAAGGAAGGAGTTGGTGTCGTGTCGTATCAAGAGGTGAAGAGACTCAGAGTGGCAAGAGCTCCACCGACAAGAGCGCAACTCTTAAATGGATAGATAGATACCTTTTGGTGTACACGTAAATGGAATGGAGAAGGCCATAGACTAGTTTTTATTTTTAATTCGGTTAATGAACATATTCCGGTAACACGGACGAAATGGCGGGCAAAAACTAGTAACAAGTATTGAAGACATGTAGATTGGATAGTACTGCCTAATCTTGCTTTATATTTGAATAATAATTATAATAATAACATAATGGTGCGCATAATTTAAATAAATAAATAAATATAGTTGGCATGCCATAGAAGAGGCTAGTTCAAATCCCGGGGGAAAAGGGATTGTTAGCAATGGAGTTTGACAGCCCCATTGCTAGCAAAATATGCCCTATTACGTCGACTTCCACGTGGCTCCCCCTGGAAACCATAGCGAATAATTCTTGTTGAATTCATCACGATGGGCCAACTGACCTGCTTCATCCTCAACTATCATCTTTCACTGGTGCCCCGCCGGTGTACACCGATAGCGCAGGCGGGGTTACCATTCCATTATCACCCATTAAAAAAAAAAGTTCATATCCCGGCCATATCAAAATTTTACTACACAATAATTTTATAATACAAAACCTGGCATAAAGATAAACAACGGACCTGTAACCCTGCAGTAACCTCGCCAACGTCCTCATAAACACAGCCCTGATTTCCTTATCCAGCATGTGTGGTGGGGAAGACGCTGGTGGGGGCGGGGCGAAGGCCGAATCAGCTGACCGCAATTCCGGCTGGAGTACGAGCGCGAGGGCATCCTGCAGCGAGGAGAGGAGTTTCCCCTCTGGCCGGGGAATGTTCACTCCCCCTGGTATGTGGAGGGAGCCGACATCCAAATCCGCTACGATAACGTCCAGCTAAAATAAACAGTGCTTTTATAATAATAATAATAATATTGAATATAAAAAGTATGATATTTATTGCCATTTTTACGAATATGGTACCATAATTATAGTGTTAGTTTTACATATATTAATATATACATTTGTGAAATACCCGTATATAATGCCAGGCAATAAGGGGGTAAAGGTAGCTAGCAATATGCCCTATTAGGTCGACCTCCACGTTGTTCCCCCTGGAAACCATCGTGAACAATTCTTGTTGAATTCGTCACGATGGGCTAACTGACATCCTCATCCTCATTTATCATCCATCACTGGTACCTCGCTAGTGTATACCGATAGCACAGGCGGGGTAACCATTCCAATATCACCCATTAAAAAAAAATACCTGCCAATAAGTACACAAACAGCTTTTTCGGCGTTCAGCGATAATTTGCTGATTTGCGCCTGTGTTAAGCCTGTGATAAACAAACACAATGACGTTGTTTGTTTATCACAATGACGTCGAACAATACAGCACGTCTGATAGTGAATAGTAACCTGCAATGGCTTAAGTGACCCCCCACTAGATGGAGTGACGACCTCAAATGCATTCATTGTAGGGAGTCTATGGATACAGGTAGCTCAGGACCGTTCCTTATAGCAGTCTATGGAGGAGGCCTATGATCAGCAGTGGACGGATAACGGCTGAGATGACGATGATGATGCTGATAAACATTTGAAGTGTTCCAAGCACATTGCCAACTATTAAGATTCATAGATTACTGATAATATTTATACTACGTAAGCAATAAAAAGCCGGATAAAATGTGTATACAGACGAGTTATACAATTGGATGAAGCAAGAGAAGAATAGTGGATGTGAGGATGGATGAAAGGAAAACCGAAATAAAATAAAATAGTCGAGACAGAGACAAATCTATACTGATAACGTTGTACAGCCTTTATCACTCTTGAGTAAAACATTTTTTCGTCACAATTTTTTAAATATGGAATTTAAAACATATACATTTAAAGATCAAAAATGCAAAAACGAACGAGTATAATCTCAGCAACTTACCAATTCTGACACTTCTTCCTTTAAACTCGAATGTACACCGATGAGGAAGGGGGTCGGAGTAGCCAACACCTCAGCGAGGCCGGCCGGCAGCAGCGGTATGTAGACGTGAGCATATCTGAAGGGGAACATGAGCGCCGCCAGTGCTCTGCAAGCGGCCGCGAGACGGGCGGCCGCCAGGGACACCAGCAGTACCTTGTGCTCGCTCATAACGGCACACCAGAGAGTCACCGAGTTGTGGATGCCTGGAAAAGTATTTAATATCGAAATTAGAGAAAATCCCAGTGTTTTCCCCGTGCAACAAAAATACAATTATCCTGTGAGGCAGCCATATTAAAATAATTACATTGCTTTGCATCCTTACTAATATTATAGATGTGAAGGTGAGTTTGTTTGTTACCTCTTAGCGCCTTTTAACTAATCTCTATGAAATTTGGTATATATGTATTACATGTATAGAAGGAGAAGAACATTGGCTACTTTTTATCCAGTCAGTAATCGCTTATGTTTTAAAAACATGATCGTTTTTTTTAATAGTTACACTTCTAGCGTTAAATTACTGGTGTCTTTTTCTTTTCTCCTCTATTCAAAGATTGTCTGGAAGAGATTACTTTAGCGATAAGGCAGCGCCTTTTGTACTTCGTAGATGTAATATGTATTTATTTTTGTATTATTAAATTCAAATTAAATTGTATTATTATATTAAATGGTGCCATAAAGAGTAAATAAAAAATTAACAAAGTCAAAGGTAAAATCTAGGAACATAAGAAAAATTAAATGTTGACTCTTCTATGGTATTACGTTGTAATAAAACGAATATTGTCAAATATATAATAACCAAAAATTTGAATTTATGTAAGCTTATTTTTAATTTATATTATAATTATATTATAGGAAAAACTGTCCGGCTGTACAACGTACGAGTATATCTAAAAATGCTAAGCTTAGTAATATGACATATGGAATAAGCCTACCTAAATGAGTACTAAGAAACTGTTTAGAATATAATACACCGGGAATAAAAAACCTGGATTTTCGTGCAATATATACGCTGCACGCCTAGTGGAGAGTTACCCATCTTTGGAGTTCACGTGAAAGATTCCAAACGTGTTCACACTGCACTTTCATTCTGAGTTGCTTAGTACTATCGGCAGGTTTTAAGTTGATGGTACTACTAGGCGTGTGCTTCTCCATAATGGATTTACCTGACGTAAAAAAAATATCTTCCCATACTACGTCGCGTTTCTAACAGAATGCCTACTGAGGTTTACCCTAGAGACTACAGTATGGGGTTCTTCAAAAAGGTATATTAAGGTTTCTTCAAAGTCGGCAATGTACACGTGACACACTTTTTTTTTTAGCGTCTGGAAAATGCTTTATGCAGACCCATATACCTTGTGGGAGGTGAATGAGTACTGTGGGAATCCCCCCGTAAGGTGGGGGTGTACCCACCAAAAACCAGACGATATACCCTCGAGGTACCATATGTCGGAGACATAGGTTCGCTTTCGCACTCACCACAGCTCCGACGGTAGCGCCCCGCCCACTGACGGTAAGAGCTGGTCTCCTCTTTCAAGATAGGGTGGATGGCGTGCTCACCCTACCACTCAGGGGATGCGCTGTTATATTAGCACATCCCCAGGTCACGTGGCACCCCTGGTGTTGCAGACATCCATAGGCTACAGTGACCGTTTACCATCAGACGAGCTGTATGCTTGTTTGTCACCTTTGTGGTATAAATAAAAGTATAGATATAAATCAACCAACCGAGTAACCTTAGCAGCATGTGAACAGCTGTATGAGTGACCGGCATAGGCGGAGCCGCCGGTGGTTGGAGCGCTTGCCGATCACCAGCCCCGATACTAAACCGCACCTGAGGCCCGCCGGCGGGCGGCACCAGCACGCAGCCCAGGAGATTACCCACCAGCGTCTCTAATGGCACACCTAGGTTCTCCACCCACACCGTGTAGATTATGCCAAGACAATTCTGTAATGGAAGGAAACTTTACTTAGCCAATATTTTTACATTATATTGCCGCTTGAAAAGGCACAATATATTAAGCATAATTTAGTGAATTTTACAGGAGAGCAAAAAATCTAAATGAAATGGCAAAATAAGTAATAATTAGAATTAAGTCTGTAATGATAAAACATTTAATACATATATTAAAGAAGAGATCTGTGTCAGAGATAAGTCCACCCTTGCTCACAATATTTATAAATGCATTAACAATGTAATTTACAAGTGCTATAAAGAATATAACAAAATTTTAATGAAAATAATGAATATATTTGACATATTGTACATCATCATCATCATCATATCAGCCTATAACTGTCCACTGCTGAACATAAGCTTCCCTTTTGGGAGGTTTTGCCAGTAGTTGCCACGCTTAGTATTCGCAGTTAGACTTATTATACGGGTTATAACTCACTCTGAAGGTGTCGATGTAGTCCTGCCGGGAGACGATGACGAGACATTTGGGCGCGTACATGATGCTGTGGTGGGTAATGTTTGCCACCGCCCTCGACGAGTCCAGGGACTCCTCGTCCTGTGCAGGAAAAAAAAAATTTGCCGGTTACATTCTCAGTTAAGGCAATTTAGGAAATGAATTTTTTTAATCGACTCGGGTCTGGGTACCTAAATATTCGTTTTCCGATTGACGATATAATGTCATAACACATCCTATGATCCTGTGTCTATGCTGTATCTTAACTTTAAAGATATCGGATAATTAATATACATATAATAATAAACAAGTCAATACCACTTCAACTAATATAATGATATCATTATAGGCGTAACGATGAAAAATCACCTATCATGGGCGAAACAGTATACTCAGTTATGTCCACGGTACTGCTCATGTCTATAGGCGACGGTTACCACTTTCCATCAGGTGGGCCGTCAGCTTGTTCGCCATTCTAAGTTGCATAAAAAAAAATTACGTGTCTGTATTTTCAATGGACTTCATGCCTATGTGTGCACATTTGAAGTAAACTTTAAAACGGCTGGTGGTTAGAAAAATTCGCTTCATTTTTATTTTAAAACATAACTGAGTTTACTCCTCAACCGACTTCCAATTATTTCAAGTGTACAATAATGATGTTTTCAATCGACTTCAAAAAGAAGGGAAGATTCACCACCAGTCACCCGATTACGGCTCCAATTGTAAACCGATTTTAATAATTCATATATGCAATTGCATGATTAAATTCCGTATTGGTCTCATATTAACTTTGATAAGACTGAAGTCACCATTTTGCGGGAAAAAGACACCAGTTCATTAATTAGCAGACTAATCAGTTATCATTTTCCATCAGGTGGACCGTCAACTTATTAGCCATTTCTACATTGCCTAAGAAACCTTCCGTCGTCGTTTTGTACTAATTAAATAATAAAAAAAAAACATGATATATCGATTTGTAATAAAAATAATACAACATCAAATCAGACAGGCTTAGGCCACAAATTGAGGCGCCGAATTGGCTTACCCCCTAGGGGTGAGTCCGGTGGTATGTCGTTTATTGCACCCCCAGCCTAGTCGAGAGCTGGCACACAGTTTAATATCGCGGACGAGACTTAGTTTGACAAAAATATAAGCAATAAGTACATAGTTTCCTCGTCCGCCACGTTTCAATACTTTGTAATATTGGAAATATGACAGGTAATATTTATTACATACTTATATATTAGCTAGCCCAGTAAACGTTGTTTTGCCATATATGTAATTTATTTCTAGTGAATATTTTGGGAGTTAAATAATGAGGAAATAACTTATTGTAAATATATGGATGAGTTCTATGACAGAAAAGTACTATGCATTAAAAATATAGAATAAAAAAAAAATCATAAAAAATAAATTTGTGCAAAAAATTATAAAAAGAAAGTCTGGGACCCACCACTATCACGTGAGGATATAAAATATAGCCTGCCACCTATTCTCAGATCTACCAAATATACACAAAAAAATTGCATAAAATCGGTCAAGCTGTTTTGGAGGAGTTCAATAACAAACACTATATATATATATATATATATATATATATATATATATATATATATATATATATATATATATATATATATATATATATATATATATATATATTAATTATTTCCTGCGGGAATCTTATTAATATAATAAAACTGTAACTAGACGATATCTGTACAAGGGAGATAATTAAAAGATAATTATAGGAGAGGTCTTAACAAGACCAATGGATGCCAAAACAAAAAATTTATAAATATGAACCGTATGTCTTTATGTTTGTATCTGAAGATCTAACTTAAAATCTAGTGTATCTTTTATCTTGATCGCCATCTAGAAATAGTCTATTTCATTGGTTTTTCTACTGTCGAAATCAGCGCGTACAAAGTAGCTGGCAAAAAGCTAAGTTTATAAGATATTTGACGTACTTATGAATAAGGACGATAGTTATTATATAAAGATATTTATGCTACATGTGTAAATTATTAGACGCAATGCACACTTCAACGAGCCGTCGCCGGGCAACTTCCGGCGGCGCCGGGCCACGGAAACGGAGCAATCGAAGGAATAATGATGAGCCAAACACAAACCTACCTGTGGCACAAGTTAACTCGCAAAATAACCGCCATTGACGATTTTTCGAACAGTTAACTAAATGTAATTCTCTACTATTGAGAATAAAAATTAAGGATCTTCAACGATTAAATATATATAATATATAACCAGTTTCAAGGTAAGATTGTGGTTTAAAGTGCTATTAAATCTTGCAAAATGGTGGCCAGTGAATTATTTTTCCGATTTCAGAGTAAGCCCTGCATGATCTTGGTAGTCCCTGGAAACCACTTTTTACTAAGGGGAAGAGTACACAGACAGGTCATCTTGACAAGTTATATTGTTAGCAATAGCCCTACCAGTAACAACCCTTTTTTCTCATTTTTAGGAAGTAGGTTAGATTATTTTTTATGCAACTTAGAAAACATAACACTTATCCTTTATGCGTTGCCAATTTTAAATGCCTACCGTACCGCATGAATTCACTAGCACATTCCATCTCCAAACCGAAATATAACTATGCAGACTGATTTATGGCAGAAACAAAGCGGTGCCCAACTGTGCATTTTAACTTACGATTTCCTTTTTCCAAAGATTCAATTACAATATAAGTGATGATATCAAGAAGGCATTTTCTAAAAATCCCCCGAGAACAGACAACAACCAGTAACGCGCGTGTGTAGCCACGGGCAAGGGCTAGTTATTCATAAATTTATCATGACGATGCTAATGCAATTAATTTTAAATTAGGGGTCAACGATGACGGGGTGAGTGGTACATGTGGCGTAACCGCCGTGACGCCCCTAATGTGAACAACTAAGCACGGCCTTTTGTAAAATAAAATACCAAACAGTTTAAACAAGTACAAGATTGTTTTGCAAAAAGAAGCGAGATCCATCGTGAATGCACACACCAATAAATAACGAGATATTTCGTAGATACTTTAGGCTGGAAATATTTGAATTTTTATATATATTTTTCGCTGCTCAACAAGCAGTTTTCTATCCCACAAAGACACAAGGAAACATCAATTGTTACAAAATTTATAGTATATAGAACCTAAATATTCACGTACAGTGCGGTTTCAGAGGAGTTTACCAGAGGGAGACTTTGTACAAAAGTCGATTGCTTGAGTACCTCTGTCCCATTCGTGTTTTAACCGTGAAGCAGTTGTGTTTGCATGGCTGTGTTTCGGTTTGAAGGGTGGGATATGGCGTGAATTTACTGGATACAGAGGAATAACACCCGAGTCCTCAGGAATGGCAACGCATGGGGGGTATCATGGGCGAAACAGTATACTCTGTTATATCCATAGTACTGCTCATGTCTATAGACGACGGTTATCACTTTCCATCAGGTGGACCGTCAGCTTGTTTGCCATTCTAAGTTGTATAAAAAAAGAATTTCCTTTTTTCCATTTCCATTAACGCTTAGGCTGTGGAATGAGCTCCCTACCAAGGTTTTCCTAGAGACTACAATATGGGATTCTTCAAAAATGGCGTATTAAAATCTCTTCGGAGTCAGTAATACGCACGTGACATTCCCGGTGTTGCAGGCGACCATAGGCAGTGACCGTTTACCATTACACAGTTTGTATGTTTGCTTACCACCTTTGTGGTATAAAAAAATAAAACAATGCAGAAGTAAACCCAACCAATTACACTCGTATCAAAAATCAATACTGGTATCAAAAATAATTGGTATCGCAGAATGTAATGTGTATACATATACAAAAATTGTTTAATCAGTAAATTAAAAAAAAAAAGTAACAAGTTTATTCAACATTTTTGTGTAAATTATTATCAAATTACCAAATAAAGCGAACGAAGCGGAGCCCACATGTATTTATTGACTCAACTAATGTGAAATGTTCAAACATGTGCGTGCGCGCAGATATTTGTTCACCAAGTTTCCGGACGCCACTTTGACATGGCTATTTATATTGTTAGTAATGCGGACTACCAGTCCCACTGCTAGCAATACACCCCGTCAGGTCGACCTCCACGTGGTCCCCGCTGGAAACCATCGTGCTTCTATCGTGAAATCCAGGAGTATTTATCACGATGGGCTAACTGACCTGCTCTTCCATTTTCATTTATCATCCCCCACTGATGTCCTGCGGGTGTATTCCGATAGAGCGGGGGGAGGGGGGTACCGTTTCATTATCATTCTTTTAAAAAATATCTATCCCCTACCCTACCATACTCTATCAGTTCTACCTATGCGTGGTTTCCCCTGAAAAACAGCGTGATTAGTACTTGTTGAATTTGTAACAAAGAGCTAACTGTGAGGTTACTCTTGAAATAAATTCCAATAAATCGATATTGAAATTGAGACGTGTCGCCCTCTCGAATTGCAACACTGGTGACATTATGGTTCCGCTGATAGATGCACATTAGTGTAACTTGCCATTGCAAACTATTGTAAACCGATCCCAATTATAACCTAATTCCTGTTGTTTCATGAGTGCAGAATAAAATTGTCATTGGTAATAGATTGGATTGATTTTTTTTATACAACTTAGAATGGCAAACAAGCTGACGACCCACCTGATGGAAAGTGGTAACCGTCGTCTATAGACACGAGCAGTGCCATGGACATAACAGAGTATACTGTTTCGCCCATGACACCCCCCATGCGTTGCCATTCTTGAGGACTCAAATGTTATTCCTCTGCACCATGTAAATGCACGTCATATCCCACCCTTCAAACCGAAACACAGCCATGCAAACATAACTGCTTCACGATAGAAACACGAATGGGGCAGAGGTACCCAAGCGATCGACTTTTGTACAAAGTCTCCCTCTGGTAAGATTTTGATTGATATTGATATTAATTCAAGAGTAGATCAGCTGATCTGTTTTCATCCTCACATATCACTCTTCACTGGTACCCAGCCAGCGCATACCCATAGCAAAGGCAGGGTTAAAATTCCATTATCATCCATTAAGAAAATAGTCTCGAAATATGTGAACAATTCGTATTCGCACTAATTGGGTGAGACGAGATTACAAGACCACGACATTCATGCCTTGGAGCGCTAAGTTTGAACAATGAAACTATTTATAGACCCCCGCTACTGATGTACCACCTTTATGCTACGACAAACGAACAGATATACCCACATATATATTTTATGTAGAAATAATTTGATATTTTATACATACAAATATATTTTGTTCCACAAAACAATAACAACTTTAATAGTGATAAAATTAATTTTAACACGCGATCTTACTATTTAGATTAAGATCCCACCGCTAGCTTTTGCAAGTAGGTACAACGTTTTCTAATAAAACTTGTTTTAAGTAAAATTAGAGCAAAAATATAATACGCACAGGTTACTTTTTGTCAGGTTGGTTCATTACTGATGAATTCGTCAAGATGAATCAACTGACCTGACTTCATCCTCGCCTATCTAGTCCCTCACTAGTACCCTGCTAGCGTAAACCAATGCAGGCAGAGTTTTCTCGAATTTTTCTACCATTGCATTTGGGGAGGAGGGATTATCAGTAATTGGGCTTAATATATTGTCCATTGCTAATATATATTGTCCTTGGAAACTACCGTGATTGATTTACCGTTGAATTCGTCACGATGGGCTAACTGAGTTTCATCCTCACCTCACTGGTGCTCCGCCAGTGTATACTGTTAGCACAGGCGGTGTTAACATTCCATTATACATTATACTCCATTATACATATCAGGTTAATCTCTCCATGGTCCCCTATGAAAACCATCGTGCTGAATTTCAGATGTATTCACCACGATGGGCTAACTGACGTTTCTTTTCATTCTCACCAATCATCCCTTACCGGTGTCCGCAAGCTTAGTCAACGCAAGCGGGGGTTACCATTCCATTATCATTCATTAAAAACAATTCCATTTTTATCCATTAAAAAAGTCTCTAATGGATAAATCTTATAGCCCGCAAAGGGTGTTAGATTGAACGTAATATATTATATCAACATATATTGGAAATCTCAATTTACACACGAGATTCGGGAACGGGATGTTGTGTAAATAAATCTAAATACGACATGGAAATGTTCAAACATTTTATCTCTAAAGCAATCTCGTATCATATTACAACGCTATAAACATTCATTGCAACATCCTTCATACTAGATTTTAAGTCCTACAACTTTACGATAAGGATTATATTTCATTAAAGTGCAATTAAGAAAACGATATTGCAGCGGTTGCCGGCGCTTCCTCCGATCAAAGAAATGGTTTACATACATAGTTCTAGTTGTATACAAACAGACGGACAGATTTAGTAGTTTAGCACACAATGTGTGGTCAGCGTGGTTTAGCATAAGATCTTACACGAAGTACTTCGATGTCTCAGTGCTTCATCCGCATTGTAGGACCGTAGATTTATTCTTATTGCTACAAATGGGACAATCAAGCTTACGATTCTCCTGAATTCCCATAGAATGGGCCACCTTTACTTTTTTCCGTGAGTACCGCAAGAGGCGACTAAAAGAACTTAATAATCGACGGATGGGCAGCAGCGTCCCTCTTAAAACATCACCAAAGCCCGGGGGAGAAGGAATTGTTAATAATGAGGATTAGTAGTCCATTGTTAACAATATGTCAGGTCGACCTCCTCGTTGTTCCTCCTTGAAACCATCGTGATTGTTTTATTATTAGATTCGACAGTGGGCTAAGTAACCTGCTTCATATTCGTCTATCATCCCTAACTGGTGCCCCGCCAATGTATACCGATGGCGCAGGCGGGGTTGCCATTGTTATGTAATGACTGTTATGTTATGACTAATATGTTGTGCTATGACTGTTATGTTGTGACTAATAAGTCTTTTGCTAAAATGCTAGTTGATAAGTAATATATTGATAGTTGATAAGTAATGACTAACAAGTCTTTGTTACGATAAGTAATGTTTATCTGTAATGTTTATCTATATTTTGAATGTCTATTTGTATTTGTAAGTACAATGTAATCGCTAACTAAGAAGCCTTTGCCAAAAGCTCCTCTCTGATAAAATACCACTGTCATGAAATCATACACCATTAGCCTTTGTTACAATACCATTAGCTGATGAGTAATATTTATCTGTATTCGCAATTGTGTACCATGAGCATCATGTTATCATTAGTCGAGAACCCCTCTCCGATAAACTCACCTTATATAAATACTGCCTCAAATCAGTTCGAGGACAGTTCCATTTCCGAATTCATATTGTAAACATCTAATTGTACTATTTCTGTGTAAAGTAATAAAGCTAGTTTTTTAAAAAACAAATCTTATCATTCGCCACGTAACAAATTTGGCGCAGTCGGTAGGATCTCGCATAAGACGAAGTGCAACGTGCAGTTGATCATCGGGACAGCATCGCCCAGCAGAGCAACGCGCGGTAGCTACAGGCTTTTGAAACACTTCGCCGAACATGCAGCTCCAAATACTTGTATTGTTATGGTGAGTGGTTTGAATTTGTTCGCTCTCTAAATCCTTTAAATCGCATCTATCCTAATTCTTTTTATATATATATATATATTTATTTTTCTTTTCTTTCCTATATACCTTTCTAATGCCACTAGAAATAAAAAACGAAAGAATGGCTCTAGATATCTCTACATTATTAAAATTAATTCCGACGTTTGACACCAAAGAAAATAACCAACTATATAGATTTGTTCGATCTTGCAATTCTGCCTTTGCTTTAGCCTCTTTAGAACAAGAATCAATCCTCTTAGTATACGTTTTAAATAACATCACTGGCTCAGGTGCCTCCGATGTTCATTGTAAACAATACAAAACATGGATTGAGCTCAGATCGTTCCTTATCGAAAAATTCTCGCATGTAAAAACGATTAGCCATCTAAGCCTAGAACTACAGTCTATGTTCCAAAAACCAAACGAAACAATGACTGAATATTTTCACCGGGTAGACCTCTGTAGGAGTAAAATCGTAGAAAAACTAACAGCGGAAATTTTAGATGAGACGCTCGCAGGTCGGTTAGCGACCACAGAAGAAACCGCCTTATCGGTATTTATCAACGGAATTAATTCAGACGTAGGAGCAATGCTGAGAACTAAAAACTTTAGTAATCTCTCCGACGCAGGTCGTTTCGCGCTACAGGAAGACAAAATTCGAGCAATGAATAATGCTAGGCAGGCACTATTTAGAGTATCAGCCGCTAGTGGGACTGTTAATAGTCCTAGACCGCACGTAAAATTTACGATTGACAATCGATCGATGACGCGACCTCCTAATATATACCAACAGAATACATCAAAAACACCATCATATCAAAACGTTATTTGCAATTACTGTAAGAAACCAGGCCACCTCATCGCCGATTGTAGGAAACGAGCATATAATAATAATATCAGAAACTCGTTACAAGAACAGAACATATCGCCCCAACAAAATTTCCGTGCATTACCTGCCGCTAAAATAAATAATTTAAACCATTTAGCGGCCAGCGAAGCGAGCAGTTCGGTGGAAACCGCTTTAACGTCTTGCTCACCTCATCAAACACAGACATCGACCCAGGAATTAAACCTGGAGGACCTACAAATAGATTCTTAGAAAATAATCAAATTTCAAGGAAGTTTAACGCTTATACGCCGCATTCAGTCCATCGGGGACCGGCTAGTACTAGCTCCATAGTTAAAAATAATCAGGTACGGAACATGTCCTGTTATCAAAAACGATTTTGTGACGCTAGTACGCAAACGAGTAAACTTCCTAACTTTCATCATATTCATCAAAATTCGAATTCTAAATCTTCCATATCTACTCAAACTCACGAAATCATTATAGCCTAAACTAACGGACAGGGTAACCAGCCCCAAACCCTAGGCTTTACACAAAATCCTAAATCCACTAGTATCGATAATTCTAACTCTACAATATTCACTAAATCCAGTCGCAAATCAAAATCTAGGTCGAAAGACAAATCTAAATCCTTGAAAAGAAAAACTCATATCAAATCGTTCGCTATATCTGCATTAAATGACGTGCCACCTGAAAATCTACTACACTGTACTTTTTTCATTAAAGAAACACCCGTCACTCTCTTAATAGACACGGGAGCAGGAATCTCAGTTATCAGAGACGATAAAATAGGTTCAATTGCTTTGGATAAATCCAACATCGTGTCAATTGTAGGTATCTCTAGCACCCAAACTTCGACAATCACATCAGGAACTGCCAACATATCCCTAGATGATTTACCTGAATTCAAATTCCACGTCGCCAACCTTAATATAAAAGCAGACGGTATTCTGGGAAACGACTTCATGACTAAATTTAATTGTAACATTTTTATTCAATCCAAAACGATGAGAATAGGCAGTAAATCGTATAAACTTCATTATATGGGCGAATATCCTGAAAATAATACTATCACTGATAAACGAATAATTAGTAGTCGAACAGAAACCGTAATTACGTGTAACACAAATAGTATCAACTCTGGGACAGCAATAGTCGAAAAACAAACTATAAGCAACGGCGTTATTATTCCTCACGCTATAGTCAACGTTCGAAACAATACATTTTCAATTACTTGTATAAACACTAATAATTCCGATAAAGTCATTAAAACACCAAATATCGAAGTCCAGCCTATTAACATTGACGAATTAACAAAAAATAACAATAGTCAACCACTTCATAATTTTAACTCGATATCGCAGACCGACAGACAAAAGAAAGTATTGTCCCTTATCAGACGAGACCATTTAAATAAAGAAGAGTCAACATCATTAGATAAAATTATTTCTGAATACAGTGACATATTTTTCCTAGAAGGTGACTCATTGTCATTCAGTAACCATACAAAGCATCAAATCCCTACTACCACTAACGTACCCATTCATGCCAAAACATATCGCTTACCTCAAGTTCACGAAAATGAAATAAAGACCCAAGTAAAGAACATGCTAGACCAGGATATCATTAGACCTAGCAATTCCCCTTGGAGTAGCCCTATTTGGGTAGTACCTAAGAAACTAGATGCTTCCGGGAAACAAAAATGGCGTTTAGTCATAGATTATCGTAAATTAAACGAAGTCACAGTGGGTGATAGTTATCCCCTTCCTAACATTACGGACATACTAGATAAATTAGGACACTCCCAATACTTCACTACGTTAGACCTCGCATCAGGATTCCACCAACTGGAAGTCGACCCCAATGACATCTCTAAAACAGCTTTCAGTACCCCTTACGGCCATTACGAATACAAACGAATGCCTTTCGGGTTAAAAAACGCCCCAGCTACGTTTCAACGAGTAATGGACTCTGTATTATGTGGATTACAAGGAGAAAGATGTTTTGTCTATCTCGACGATATCGTTATCTTTGCCTCTAGCCTCCAAGAACACGAACAAAAACTTCAAGAAGTATTCTCTCGTCTCCGCAAATATCATCTTAAAGTACAACCTGACAAATGCGAATTTCTTAGACGCGAAGTAGCCTATCTAGGTCACATAATATCCAATGAAGGCGTCAAACCGAATCCAGATAAAGTACGTGTTGTTCGAGATTTTCCTATTCCTAAGTCTTGTAAAGATATTAAAGCGTTCCTAGGCCTCACAGGATACTACCGTCGATTCATATCTAACTTCAGTAAACTAACAAAGCCTCTTACGAGCCTGTTAAAAAAGGACATGCCTTTCGTATGGGGTACGACCCAACAAAATTCATTTGACGAATGTAAACGTCTCCTTACCAATCCTCCTATATTACAATATCCCGATTTCGCTAAGGAATTTATTCTAACCACGGATGCTTCGATTAACGCAATAGGTGCCGTCTTATCTCAAGGCGAAATAGGTAAAGACTTACCTATCGCATACGCCTCGCGCACTCTTAATAAGGCCGAAAGTAACTATTCGACAATTGAACGCGAGTTACTGGCAATTGTTTGGGCTGTTAAACATTTTAGACCTTATCTATTTGGTCGAAAGTTTAAAATCGTGACTGACCATAAGCCCCTAACATGGCTTTTTTCTATTAAAGACCCGGGCAGTCGTTTAGTTCGCTGGCGCCTTAAACTTGAAGAATACGAGTACGAAGTTATCTATAAAGCGGGTAAAAACAATACTAACGCGGACGCACTCTCACGACCTCCTATTCATAACACCAATGTTATCGATAATACTGAAAACGAACCTCCTAACACATGCGAAAACATTCCTGAAGATTATTTACAAATGAATTACGAATACTTCATGCAAAATTCCTCATATAGTTTCGACACTCCAAACCTTCATATTTCCTCAGATCGCCTCTTAGACGACCGTCACAAAAACATATTTATACCCTCTTCATGCGAACTATCCGATAAAAACGACCTTTTTAACGAAGCTATCTCTATGTGTTCTCAAGTAGATCCATATTTAAATAAAGTCAAAGAACTCTATGACGTCGATCTCCTAGTCTCAGACAAGAACCAGAACATCATATTTGGTTGTTTAAGACCTACACACTTTGACTCATGGGACTCCGAAAGTTATTTCAAAATTCTCCTTAACTGCTTACAAAATTACAGTTTAAAATCACTTCACATTCCTGACTTAAAAAATGACCCTACTTGTAAACTCAAGGGCAACGAACAACTCCACATCACAGCTTATCTTGCTGATGTATACGAGTGTAAGATTACTATATGTGAAAATAAGGTTAAAAATCCCACATCAGAGGAAATTCCCGAGATCCTGAAAACTTTCCATGATGACCCCTTAGCAGGTCACAGAGGCATAGTAGAAACTACGCGTAAAATTAGAACCGAATATTTCTGGAAAGGAATGTCCGATACTATTAAGAATTATATAGAAAATTGTCAAGTTTGCCAACGAAATAAAATCCAAAGAAAAACCTACAAAGCCCCTATGGTTATCACTTCTTCTTTCAACGAACCATTTGAACGCGTAACAATCGATTTAGTGTCATACTCAGAAGTAACCAATGATTCAAATAAATACATACTCACGCTACAAGATGATCTGACTAGATTCGTTCAAGCCTATCCTATAATAGACAAACAAGCAACAACGATAGCTAAAGCCTTATTGACCTTCTGTCAACACTACGGCATACCCAAAAGATTCCATTCAGACCAAGGCACTGAGTTTGTTAACAACGTCGTTAAACAACTTATGAAATTACTCGGATCCAATCATACTGTCAGTACTGCTTACCATCCGCAGACGAACGGTGCTCTCGAACGTTTCCACGCTACTCTGCGTGACCATATAAGAATGTACCATAAGCGAAATCAATCAAATTGGGATCAAATAATACCCTTTGCTGTTATGTGCCATAATACATCAATTAATCAATCAACCGGTCTCACACCTCACGAACTACTATTCGGTTACAAACCTCGATCATTATATTCGTTTAAAGAAAACAACGATTACACAACGCATGATTATTTGCGCGATCTTAACGAACGACTTAAGGTGTCACGAGATATTGCCCGTCGCAACGTACAAAATATGAAAGAAAAAGCTAAAGAACGTTATGATGGTAATATAAGGAATATAGCCAAGTTCAGTATAGGCGACAAGGTTATGTTGAAAGTACCGAATCCAAACAATTTGGAAAATAAATGGGATGGTCCTTACGTCGTAACCCGACTCGGATTCAATGAGAATTACGTCATACAAAAGTCAGGCAAAAATCAAATGGTGCATGCTAATCGCCTAAGGCCATTGTGTGAACCAACTACCGAAAAACTATAACTTTTAATTTTAGATTAAGGTACTAAAGTAAGTCAGAGTATACATATATATATATAAGTTATTCATTTTATTTCAGGGTGCAAACCATGGCACACCCTACAACCTCTCCCGTAGTATATGACGAGGATAGTCTAAAGAAAAAATTAGAACGTTTAATGAATAATCCATATATTAGTTTCGTAATATGTTCTATCATTAAATTAATCTTTTACGTTATCTTATATAAAATATATAAATTTATTAAAGGAAAACTATACAAATAATAACCTTAAAAATATATATATATCTTTACAGGTACTCCTCAACTTTTGTTGAAGGGGATACCCGAATACTACCCATACCTTCAAAATCAGGTCTCTATTTTGAAGAAAACGGAGAAAATTCTAATCTCTGAAAATTCGTGGAAATTATTAGTGTATAGAGACTTAGAACCACTATTTTTAACTCATGATTCTATAAAAAGACTCACACAAAATTATCAAAATCTCGTCGCTAGACACACGACACTACCGAGCGTAATTACGACAAGTTCTTTCATCAAAGCCAGTCTAAACAAAATAGACTCCAGATTAAGCGAATTAAACTACTATACCGCAGGTAGCTTAAATAACAAACGTAGTAAACGTGAACTTATAGACGGTGTAAGCTCAATATTAAAATGGCTTATCGGAACACCTGACGCCAAAGATGCGAAACACTACAATGAATGTATCGAACAGTTAGAAAGACAACAGATTTCGACTGACGCAATCCTAAGACAACAACTACAGATAATCTCTTCGACAATTAAAAATTTTAACGAAACCTTACTGAAAATCTCTTACGACGAACATTTAATCAACGAAAACATTGCTAAAGTTAATTCTTATTTTAATACCACGAACAAATTAATTTTCAACCTTACCATTTCTGAAGAAATATCCACGCTAGCGATACAAATACTAGAGTCAGTAACATCATTAGAAAAAGACATTGACGACATAATAATAAGCATTTTGTTCATTAAATCAGGAGCCATTCACCCTTCGATTATATCAATTAACCGTCTATATAAAGAATTATTATCCTCAAGTCCCGCTAGAGTGAATAAAAATCTAGTAGCTCCTATAAAGCTATCAAACATACATCAAATCCTCGAATCTGCTTCGATTACATCTTATATCTATATGAATAAAATTATATATATTTTAGAATTCCCTTTAGTTAGAAACGATAGGTTTACCTTATATCACATATACTCTATTCCTATTCTGCATCCCTCATCAACCTTATATTCCACGATCCTCCCAGAGCAAACATTTCTTGCCATGAACAGTAACAGACAGCAATACGTCACAATGAACGACTTGGGAAAATGTAAGAACTTTGTTACGGAAACAAAAGTCTGCAACGATCTCCCAGTATATAACGTGAACACCAGGCCTACCTGTGAAACTGCCATACTTACGACAACAAGACAAGACGTGCCAGAAATTTGTCAAGTTACTACGTTTTCGGCGAATATTAACACACTGCAACCCATCAGAAACAATAAATGGATCTACATCTTACAACATACAACGCCGTATACCCTAGAATGTAAAGATGAAACAAACCACGGTGAAATCTCCGGAGCCGGCATCATATCATTGGAAAATGGCTGTAAAATGTACACTGCCTTCGTTACACTACTAGCTGAAGAAAATCTATCGACAAATATTAGTCACCCTATTGTCACCGTAGATCTGGAACAAATCTGCATTCCTGAAAACTTAAATATTAGAGAACCAGAACTTCTTCCAATAAAATTGAATAACATAGCGTTGGACTCTCTCAACACCATAAAGGAACAAATAAATCAACACTCTAAACTATTAAAAGATAATCAAGCTACTTTTGTTGAAAAATATTCCACAAAACTCTCAATTTCCAGCATAGCTATTGGGTTAGCCATGCTAACGTGTTTGTGTTATAAGTGTCACAAGAGACGTTTTCAATTCACCACAACACAACGTAGAGATGGCTGCATCCAGATTTTTAATAACTGCTTCGATCGCTCTCAACGCCGTCAACACATCGAAATTCCCATGGCATCATTGAAACCGAGAACGACGTCGTGTATATCCGAAGATGAAAGCGATGACGTCGCCACTCCACACCTTCATCAAAGATCGAGTAACAAAACTCAATCTTTATTCTAAGAGGGGAGGTGTTATGTAATGACTGTTATGTTATGACTAATATGTTGTGCTATGACTGTTATGTTGTGACTAATAAGTCTTTTGCTAAAATGCTAGTTGATAAGTAATATATTGATAGTTGATAAGTAATGACTAACAAGTCTTTGTTACGATAAGTAATGTTTATCTGTAATGTTTATCTATATTTTGAATGTCTATTTGTATTTGTAAGTACAATGTAATCGCTAACTAAGAAGCCTTTGCCAAAAGCTCCTCTCTGATAAAATACCACTGTCATGAAATCATACACCATTAGCCTTTGTTACAATACCATTAGCTGATGAGTAATATTTATCTGTATTCGCAATTGTGTACCATGAGCATCATGTTATCATTAGTCGAGAACCCCTCTCCGATAAACTCACCTTATATAAATACTGCCTCAAATCAGTTCGAGGACAGTTCCATTTCCGAATTCATATTGTAAACATCTAATTGTACTATTTCTGTGTAAAGTAATAAAGCTAGTTTTTTAAAAAACAAATCTTATCATTCGCCACGTAACACCATTCTATTAACATCGATTAAAAAAAACATCACCAAAGCCAACTACGATTGCCAACCCGCCCGCCAAGTGTGGCAATTATTTGTAAAACTCTTCTTATGGAAAAGGCCTATGTTCAGCAGTGGACAGTTAATGGCCGATATAATAATGAAATTATGCACAAACGTCAACAATTAGGGATAAAATATGGCCGCAGTCGTAGATTTAGCGGTGCGTATAAAAATAATTGTGTCTCCGGCTGTCTAGACGTCCATTGTCAACGTAATGCATGGAGCATTATCTGTAATGACTGCACGGATCTAGCGGACATATTTTTGCTATATTTTTTTTTGTGTGCACGATAACACTGCGCGCATTCACGGTCATTTTGCGCATGTATTATTATCACCCAATATTCTGTGAATCTTTTAAAAGCGTTTTCTTAGTGGGCCCGTGTTACAAACAAAAGCTCGGCGGAAAATTTTAGGTTTGTTTCCACAGTGGGTGTGAGTGCTGTGACCGATCAGACAGTAAGTTCTACCAATTTTTTTTTAATAAATAATTTAAAAAATTATTTACCGAATACAACGACAACACACATAGACATTAAATGTCAATGTGTGCACATTGTCAAAATTTAAAAGGGAATAAAACAATAAGAATAATTAGCTTGCTTTTTATATTAAAACAAAACTGAGTGCATTCTTCAACCGACTTAAAAAAAAGAAGGGTAAGTTCTCAATTCTATTATCTTTTTTATGTTTGTTACCTCAGATATCCGTTGTTTATAAACCGATATGGAATACCTTTAATTTATCTGAAAGGATGTACTATTAGTTTGATCTCATAGAAATTTAATCATAATAAATTTAGTAGTTTAGTTTTTAAATAAAAATAACTAACTACAATTCTAGCAAATTTATAGAACAAAATTTACATTTATTTACATTAAAAATAACAATTCTAAATTACTATAGTAAACATATTATCACTACACTACTTAACTAACACCATATAAATAGAATTCCATAGAACCCATAGAATTATCGCCCTCCAATCACTGAATAGGAAAAGATCTTACGCTTAATACAAAACAGGGCCTCACTGTACGCTTCAATTAATTCTATGGGTGAAGACTGGGAGCCATTCGCATCGGAGCGGGCAACTTACAAAAAAACTAACCAACGCACGTACCCAATTATATATTTTTAGGAATGCCCTCAATAGAATAATATTTTTTCTCGGTACCAAGCATGAAGTATCAATGTGAGTCACTATTCTAATTAGAAAAAGTACAATGGCAGACCCTATATGTATAATACATTGATGTACCATTACATATGGCCATATGTATGTAGTTGTTTGAAGGAAATAAATAACAACTAACTTGATTATTCTCATTATAATGAGAGAATGACTGCAGAAATGAATGTAGAAATTAAACGTCGCTGTCATGTCTGTACGTCCAGTGCGAAAGATAGAAAGAGGTGAAATATCTATGTACAATTAAATTAACCTACTTGATGGAAAAGAAAGTAATGATGTTGACAAGTGGCTATGAGATATTTACAATATTTATTTACAGACGCCGCATGTAACATGAATTACTTTTGTAGTAGTATAAGGAATCAGGTGGCTATAATAGAAATAATAGGTCAATATGAAATAACAACTCGTTTAATTCACATCCGTATTGCTCCGAGTACATGTCCCGACTGCCCTCGACTCGGCTCGACCTGTAGTCGTTAAACATCTTAATTCTTATTTTATTTTACAACAAATATTACTACCGGTTGACTGCAGTTACAAGATAATGGTATTTAAATAACATTTATCAAATTCTATAATTATATTATTTCTAACTATTAAATTATCGATAAAACAGTTATTATATTTAGATCTAAAACGGTCACATTAAATCGATCAAGTTGCACTGCACGATTAGTCAATACAATGTTTACTAACTATATTACTGAATTATTATTTACCAGAGGGAGACTTTGTACAAAAGTCGATCGCTTGGGTACCTCTGTCCCATTCGTGTTTCAACCGTGAAGCAGTTGTGTTTGACTTAGAAAACAAACAAGCTGACGAACCACCTGATGGAAAGTAGTAACCGTCGCCTATAGACGTGAGCAGTACCGTGGACATAACAGAGTATACTGTTTCGCCCATGATACCCCACATGCGTTGCCATTCCTGAGGACTCAGGTGTTATTCCTCTGTACCCTGTAAATTCACGCCATATTCCACCCTTCAAATCGAAACACAGCCATGCAAACACAACTGCTTCACAGTAGAAACACCAATGGGACAGGGTACTCAAGCAATCGACTTTTGTACAAAGTCCCCCTCTGGTAATAATCTGAATATATGGAAATCTGATATAATTTCAATATAAAACATTTTACTAATGTTGTTAATTCAATACCAGCTAAATTAAATTAATTTAAATATGATCCTATAAATTTAAAAATGTAATATACCCCTACACTACACTACTACATATTAAGAAACGAGAGTACAAATGCCTTATCCATCAGCTCGCACATCTGTTTACATCATTTCACGAACAATTCCGCCTGGCAAGGCCGTTGACCCCACTAAACCCACAACTGGGCCGATCCGCCGACGTGTTTATAGCTATCCCAGTGGAATGCAGTTAAAATCCATCTTGAAAATGTACAGAAATTTAATTTCCAAACCGGATATTTTTATGGACGCATAACAATTTGCCTGTAATGGAAAACACTCTTGGAAAATAACGGTCCTTCGAGCCGGACAGATACAAAAATATTGGATACTTCCTGTGACTGTGACTTTGCCCGCGCGGATGGGGTAAGAAGTATTCCATGTCAATTACTCAGCATGTATGTATCTATGTAAATTTTAATGACGATTGGTTGATCCTTTATGCCGTCAAGAGGTAACAAACTCTTTTTTTTCATTTATAGTATTAACAAGGATTTCACAAAAACCGCAGAGATAATATAGAGTGTAGTCAGTACTATTAACATTTTTTTAATAAAGTACTTTAATAGGGCAAATGATTTTTTTCCCTAAAGAAACATGAGTCAGAAAACGACATAAAAATTTGGATGTACATCTACATCTATCTAATTAGTATAAGTGTTTTCCTCTACATCTAAAGTCCAGTCACAAATGTGAATTAGCTACAAAATTACGTTTTTATATCTACATTCCATTAATAAATAATACCATGTGATTAATCCTTGATAATATTATAAACAAGTGTGTTTGTTTGTTTCTATATAACGCCTTAACCAATCACTATGAAACTTGGTAGACGCGTACTATATGGGATTGAAAATGACATAGGCTTCTTTTAATCCCGGTCAGTAAATATATCCCAGTTACGCGGACGAAAATTCGAGTAAGAGCTAGTATTTTGGAAATCGAAAAGTCAAAAATCAGCCAATTTCAGCTAAGAAAAACAGACAAGAAATTCAACTGTTGCTTTTTTTCCAAACAAAAATTGATTTTACAAATATAGAATGCAATTTCAGCTAAGGAAAATGGACAAGAAATTCAACTGTTGCTTTTTTTCCAAACAAAAATTGATTTTACAAATATAGAATGCAATTTCAGCTAAGGAAAACGGACCAGAAATTCAACTGTTACTTTTTTTTAAACAAAAATTGATTGTACAAATATAACTTTGTATCAATACAAACTACCAAACAGTACAACAATTGTATTTATCTCGTGGAACAGATTCTCCAATTGAAATGATCGCACAATTTGATTCTCGTAAAAAAGCAATTATAGAAACAAATATTTTTATCCAATTCGGAACACTTCTAGATTGATCGTGATTGAAACAAAACACTGTAGGACCGAGTTGAGTTGAGTAGACTAAATCCCAAAGCGGCAGATTTTAGGAACATCAATTCTGAGGCTAAGTTTTATTATTTATTCATTCATAACAGCCATTAACTGTCCACTACTGAACATAGGCCTCACCCATAAGGAAAGTTTTGCCAGTACATATTTGCCACGCTTGGCAGGCAGGTTGGCAACTGCAGTTACGAGAAAGGAAGGGACTAAGCCCATTCTAAGTCTTGGCCACGCAGCTTAATTTTTATTACAATCAAAGTATAAATTACAATTCATTAAAAAAAAATAGTAATTAATATAATTTTAAACTAAGATACCCAATCAAAAAGGTCGATAAACACTACAAAATTGGAATAGTCTACTAGCGGCAAATGGGTAAATCCGTCATTGCCGAAAACAATTGTTGTGTTTGCATGGCTGTTTCGATTTGAAGGATGGGATATGGCGTGAATTTACTGGGTACGGAGGAATAACACCTGAGTCCTCAGGAATGGCAACGCATGGGGGGTATCATGGGCGAAACAGTATATTCTGTTATGTCCATGGTACTGCTCATGTCTATAGGCGACGGTTACCACTTTCCATCAGGTGGGCCGACAGCTTGTTTGCCATTCTAAGTTGTATAAAAAAAAAACTGGTACCTATCTGCATTATTAGTGTGAATATGACTTTACCATACGAACCATAAAGATTCAACATTGAGCATGCATTAGTGTGGATCTGGCTTTAGACGCTACTATACTACGTATGTATACTTTCTTACTGCTGGTTCGCAAACCGCCGACCGTCAGACCGCGTAACGAGATACGATCCGTAATAACAGCCATCTGTCACGCAGCCGCGTACTTATAAGCATTGCGGTATCTTGTGCGATCACTCACTCGCCATTAACGACATAAGAGTAATGGGGGATGTTAAGTAATCAATGATGGGTGGCTACGTAGATTGGAATTAGACATACATTATGCGCTTGTTAATATATCTTTATAAATGAGCAAATGTATGTTATAATAGAATTTAATTAAAAGGAAACAAAGTTTTGCTAAAATTGTCATAAAGCAGCTTCTAAATAAAATTATTAACAAATTAAAACATTTAAACAATCAGTTTCGAATCGACATCAAAAATAAGAAGGATTTCACAATTCGGTTGTTTTTTTTATATTAATTACCTCCGTCATTTTTAAACCGATTTGGAAAA